ATTGACCCAGCTGACGGATCAACGAAAGGGAACTAACGCTTAGGTTAGTTAGTAGAATATCAACCTTTAACGCGGTAGGACGTGCTTTTACTTTTTTGATCAGTTTTAATAATGGCGAGTTACCGTAACGAAGAATACGCTGATATTCTGTTTTGTTATGGTTTAAGTGATGGAAATTCCGTTGAAGCCAGGCGAGAATACGAAAACCGTTTTCCGAATCGGCGAATACCGAGTCATCGAGTATTTGCTTCTGTGTACCAACGCCTCAAGGAAAGTGGACAGGTTCATGAGAGACGTCATGATGCTGGTAGACCTCGGTTGTTTGACGACGAAGATCGAGAGGCAATACTGGAATGCGACGGCAGATACCCGACGACGTCTACACAAGTTATAGCAAAGCAGCTTGGTTTAACTCAGTGGAAAGTTTGGTTCGTTTTTCATTCGGCGAGACTTTACCCTTTCCATTACACACTGGTTCAAGTATTAGAAGAAGGAGATCCCGCAAGAAGAATTGATTTTTGTCGATACATGCTTCATCGGGATCAAGAAGAAAACGACTATTTAACTAAAATATTGTGGACCGACGAGTCTAAGTTTGACGGAGAGAGGGCAACAAATTATCACAACTTACATTATTGGGCCCCACGAGAGGCAAATCCCCACATGGCAACGCCAACAGCCCATCAAAGAAGATTTTCGGCAAACATGTGGATGGGAATCATTCATACGTATCCAATTGGACCAGTTTATTTGCCTGACAACCTGAATGGCGAATCCTATGAAAACTTTTTGAGATCCGAACTCTGGGAGTATCTCGAAGACCTGCCTCTGAATATCAGGATACAGATGATCTACCAACACGATGGCTGTCCCGCGCATTTCCGTCTGGATGTTAGACAGTGGCTGGACGAGAAATATCCTTGTCGCTGGATTGGCCGAGGTGGACCGACACCGTGGCCAGCGAGGAGCCCAGATTTAACACCGTGTGACTATTATTTATGGGGGCACATGAAGTCACTGGTGTACGCTGAGCCCATAGACCCTCTTGCACAGTTGAAAGAAAGAATTATTGCTGCTGCTAACACTATCAGAGGACAACTAACTGGCCGCATCACGCGTACCAAGATGAGAAAAAGACTACGGGCTTGCATAAGAAACGGCGGGCGTCAGTTCGAACAACAATTGCAATGAATTTTACCTTCATTTCATTATTGTATTTTACTTACCAATTGTAGTAACTTTTAGTCAGTTTTTATTATTCTGTAGTACAATTACAACTGTGTAAATAATCTAATCGTGTAACTTAACCGTAGTTTAAAATAATAACTATCCCATAGCTTACAGTTATATTATTTTCACAAAAACACTTTCTTATCAATCAGAGAGTTGTGAAAATAGGAGACAAGCCATTGGTAAATTTACTCCCTATTGTTGTATTACAATACATTATGTTTAGTTTCACACAGTTTTTGTGCACTTATCATACCAATTTAGATTCCTTATGAAACAAGGATATTATTTAAATTGTTTGTACGTTTTTTTGTATACTGATTTTTTTGTAAAACACCTTACTTACTGAAAAACGTTATTTGTTTTTCTTAGTTAAACATTTTTGAATGAAAATAAATACGTTGTTTGGTATTGTTTTCGAATCTTTTTTAATTTATAATAGTTAATTATTGAAATAATAACCCAAAACCACAAAAAACAAATGTTTAATCGCCAACTTTTTTCTCTCTCGACTTTTTTACTCTGAAATATGGATTGTCTTTAAAAAAATCTTAAATCTTCAATAACTTTTCAACCTGTGAATATAGGGTATGGTATTATATACTAATTTCGATAGCAAAGGGGCTGTACTATCACCTCCTAAAATGTTTTACACCTATTTACCTGTCACCCTATATAAGTTTGTTAAAAAGGTTAAGGACAGAGCACATGAATCAACCTTGAACACAAAATTCGTAACACAGGCTTCAGAATCTTATGTACTCTGTCTATACCACTTAATAAATATTTTAGCCATATTTAGTATTGTAGCACCATATACTGATAACGGCAACACGTGTTGGAAACAAAGTATGCGGAATGGTGTAAGATCAGTAAATAATTATAAAATATGTTTTTATTGCAATGTTTATAAGCGCTTTCATATCGCGCAGCTATATATATATATATATATATATATATATATATATATATATATAAGTCAACGCCAAACAAAGTGGCGTGCACGTCATCACGATAAAAATTCCCCGACCTAATGCCTAGGTTTCTATCAGAAACAATTGCTCTATTGCAGTTTCATATTAATGTGATATATAAATTGTAAAATGGTCATTACTCTCTTATTATGGTTAATAGTCATATAAACATTGTTATTAAAATATCACATAAGTTGCTTTCTGATAAATTTAGACGCATTATGCGAAATAAAATGTTTTGCAAACGCTCCAATCACTTATCGACATGTAAACGCACTAAACCGATTTCGCAGCGTTGACACATTGTCACCTTGAAACTTATTTAAACTGGGAACTGACATTTGTATTAATTTTGACACTGAATCAATTTGTGGCATTTCAAATCTTTATAAATCCTTTGGCCCCGCATACTGTAAATCAACAACTGTTTGTTTCAAAACAAAATTATTCATTTTACGAGTAGATAAAGGCAATTTTGGTATATAAAGATGCCCAAACAGTTAAATAGTCGGTGTAAGGAACTCGTGGCCTCGTTAATGCACTACTTTGAGCAAGAAAGGGACAACAACGGGCCTTTGTTGCCTTTAAACGCTGTTCAAGAGGTAGGTTACTAATAATTATATGTAATGTATATTAATAATAGTGAAATTTTATTTCATTTTTTGTAGCGTGTTGCTGCTGCTTTAAAAATTAGTTTAAGGACAGTTAGTCGTATTTCCGAGGGTGTGAAAAGTGATGCAAATTTAGAATCGCCCAAGAAAAAGCGGAGTTATATTAAACGTGTAACCAACACAGCGACATTGGATACAAGTGCCATTCGAGAAGTGATCTATAATATGTATCACAAAAGTAAGATCTTATTATAATAACTTATCAGAAATTTGCATTAATTTGTTAACTAAATTATAATGTCATATTACACATGGTTTCAGAAGAACAAGTTACGATACAAACTTTATGGTCTCGATTAAGAGATAGGGCATTATTTGATGGTAGTGCCACGTCTTTAAGGCGGTTGCTTAGAGATCTTGGATTTAAGTGGCTTAAGGACAATCCGCGACGAGGGCTCATGGAACTACCAAGTATAGCTTTGAAAAGGGTGGAATTTCTAAGGCAATACAATCAAGCCAAGGTTGAGGCCTTATACCAGTTTGTCTTCCTCGATGAAACTTGGATATTTCAAAATGGGACCATAGGTCGCTCTTGGCAAAATGGAAACCAAAAAAGCGTGAAAGCTATTAAAACAGATGGTAAAAGGTATGTACTTTTACACAATTTGCACTATAAAATTTAAAACTAATATATTTTAGATACATTATATTACATGCTGGAAATGAAGATGGGTTTATTGAGGGTAGTGAAGCGATATTTTCTTCGAAAACAAAATTGAGCGATTACCATGGAGAGATGAACCAGGACAATTTTTTGAAATGGTTTCAACATCAGTTATTAGAAAAATTGGAGAGTCCATCTATGATTATACTGGATAACGCCCCTTATCACAGCATGATATTGAACAAAGTGCCCAACAATGCATGGACAAAAAAAAATATCCAAGACTGGTTGACAAATCAAAACATACCATTTTTAAACACAATGTTTAAAACAGAGCTATTGAGTATTGTTGCTCGGTACATAATGCTTCTTAATTATATATATTTTGGTCGACAGTTTATATTTCTTTTGTTTATTCCTATTCTTAAAATAAATGCTTTTTTAGAAACAAACCACCTAAAATATACGTGATTGATGAATTGGCGGAACAACATGGGCACAAAGTTCTTCGTCTGCCTCCTTACCATTGTATATTTAACCCTATTGAGTTAATTTGGGGCATAGCAAAAGGTTACTATAACAGACATATTGGTAGAGATGGTAACAGTGAAAAAGACTGTTTGGATATGTGGAACGAGGCTCTACAAACGGTTACCCCAGACATGTGGAAAAATAGTGTTCGACATACTGAGCAAGAAATTTTTAAATGGTATGAAAGAGAACGAATTTTTGATCGACCAGACATCGAACCTTTAATAATCAACTTTGAGAGTGATGAAGATTCAGATTCAGACAGCGCTGAAGAAAGAAACTCCGACTAACTTTATTGTACAGAAAAAGCTTACACCAGTAGCTTACCTAATTTTAGAATGCATTTTTCTGTATGAATTCTGTAAAATAAATACCATGCATAAAATTTGGAGGACCCCATTTGGATTTTTATTCAGTACCTTTAAGCTATCAATTAAATATGGTAGTTTCATAGTGTCATCTGATCAATAATTGTCATACTTAATGATTATGCAAGTACAGATCTATAATTTTATTATACTATTATTTTTGTTCTCATTTGAGGTTAATATTGCTTATAAACCTAGATATGTAAATAATAAATTTTATTATTTTACAAAAAGTTTGGCAACAATGTAAATTTTTCAACACACCCACCTTGATGACGTGCACGCCACTTTGTTTGGCGTTGACTATATATATATATATATATATATTTGCCGAAATAACAGAGACTACATTAGATGACCCACTTGCCTAAATTTGAGGTTTGCTAGAACTACTATACTTATTATACCGTAACATCATCTTGCAAATAACGGAAATAACTATAAGTTACTGATATGTTTTAATTTCCTTGTTTCAATCATAATGTGTTACATCATATCACGATTTAGATAAAGAAAAAATAACGAAGCATGTTTTCCTGACGTGTTTTCTGCCCCAATAACTTTACATCATAGAAACATTATGCTGAAATACGATAGCATAAAAATTCAAAAAATCGGTTACCTTGAAGGGTCGGCAAACTTTCTTGTGGTTTTTCCAATCGGCCTTCTGATGCTCCCTGCAACAATAATACACGCCATGACAACTTCCACATTTTTGGGAGGTCTCCTTTTGGCACACAGCGCAATGCGAAGTAATAGTTTCTGCCATTCTTAATTATTATGAATTTTAAGATTTACCGGCGGCACACTCTCTTACCACTTCACCGCGAGTGAGCCACATTCATCACACTAAAAGTTTAAAAATAGTAGCTATCGTCTCAATCGTGCATATTTCTGTAGTTCATTTATTTATAACTCTAACCGTATGATCTGTTCTTCTCCCGTTTATTACTGGGAGCATATGAAAGAAATAAAGGAAAAAATACATTTTTAAAAACAAGCTTTCATTTAGCTGTTGATAAGTCAAACTAAAATTTTAGAAATAGTTTTTTTCCAATTGGAAATATGCTGTTTTATGTTTCCTAACCTAACGGTATTGAAGCTCCTTCAAGTCTTCGCACAAAGGCGTGTTACACACTTTTTTATCCCTGCTGCTAAAGGGTACTCTTATGTGGAAACTTCAATGTCCATTAAAGGTTATATAGTATCAAACGTCTTATTTCCAATCGGAAATAATCATTTAAGAATTTTTAAATAAATTTCTTAATTAAAAAAAATCCGATAAATATTTTGTGCTAAAACTTCTAGGACATACGTTAGGGCGCTACTAAGATTTAGGACAGAACTTTGCGTTATTATCAAGATTTGCGTAATCTAGCTAATGCTGCAAATATCGAAGGAAAAAAGCGTATCTTACATATCGATTAGAGAATTGCAGTTCTAAAGAAATGTAGAAGAGGTTAAGAAACAATGGAGTAGTACCCCAAAAGGATAATACATTCCAGATTCCTTAACGATGAACTTAATTTTTTTTTTGTTAACAGTGTATGGTATATCTGAAGTCACTTGAAATAGCATAAAAACCTTTGGTCGGCGCGTCCTTTGTAATTTCATGACGCATCATAGGCGTGCGGCATTTATTTAGAACGATAATAATAATGTTTTTATATCACAATAAATGGATTTTACTATCTTATTTTTTTGATTTGGGATAAAAAATACTTATATTGGGAGTTTAATTTATGTTTACTGAAAGTTACGAAATGGAAAAATTACAGAATTCCAACGTTTGACATAGGCAAATATTTACATAGCAGGTAGGCATATAAAAAGGTATATAAAGACTTACATTATAGATATTTATATATCATCCTCGCCTTCGGAGCTGTCGCTAGAGTCATCTTGTAGAGGAATTACAACGGGATTTACAGGAGGCAAAACACAATATTCATTTTCTTTTTCAATAATATGCCAATAGCGATTCACTTAATTGAGGGGTCTGATTATGTTTTCTTACTTTTTTTTTAAAGCAGCCCAGACCAACTTAATCGGGTTAAAAATGCAGTAATAGGGAGGTAGACGTAATACTTCATGGCCATTTTGCTGAAGCAGATTGTCAACAACATACTCTTTTTCAAATTTTTGTCTTTTAATAAGATCCAATAATATGGCTTTGGTTGATTTTTGTGGTATTTCCATTCCCTTATCCTTCATAAAATCAATAATGTCTTGTTTTTTTGTGCCTGTATTCGGAATTTTGTTTTTCTGTCGGGAATGGTATGGCGCATTGTCCATAATAATCACTGAATTTGGGGAAATGTTTGGTATTAACTGCTGCTCTATCCACTTTTCAAATAAGTCGGAGGTCATGTCCTCATGATAGTCGGCACATGATTCTTTGATATTTTTGGTAGATAACAGCAAGGCATTAGGTATAAATCCATTTTCACTGCCAGCATGGAGAATAATGATTCGTTTTCCACGGTTGCATGGTGCATTTAAAATGCACTTGTTGCTGTCGTCAACCCAGCCGTACTGCACAACATCATGGTTATCATACCACGTTTCATCCAGGTAAATCAGATTTCTTTTCTGCTCTCTATAGATTTTAACTTTGTGCAAAAATTCTTGGCGCAATACAACGATTCGAGACGACTCCATAATCACCATTCTTTTATCTAATTTTTTGTATTGAAAACCACACAGTTTTACAATACAGTGCAGTGAGTCTAAGCATTTGTAATTATAAAAATCTTCAGGATAATCTTTTAATTTATCCCGTATCATTTCCAACGTGGGCACCAAATTTTCTTTATAAAATCCGTATATTATACGACGAATATCTTCCTGAAAACCCACGTCAATTCTTTTTAATTTTTGCCCTATGCGCTTACTGTGGAAGGAATGGTTGACTACTTCTCCCCTTTTTATAACCCGATAAATGGTAGACCGACTGATTTTTGTCAGGATACAAATTCTGTTTAAAATTTGATTTTGCGAGGAATCTGGGTTTTCGTTTTTCAGACAATCATACATATTTAGGATTACTCTTTGGGTCTGTTCCTCTAAATCTTTATGAAAGAATTCTGCCTGCACAGGTTCATCAACCATCTCCTCGTGGCTTGGAGCATTTTCCCAAGGTCTCCAAAGAGCCATATTTAGGAAACACAAGAACAATCAACACAACAATTAAATCAACAAGTAAACTGAGTATTCAAAAGTCAAAAACACACAAACTAATAAAATCTATGAAAAAACACGGACAGACTAAAGAAAACACGTTTATTCACCGCTACACGGCACTGGCTAAACTGTTTCAACTTTCAGTAGCCACCTGCACTTGTTCCGAGCTCTGAAATACACGCTTTCTCATTGGCTATGTCCACGCATAGGCGTGCTTTACTCCACGTGGACCGGTGAAACTGCCTTTGATCTCTTATACGGGGGATATTTGATGCGAAATTTGGCGATTTTTGCAGCAACAGAGCGTGTTAAATATAGATATATAAAACGCACCCGGTATTTCACAGTGTTTCAAGTGACTTCAGATAAAGTATACCTGATTTACTACATTCCTACCGAGGTACGAACTGTTCAGTTTTTGAATTTAATTATTTGTTTGTCTGCCGTATTAAAACTAATGTTCGTGGTTGTGATGGTTTCAATTTAAATTCCATCAAACTATGTTGCTCTCGTTCTCTGATTTGTGGAAGCAAGCCAATGTTTCCGTTCTGCCCGAAAAACCTGATCCCTCAGATCTGAAAGATCTTGAGGCATTTGTCTTTTATACCGGTTTTCTCTATATTACTAGAGCCTGCAATGTAGGAGCAACTTTCTCATCACTTGTCACATTTTTCATTGCTGCCAATTGTACAGTCTGCACTTCGGAAAAATCATAGTGGTATGGCATCTTTCCATCATGTCTCAGACGATATAATTAGAGTCACATATTGTGGTGAATGTACTGTCCTTATCCTATTGGAATTTAGCAGAGCGTTTGATTCTTGAAAACATCAAATGATGCTCACTATTTTACACCAAGTCTAATTCTACTTCGCTAATCGTAAGCAAAGGGTTATGCCAAATGGAGTTCAGCCTCTATCTTTAACTGTACAATCCGGGGTACCTCAAGTGTCAAATCTAGGTCCATTATTGTTTTTGATATTTATTAATGACTTGTCTTTTGAACTGAAGTGTTTCCATTTGTTTTTCGCTGATGACCTTAAAATCTGCACGTCAGTCAAGACAGTCGAGGATTGCGTCATGTTGCAAGATGACTTAGCTCTAATTTCGTCGTGGTGTTCACGAAACTGTCTCAGTCTGAATGTTTCGAAACGTAAAGTTATGACTTATACAAGAAAGGTTAACTATTTAATTTATGATAATTATAACATCAATGGTCAGGTTATAGACAGATGCACCTCTTATAGAGACCTTGGAGTCACTTTTGATACCAAGCTAACGTTTACTGAGCATATACTCAATATCTCGTCGGCTGCCACTCGACTACTTGGTTTCTGTATCAGAAACTGGAAGGGTTTCTCCAATGTTGATACATTAATGACTTTATTTTTTACTTTTGTCAGGAGCAAGTTGGAGTATGCGACTCTGATCTGGTCTCCTATATACCAAAATTCTGTCGGATCCTTGAGGCCATTCAACGTAAAGCTTTAAAGCATTTTCATCTTAAATGAACAGGTTCTTATCCAGAAAGAGGTTGTGACCATAGTGCCCTATTAGAGTTTTTCAATTGGGAATCACTGTCAACAAGACGAAACATATTTGCTTTGTCGTTTTTGTATGGCCTCATTCACAATAATATTGACTATCAAAATTTACTTGAAAAAATATGTTTCCGCGTTCCAAGGCTAGGGAGTCGACAACAAACGGTATTCTATTGTCAAGCTGGACGTACAAATGTTATGACACAATCGCCAATTAATCTCATGTGCTGCGTCATGAACAGTGTTACTGAATCGTGTGATATTTACAGTGACAGTAGTTGTGCATCGATTATTAACTGCTATAGATCATCCAATCTTATTTAGAATGTGTGATACCTTAGATTTAAGTCCAAGAACCATGTCTCTTTAATTTTTATTTTTTTTCAGCATTCCCTGTAATTGGGTTTTTACGCTGATGACACTCAAATCTATTGCATCGTCCCTGCATAAATGGTGACTCATTTTTCGTTGATAATAAATAATGAGATAAACTTTTTCGTCGAATGTGCAACGCTCCTCTGTCTTTCAATAAATCCATCAACATCATAGTTTTTGAACCAAAACAACTTTTTATAGTGATGTCTTGTTTTTTAATACTTATTTCCATTTAAAAAAATCTTTTTTGAGGTTTTTTTCTGAAACTTGATTTACATCTCTGCTAATGAAAGTTCGCCCACTAAAAAAACTTTCAAAACCTGTGACAAAGACACAAATTCAGGAAAAATTGATAATTATTCTTCAACCTATATTTGCGATTTTTTTCATAAGATTGAAGATATTCCAAAAGCTGTTAGATACACATAGGTACAGGATCATATACATGAAAGGTATTTAGAATGATGTGCAGAATCCAAAAAATTAACAATATACAGGGCGTCCCATTTAAAGTAAGCAAGTTGGTAGCAACGTCCTGTATAACCGGAAATAATAATAATTAACTTCTTTTCATTTGTAATAACATTACAGGAGGTGAGATTTGGATACTATATTCGTTCTACCACCTAACAACAGCAACAATACGAGATATAAAAAAGATAAGGTCAGTTACAGAAAATTTCGCTGTAGTCTCTCTTAATTTTTTCTTGAATTTGGGTGAAGAATTAGCTTATTTAAAACTACAGCATAAGAAATTATATAATCTGATTGCATTGTAAATATATGTGTTCTAAAATAGAGATGGCGTTTGATGCAAAAAGTCTATCTATATCTAATATTAATGCCGTGTATATGTGCTCTAGGTATGAATTTGCTTTCTAAATATGTAATTAGGTCAGACGTAGGAGTTGGTGTTTATACATTTTATCAATTTTCATCCAGTTATGGTCATTAATGGCCTTCGATATACACGGTGTTAGGCAAATAATATTCGTTACTCTAAGAGGTGATTCTTTGCATTATTCTAAGCAAAAAAGATCATTATAACTTATGTCCGAAAATCAATCGTTTTCCAGGAAGGTGAGTCGTAAATAATTAAATTTTCTCGAACATTTGGCAACGTTGCAACGCTACCGCGATACGAGCGCACGACGACCGCAACTGATTCATCGAATTATTTACATTTGTATGATACTTTTGTTGAAAATATGCCTTAAATTATTGAATACTTTTACGCAATTTTTTGTGGCTAATATTTTTTATTTAATAGCGCTTTCAGTACAGTACATTGACTTAAAAAAAATTACAGAACTTACCGGTACGTGGCGATACACACCACCCATTCTCACGACTATCAGTAACTTATTTGAAACGATGCAATGCACGAAAAAGGAAAAAAAACATCAGTTAATCACATAAAGTTACAGTTAAATGTATTAGTAGTAGTATCAACACGCGATGATACATGCAGTGCAGGCGGAGTACGACGTTGCCAGTTGTGTGAGGCATCTTGTTTGTCTGTTTTTCTTCGGAAAATTGTATTTAATAAGCAAGAAAATTATTTTGTTAGAGACATTTTACGCTATTAGGCATATGAATTTACAATTATTAAGGTTCAAAATTAATTTATTTCATGACTAAAAAGAAATAAGTTCAGCATTTTTTTGCTCTGAAACGGTTGATTTTCGGACATGTTTATACTGAACTTTTTTGCTTAGAATAATGTAAGGAATCATCTCTTAAAGTTACGAATATTATTTCCCTAACACCCTGTATACTCATACTCTCTTAGATCATTTACGAACCTGCAACAGGTATTCATAATACTTTGAATGCGATTTTTGTTATAATATCTGAACATGGATAGTAAACCATTAAGCAATACGATATTTTTGAAAATTATAAAGATTGACTCAATTCTTCTCTCACAGATTTATTATTACTTGCAAAACATTTCTGAGATTAGCGTAGCACTGGGAAATGATATAGTTTATGTGTTTGAAAGATTTTAAGTCATCATCCATTTTGACACCTAGGTTATTATAATGGTCCATTTATTTTATTACGTTTAAAATTTATGTTTATGTCATAAGTGTTCAAACGGAGATTATGACTAGTACGAAACTTTTCAATTTGGGCAAGATCTTGATTAATGTTATTATTAGCTGTTTCCAAGTATGCTGAATGGTTTCACCTCTGTTTCTAAATTAGAGATATACAGGGTGTCCGCAAAGTTGGGGTTTTCCTTTTCAGAAACAACTACCCTTGAAATAATAAAGGAAGAAGTACTCACTCTCCAGTTGACGAGAAGGGCTAAGTACGTCTCTGCCCAAAATCATACCGCTCCAACAGAAAATGAAATCAGCTGATGCGCTACCGAGCAGACGCAGGCAAACAAGGAAGGCAAAATGTTAGGTAAAAAGTTTAGGTATTGCATCCCGTCCAATCGATTTGGGAGAATAAATGGTCCAATGAGCATACCGTTCACCATGCCAGCTAAAACAGTCACCGAAAATGTTTGTTGAAAATGTGCCCGACGGACAGCGTGCGGATTTTCTACTGACCAAACATGAGTGTTGCGAAAGATATTCACCCCATTACGCGTGAACGTAGATTCGTCTGTCACCAATATGCACTTTAAAAAGTCCGGATTATTGTCATGTTGATGCAACAACCACTCACAAAACCGCACTCTTGCTGGAACATCGTCAGGTTGAAGGGCTTGTACACGTTGGACGTGAAACGGATACAGCCCCTCTTCACGCAGCGTTTGCCACACTTTAGTTTTTGATACTTGTACTTCTCTAGTCACGTCTCTAGTGCTTGTTGTTTTTTGAAACGCAATCGATTATACGTGTTCGTTTACCTCTACACGCGTGACCGTAACCGTCGGTTGAAGGTTGCATACTGACCTGAAACACTGACCCCGACCGAGTTCTGTCGTCGGGTTGAGCTAGTGTCCTAGTACCACTTAGGGATGTCGCGGCTACAGGACGGTATTCAGATATTTTTGATGTTGCAGAGCCCTTTATCTCGGTTCCCTTAAGACATTGGTGTATATGGTACTAGAAAAAATTGCTTATGTTTTCAAGATCTACACGTCGTGTAAAGGAAAACCCCAACTTTGCAGACACCCGTATAATGAAAATAAGAGCGATCCTAAGACCATGTGGTCCCCAAGAACAAATTTTGTGCTACCATTTTGAAAATATTTTTGCCGAATTGCTTCCTGGTAGGTTGAATACGCTGATCAATTATTGCTCTCTCGCCTGTTGGCTTGTGGGAAAATATCTGCTGTAGGAAAAGGTTAGACGGTTTATTTTGTACTGTCATGCGAGTCAGAGTCATTTAAAAACAAACAAACAAACAACTAGGAATCTTCCAAGGCCTTCCAAGACGAATGCGTTGAAAGAAGTGTATTTTACTAAAATATTTATAAACTCCAGACTCTATAAAAAAATATTGAGAATATTTGTGGATGAACTCAGTAATATATTTTATTGAAAAAGCTGTTAAAAACCATTCTACTCTTAAGATAGAAAAGCTATACAAGATGTACGTTCGACCAAAACTTGAACATGCACAGAGCGTATGGACTTCCTATTTTGTCAAAGCAATCGATATACTGAAAATATTACAACGTAAAATGACGCGAATTCCACCAGAGATTCAACATTTGCCATATGAACAACGTCTAAGGGCTATGAGTATGACAACACTCGCTGAGGGGACCTGATTGAGACTTTGGGATCATCAGTGGGTACTGCTCATGTACCGTTCAGATATACAATATCATTCAAAATCTTCATCTCAAAGGAATACCAAATAGAAGAGAAAACATCTAAGTTGAAAATTAGAAATTTCATTTCAAAACGAACTCTCTTAGTGAAGAAACAGTGGGTGCAACAACTGTCAATTTAGTCAAGAATACGCTGGATAAGGAACTAAAAGAGAGAGAGACACTTTTCGTGCATTATAAAAAAGACTTTACATTACAATGTCATCGGACTTTTCCGCCTAACGTTGTAGTGCTAATAATAATGTTTTCGTCATCCAGGATCTTACGAACCGCCCTGATATTGACTATACAACGTTTCGCAGGTGTACGCTGGTATAACAGTATTGAAGATCCAAAATACACATTCGAAGTTCCCATTTGAAATATTAATTAAAGAGAACAAGACAAAAGTCAAAGTTCCCCAATGCATCTCGAAAATTGCTGAGCAAAATTTCCATTTTCGTTACCCTTAATAAAAGCCGATAAAACTTGCTATACCCAAGTAATTTGGGAGGCTAAATTTTAATATAACTATCACGGTACGCTTGGGTGTCTGAAAATGTTCTTAATAATATTCTAGGACAAAAATTTCGTTTTGCTTGGTAATTTGAACGATGAATTCGACTGCGTCGAATATATCAAAAGCTTCTTCTTGCCTTGCACTGCAGAATTGTGAGATCGAATTTGAGGTAGAAATTGAATCTACTGGGATCTCATGTCTCAAAGCATCAATTGTTGTCATATCAGGAGTCTACAAACACTGTGCATTGAACTAAGGACTTATTTTATCTTTTTTCTCTATCTATTCATTTTCTCCTTCCTCGCACTCTTCTATTTATCACTCTCATTATGTTAGAATATTCTCGATTGCCTCTGATCATTTGTAATATGAATTTATTATTGATAATAGGCATTCATTTCCCTGACAGTAAAAGAAAAACTTAGGATAAGTTCTATGGATCTACTTACATTTTTCTAAGCACTCTGGGCAAAAACTCAGATAACGTACACGACACAGAAGCTGTTAGAGGAACGTTAGATGATGTCATCTCACTTCCAACATTTTTCCCGCAGTTTTGGTAAAATAATACTGCAGCGAAGATACATGCGTATGAAATTGAAGATTTTTACAGTCACTGATCCGAAAATATATCATAACATTTTTCACCTTGAATTTTAATACCGAGAGTGGGTTTCAAGTGTGCGGTGACTACGGATGACGCAGCCGTTGCGAACACATGGTTTAATTGTTAATTGCAAGCCTCGAGATGATTACAATACAAAATTGTCAATGGAATGTCTGAACAATAAACATTGCTACTCTCAAGTGTTAAAACCCCTTGGTCAAACAAATTTTAGTAAACCCAATGTAACTCTCACTGACTAGAGAAATCTAGAGACATCTCATACGTTAAAAGTCATCAGGCCTTTTAAGCTGTAGCCTGTAGAATAGAGAATTCGAAGTTGAAATTTTTGACTAAAATCCGTTATTTTGATTATATAAGGCGTTTAGTATTTTTTATAAGAATTCAACGATGTATCACGTTACATTTACTTTCTTGATTATAAGGAAAAATGCGTTTTTTCTTGTTTTTTATCTTTTTAAGTAGGCATTGCAAACAAATGCTTGACTTGAAAAAGGAATCTTTAGAGTTTAGAATATTGTTGCTGAGAACTCTGAGATATCAACTAGGCAAAATGAGAAAGATTTAGGAGTAGCCAAATCTACTGCCCAATTTATTTTGCGTAAAAGTAGATATCACTCCGTTCAAAAATAATATGATCCAACGAGAGTATGGTCACTAATAATATTGTCCAATAGGGACGCAGGAAAGTAAACGTCAATGTAACATAGACGCCATCTTTGTTTTTTGTCACCGACATGTCATTTTGTTGTTGTTGAATGTTTACCATTGATCGCTATGGAGTCGTATTCGATTGAAGACCGCATTAAAGTTATTCAAGAGCACTACAAAAATGGTGCAAAAATAAAAAACACGTTTCGCGCGCTTCGTGAACATTTCGGTCTCAACAACCGCCCAAACGAAACAACCATCGGTCGTCTGGTGCGTAAATTCGAGGCAACAGGTTCTGTGGCAAATCTGCCAGCCTTTGGCCGGCCAAGGAGCGTTCGCACACCGGAAAAGATTGCTGTTGTGAAGGAGAGTGTGAGAGACGATCCGAAACAATCAACAACGCGTCGATCCCAAGAATTGGACATTTCGATAACCAGTTTGCTCCGCATTCTCCACAAGGATGTGAATGTACACGCCTAAAGGATCCAATTGACGCAAGAGCTGCATCGGGCCGACCATTTTTCGCGCCGAACGTTCTCAGATTGGCTCCTTGAACACCGCCAAATTGATGCCAATTTTTCATCAAAAATCATGTTCAGCGACGAAGCGGATTTCACTTTGAATGGGACGGTAAACAAGCAAAACTGCCGCATCTGGGCGAACGAAAATCCCCGTGAGTATCAAGAGCAGCCGATGCATCCTCAAAAAGTGACTGTGTGGTGTGCATTGTGGTCAAAAGGCATCATCGAACCTTACTTTTTCGAAAATGCGGCCGGGGACGCCGTTACCGTCAATTCTGAGCGACATCACATGACGATAGAGGACTATTTTTTGCCGCAACTTGAAGGAATGGATAAGGTCGATGTTTATTTCCAACAAGACGGTGCAACATGCCACACAACCAACGTCAATATCCATCGATTGCAGTCCTTCTTCGGTGATCGCGTGATTTCGTGCAGAGGAAATGTGCCATGGCCACCAAGATCGTGCGATTTGACTCCCTTGGACTTCTTTTTATGGGGATATTTGAAAAGCAAAGTCTACGTCAACAAACCAGCCACCCTCCAAGCACTCAAAAACAACATCATTGCCGAGATAAATGCCATAGAACCGACCATGTTGCAAAATGTCATTGAAAATTTCGACCATCGCGTGGACGTCTGTAAATCCAGTCGTGGTGAACATTTGAGCGATATTATTTTTCATACATAAATGGTATAAATGAACCTTCAAAATAAAGTACCAACTTGATTTGAATATCAATCTTTCTTGTTTTAATATGCGTTTACTTTCCCGCGTCTGTTTTGGACAACCCCATATTTGTTCGCCGCAACACTCATTGCTAAATCTGTGGGCTAAAAAAGTATCTAGATATCAAGAACGTTTTGGGTTCATTATGTGGTGTGGAATTCTAGGGACGGCGATATTAGCTCCACTTATTTACCACAACTCAGTAACTTCAGAACGGCACCTTCAATTGCCGCAACATGATCTAGAATACTGGATAATTTACCTTTGGCACAGGTTAACAGCTGTTAGTTTCAACAAGACGGTGCTCCTGCACATAACTCTATGCAAGTTCGAGAGCATCTTTCTCAACGATTTTCCGGTAACTTCTCTGGATTTGTTTGTTTGGGGTTTTATGAAAAACAACGTTTATCAGCACAATTTTGAAGCTGGGCAGCAGTTACGAGAATGTGTAATGGAAGCATTTAGTATGATTACATCTGAAATGTTACATGATGTTTTGAATTCTACTGGTAGAAGATCATATTTATGTTTAGAGAATAATGGCAACCTATTTGAACACCTATTGTGAATAAAATAAAAATAATGTTGAACATGCATCCGTTATTCTGAATATCACTATATTAACGGGGCTCCTACAATCACGAGCACCATCTGCTGAGGTAACGAGGGGGTGAAAAGGAAACGATTGTGGGCTGGACTTAGACGGTGGTCGGCGCTACTTTAAAAGAAGAAAGGATGACTGCGGGTGCCTACCGAGGTAAATTTTTATAATAACAGAGTCGGATTTCGATTAGCGATCTAGCCTGTAAATCGTTTCCTATTTTGGTACTCAGCTGGTGATCATTTAGTATTGTTCTACCCTTGTTACTGTTCGTCGATATTGTGTTGTTGAATTGTTGTGTTGTACTCTTGTTAGTGTGATTGTTCTTGAGTGAATTTTTATCAAGGTTGATAATGGACAATAAAAGGTCATATGCGACAATTTTAATTACGAATTCATTGAGTTTAATTCATGATGAGGACAACAATAGTGTGGAGCAGTTCCACTCTATAATCGCAAAATACATTTGGGTAAGCGAATAAATTATTGCAAGAAGAGGTCATACCATGGAAGATGTACTTCAGCTGTAGTGAGCCACAATACCGAGCGGCCTGTCTATGTGGTCGAAATACATTTACGTTCTAAGCTTAGTCCAACCTCGCATATCACTAAGATGGAATAAAGACTCAAACGTTAGAATCTTGGAAAGAAACTCAGACCAACAAAAGTTGATATAAAAATAACAATTCGGATAGCAATTCCAAAGAAAATATATAATCGTTTTATGGCGAATTCTGTCAAAAACTTAGAAAAAGTGACGACGAGATTTTGCATATCGAACAAGTCACCAAATCACAGGACTGTGCTTTGTGGCGTCTTCATCGGAGGATAAGGTTGACAGCGTCCCGATTTGGTGAAGTTTGTAGAAGAAGGCAGACAATAAGCTGTAAAGTTCTAGTAAACTCCATCATATACCCAACAGAGTTTTCTAGTAAGGCAGCTCATTCTTGTGGTTTGTTTATCGATCGCACACATCCATTTCTGGCAGCATCACCTCCATCTACCTATTACAGTAGACAAGACATGTACTTAATCCAGGTAAAGCCTACCTGTTTATTGCTTTGCAAAAACTACCTAACAGTTTCCTCTTATTTTGACGGCATAAGATATTGTTATGAGCCTCGTTCAATTGTTACCATCGACCACACGACCCTTGTAAACATATTTGTGTTTATTGACATGAATAAACGAATTAGAATTTGAGTTCTTGAATTTATTTTAGGAAAGATATAAAATTATTTGAATACATTTTTTCTTAGTCGGAACGCACCGTTGCGTCATTTGGACTACTGGCAGGACGTAACAGTAGATGAATTTCGCCAAAAAACCGATTTGCAATTCACAGCTTACTTTTTATTATTTCCAAATGAAACTCTTGCAGCATGCTAAAAACAAAGCCCCAGCGATCCACTTTTCCGATTTTATCCACTAGGATCTTTTTAAAATATCAAGAAGTTGACCACAAATAGTGAACATTTCAACCCACCATAATTCTTGCGCATAGACAAAATTTTGTAAAAAGCTCTGATTGCACCCTAGGCAATTATAGCCTGCTTATATCCAGAAAAACATCACAAACTGCAGAACACAAAAGGTAGCGGCGAAATGGGTACATTTCACGGGTTATGAAATTCAAATGAAAATGCAGATATAAAATCTACCAAATGATCGTTCTCAAAAACATATTTCCTTGACATATGGATAATTTTAAAGTTCCACGCTAAATTCCCCTATACTTGACTGGACCGAATTTATTCTTCCCTACTGTGGGTAGTTGCAGATCTGTTGGCTGTTGGTGTCAAATCTATAGAGCAGGTACCGATTTTTTGAAATCGTGAGCATGTTATTCGTCGGATTTTCGATACCTAAATTTCCTGTAATCACTGGGATCAGAAGCTTCTTAGTAATAGAACGTGTTTCACTGATTTCAACCCCCCCTTTTTAAGCAGTACAATTCTTTATGTCAATGATTATGAAACGTCAAACACGGAGTTTCAGCAATTGTGACTTTTTCTTTTTTACCTATAGCACCGTTGCCACTGGACTAAAACTACAAAGCTTTGGCATACTAGTAACCGCGTGTGGAAATTTCCTAAAAATCCGAGCGGTAATTTCCCAGTTTATGATGAGTGATACAGTTTTTCGTGATGTAGATATCATATGACTTAAAAAACCTTAACATCTCATTTTAGAAATTTTTCGCGATAACAACACTTCCTCGCCAATGACGTGGGAAGTAAAACGGCTTTAAAATCGAGGAGTATCAGCGATCGCGATTATGAGTACCTATTTGCGGAACGACTTATCTATGCGATATTATATGAAATAGGGCCACCAAATTATCTGAATACGTCCTTTCTTAGTCCGTACATTGCGCCGCAACGCTTGGTTTGGCAGCACGAAACAGTAGACAAATTTCGTCCAAAATACGATTTGTAGAGGTTTGCGCTCTTCGAAATTGATGCTTTATTTTTTGGATGAAATTTTCACAGAGTTGCTGAAAACAAAACCCCACAGGGAGCTGTAGAGCCACTTTTTCATTTTTTCCACTAGGTTCTTTTTAAAAAAATCGCGAAGTTGAACAGAGAAAGTGCGCACTTCAACCCATCATAAAACTTGTGCAAAAACAAAATTTCAAAAAGTGCTCCCACAGCACCCTAGGCAATTATCTTCTCAACAAACTGTATGAATTTCATTCAAAAATATTGAAAAATGGAGTGTCAGTTTTGAAGCAGCTGAACCCTTGTAAATGGCTTGAAACTCGCTGCGTCGGGGCCGCCTTAAGCATCATTTCATAAAATTTTACCCCATCACATCATTATGTAAAATGTAACATTCATCTATCAGTAATTTTGCATTACATCAAGCAATTGTTCGCAACACCCACTTAAACAAAGTAACCCTTAAGTAAAGTAAAGTAATAAAAAAACACATTTTTCTTTATGACGAAGAAAACAAATGTAACATCATTGAATTCGTAAAAAAAGATGCAGGGTGTACTTTTTTTCTAGGCATATAAAGAAATAAAGTTGATGATGGTTTCTCAAAAACCAAACGCCGGGCAGAAAATTTATAAACACCAACTGCTAATAAGAGTTTCATTAGTTTTTTGATACCTCTTAAAGTGAAGTCGGAAAAAAATAAAAACGATTTGGCCAAATTTTAGTTTTTCCAAAATAAGTGCCTCAGTAAGCCATGAAACTTTGGACATCCGAACATCCTGTATAGCTGTTACAGTACTCTGGTATTTAGAATTTGCCTATACGCAACTACTGGAATGTGAAAAATCAACAAATAGCGCGCTCGCTTACAGCACACGCTATCAACAGTTCGGTACGTTCCTGAGAATCCGACTTCCAAATACTTTTACCTATATTTAAGTACAAACCATACGTCTTTGTTTATTCAATGTGAGAATCTGAGTCTATGTAATGTTTAATAAAAGTTAGTTAAAAATAACCTTTGGCAGTATGGTGTCACACCCACAATCCCGTGGGAACTGTCATAAGAACATTACTTTTAACGCAGCCAGATAGAGAAATCAACATCAGAGTGCATTTTAATATGAAACAGTGCGTTTGGTGCATTTATTTCTAGATTCTGGGATTTTGATATAATGGGACGTAAGCACAAAAAGGTAGTAAAAAAGTTTTATTAGTTTTGTTATTGCATGCGTTCCTCATCTTCAGTAATTCAAGTACGAGTATACTCGGTGACAAATAAAAAATCCAGTAAACACGATTTGATTATGTGTATGCTGCCCATGAAATACGAGCCCCTTCCCACTTCAGTTGGCCCAACTATTGAAATCTTAGTTTTTTCTTATCAAACACAAATAATAAAAATGTAGCAGGGTGTTATAGGTTTAAAATATTAACAATGAATATTTTGATAATAATATAGTAGAAAACACCAACTTTATCACTCCCTAATCAAGTTTGCAGCATAAAAATAACACATCTTGCAATTACAGCATATCAATCTATTTTCATTTCAATGCAAAATAAGTCTATAACGCATAGGTGGCTGTGAAAAATAAAAGCCATGACAATTGTTTTTATTAATCACAGCTGTCAGAATACGTTTAAAATAGTTTTGGCTAGTTAATGTTTTCAAAATGGGTAGAGGAAAGGTTATTAGCGAGAAAATTCGGTTACTGATAATTAATTTTTTTAATTCTGGGAAATCAAACTCAGAAATTGCAACTTTGTTAGACTTATCGCGGTACAGTGTGAGAAATATTGTTAGAAGATATAACGTAACTGGTTCAGTTAATATTAAGCCACGATATGTGAAAAAAAGTAATATCACAAATGCCGACCGAAGAGCATTAAGAAGAATAATGAATAATGAAAAACAGGCGTGACAATTATTTACAATTAAGTGCTCCTTGGAGTGACGCTGTTGGCAGGAGAATTGCGAGGTCCACAACTCATAGAGAGGCCCACAAACTGGGATTTAGCACTTGCAAGGTAAATTTTCTTATAAAAAAGTGAAGTAAAAACCCTAAAGTTGCACAACTTGTTTATAGGCCAAAGAAAAGCCTCTATTAACTCCACTGCAAAAGAAAAATCGGCTTAGATGGGCTAAAGAACATAGACAATGGACACCTCAACAATGGTGTGCAATACAATGAAGTGATGAGACCCGATTCGAAGTTTGTCTTGGTGACAGACGCAGTAGAGTTATTCGCAAAAAAATGAAGCATTCCATGTTGACTGTCTGAAGAGAAAAGTGAAATTTCCAGCATCCATTATGGTCTGGGGCAGTATGTCATCAAAAGGAGTAGGGAAACTTCATTTTATTGATGGAAATGTGGATACAAACAAATATTTGGCAATTTTAGAAGAATTGCTTTTACCAGTGATGGAAGAAGAACATTGCCATGCCTCAAAAAAGGCTATAAAACGGATGGAAGAAAATAATGAACCACTTTTGAAATGGGTTTCAACCAGTCCAGATCTGTCACCTATTGAAACTTTGTGGCTCGAGATGAAAAAGGTTCTACGACAACATCCTGCTCGTACAATCACCGAACTGAGACAAAAGCTTCAAGAAATATGGGATTGTTTTACACCAACTTTTTTCCAAAACTTGGTTAACACTATGCCCCAAAGAATTTCAGCCGTAATAAAAAATAAAGGCGATGTTACCCAATGGTAATCTTTCAATTGTTGCTTTGTTAACTTCGCGCATTTATTCGCACATTGTTTATTTGTTCAGATGTTCTATTAGTTATAGGTCTAAGTGATTTCAAATATGTATTTTTTACGACTAGAGTGTATCTAAAATGTTTTTGAGAAAATAAATTGTTTTAGAAGTAAATAGTTTCGTCATGTTTAGTTTATAAAGGCATATTTTGGTACAAATCTTGAAGTGGGCCAACTGAAGTGGGAAGGGGCTCGTATATCCATCAGCTATGCGTCACGGGTTATTTGTGTTGTTCTTTCTGAAATTATACATTACGAGTTTCCCCGTTTTTTTTCTTCGCGCTTTCAAATACTTTAAGAACCATTACGGGAAATCAGCACCGCACCCGCCTTGTGTGTAATTAAGCCACATCGCAGAAAAATTAGGCGCATCACATACAGAACTACTACTACTTGACAAAAATGAATGTAAAATGTAAAACTTTTTCACGTTCCATAAATATTCCTGTATGTACCATATTTCCTCACCTGTTAGTTTTAATATACGTCACCATCCAGGGATTTTCTTTTCTGAAATTCAGCAAATTTGCATTTGTAATTTCCAGAATGGATAAGAAAAAGTGGATTCACAACTAATTTCTAGCTTTGAATCTCAAGCAAGTGTATTTGAGACAAGAATCCGATGGAATTATCATCGACACATATTATTCGCGCACAAATCCTCACTATGCACCTATGCGTTGCCATTACCTCTAGCAATGCCATCTCTGAAGCAGATTTTACATCGCGTCAGAGCCAAACATTGATAACTGAAGCATAATGACGTTTAGGAAACACGTACAGCCACAACGTATACATCAGCTAGTGATAAGTTAACATCTTGTAGAAAAACCTACACAATGTCACAAAAAACAATATAATGGCAAACAAAATCGACATGATGTCACTTTCCAAGATACGTAATACCAATGCCGGTCGGTATCGTTCGTCTCCTCATCGTACATATTCAGATCACAATCAATTAACTGTATGCTGGAATTTAAAATTTATAGCAACAGTTTTATTGCAATATAAATTAACCGATTTCTTTTACATCAAGCAAGGAATTCACCGAACACACTTTGAAATTTGCAATGAAGGTGATTGCAGATTCAGTTATAGTGGTATCATCTGCAAACATGGTTATATGTCTCATGGAGATATGACTGAGCAAATCAATGACGTAAAGATTGAACAGCAGTGGTCCCAGTACAGATCCCTGAGGTTCACCAGTTCACCAGTATATAGAGGGTGGTAAATCGTCATAACTGCCGATATTGGTCCGATTCTAATACCAGAATTTATCATGAGGTTCATATACAGCAGCCACAAAAATTAAATGTTTGGGCTGGTATTTTTGGCGATAATTTAGTTGGTCCTTTTTACTTACCTGGAAATTTGACCGGTGAAATGTATTTGGAATTACTGGAAGACGCCATAGATCCTGCATTAACAGCCATAATTGAAAATCAGAATGATCGGCGGTACATTGCAAATAGGTTGATGTTCCAACAGAATGGTGCCTCACCACATTACGCATTACGTGTTCGACAATATTTAGATCAGACGTTTCCAGATCGATGGATTGGTAGAAGAGGTGCCATTGAATGGCCCCCAAGATCACCAGATTTATCACCTTTGGATTTCTTTATGTGGGGTCATTTAAAAAGCAAAATCTATGCTACTCAGCCAACATCATTAGAAGACCTGCGACAAAGAATTGTGAATAAGTGCCTTCAAATTACTCCTCAAATATTGCAAAATGTGCGGCAACGTTTTGAGCAAAATCTTTATTATTACATGGAGATTCATGGTGGTCATTTTCAACATTTACTTGCCTAACGGGTCAGTTCATTCTTCATTTTTAAATTACTTTGCAGACAAATGTATTGATCTCCACTAATGATGATGTATTAGTTTTATTTAAGCTTTAAATCAATAAATCTTCAAAACTACTGAACTGAAGTACATTCATTTTATATCATTATGAAGGGAATTGAATTACCTTTAAAATAAGTTATCACTCGACCCCCCTTTCCATTTAAGATTTTGGGGGTGGTGTCACCCCCGCTTAGGGGGCTGCACGTGCTAATGTGATTTTTTGCCAAACTTGTGTCCCCCTCGAAAACAAAATCGACGGGTCTGAGCGTCTTTCCAAAAAAAAACTGAGCTGCCAGTAAATGCGTCTGTTTCGTTTTCGATGCGCCACCCTGTATATGAGATGTTGTACTTCCAAATCTAACTTTTAGGTTTCTGTCATCCATGTTGGAGATGACCCAATTAGGTGGTAGACGGTCTCTGACTGTCGAACGTGGCGGTACCACCCGGCGGATCTTGTAGGCGGAGCCAGAATGTGTGCATGTTGCATGCACACGTGTTCCCTCGCCAGAGTCCGTGTGGCGCCCCACTTTCCCCTGTATCCCTGTATCCCGTGGTAGTTAGAGTATAAAAAAAATTAAAAAGAAGCCACTAATACCCACAGTATATAAATTTTGCTTAAGTAAGATGTTATCTATAGTGTCGGATGCCTTAGATAGATCAAAAAGTAAAGATACTACATATTCTCAATCGCCAAGTATGCTATAAACAAATTCAAGCAAATGACAGCTTGCAGTTTCGATCGATTTTTCCATGTCGGCTACGTTGTTGGCAACGTTATCATGTTCGCCTTTTTTAAATATAGGTATGATCACTTCAAGTTTCAATATGTTAGGAAAACAACCACTCTCAACAGATTTATTAAATAAAAATTCGAAATTCTCACCAATACAACAAGAATTTCATTTAAAAGATGTATCTAAAGTAATATTATCAAAGTCAGTAGACTTTTTATTTCTAATTTTTTTTTTAAATATTTTGTAGCTCATTTAAGGTGGATGGTTCAACAAAAATAGAATTTTCTCTGTAAGATGAAATAGTACAGGAAAGTGATGCATAGAGGTGGTCGAAAAATTTTTGATAATTTTTTTGGTCAACTGAATTTTACGTTTACAATAAGTGCGAAAATCATTGCTAGAACATAGTTAATACATGGTATATTAATCTCCTTTTCTCAAAAGGGTCTATCCAAATATGCAATCGATACTACATTGAATTTAAAAACAAAATCGTCAAAATTTGTCAAATTGTTTTAAACCGAATATCCCATATTTTTTTACACATTCAGATACGAGTATACTCTTCCAAAAGAAGATACAGACAGTTGCTTAAAAAAAACTAAAACATTTTTTGAAGTTTGTTTTCACTCACAGTACGATTTGATAACTGTTCATTGATTTCAGTCTTCTCATCAAAAATCCAAATGGAATCAGTCATCAGTTGAATGCACCTACGAATTGGCTGAGCAGGATGATACGCATAAAAATAAAAATATTTTTGATATCCAAACATCGGATGTCATGGGAAGGCAAGTATATTGTTTCGTTATTGTTTAAAGCTCAAACGATTTCTACATCTACTCCGTAATTGAGTTGAATAAAATTAACTAAAGACTATATATATAAAAATACAACAATTCGTGAGAGATCGATAAAGATGAAAATCTTTAATATTAGTCCCAGAAGTGAATTTTTAATAATATGAGGTCAACAGCAGCATATAAAAAAAAGAAACTACTGTTTTTAGATATATTACTGCAGTAAGCAGGATACATCAAGGTGAAGTCATTATGAGTGAGCTACCCTTAGTAGTAGGGCCATGTGCTGACTCTGAGGCACAATGTTTAGGCTGTTATGAAAACTTGGAAAGGCAAGAAACCGGTTTCACCAGGTAGGTTTAGATATACATACAAGCTTTTATCACATCTCAAACTTTCGCTATAACATCGTATACTTCTCCAACGCGTTTTTTGAAGATGTTACAAAACAGTATTTTTTATTTCATTGCAGATGTAACTGCGGCTGGCCAATTTGTTCAAAAACCTGCCCAGGCCGCAATCTCCCTTTAGGACATACAGAAACGGAATGTAATATTTTGAAAAAATCCAATTCTGCTAAAAGTCTAAATCCCAAAGATCTATCACAAATAACACTCCATCTACAAGCAATAGCACCGCTGCGATGTCTTCTTCTACGAGAAGTTGATCCTTCAAATTTTGAACTAATTATGAGAATGGAGCATCATAACGATGCACGAAAAAACATAACGCAAGTATGGAACACGAATCAGGTTAATGTTGTAGACAGGATTCGAAACGACTGGTGCTTGACAGAATTTTCTGAGGATGAGATTCATACAGTTTGTGGAGTTCTGGAGGTAAATAATGTATACTAAGTGACATATAAGTCCGAACACCCAGTTTAAATGGTTTTATTTTAAGAAAATTTTGTATAAGTACTTAATGAAGCATAATAAGTAAATGATAAAAATTTCAAAATGATTGCACTGCTTTAAAGCCCTTTGACCTTTAATAATGTGTGGATGCACCCTGATGTGCTACGCATTCTCCAACGCGCCTAGGCATGCTTCTGATCAGGTGGTCAATGTCCTCCTGTGGTATCTCATTCCAGGCAACCACCAACTCCTCTCGAAGTGCTTCTAGAGTCTGAGGAGGGCATTGCAAATTGAGCAATCTCCTACCCATCATATCCCACACGTGCTCAATTGGGGATAAGTCGGGAGATCTTGGTGGCCATGGTAACAATGTGACATCATTATGTTGAAAGAAGTCTATTGTGACTCTTGCAACATGTGGTCGGGCATTTTCTTGTTGGAAAGTTGGATCTGCCAGGGTGTCAAGATAGGGTAAAAGATGGGGTTCTAGAACTTCGTGGATATAACGCTGCGCGTTCATGTTACCTCTGATGAAGATTAAAGGTGACCTGGAACCATAAGCTATAGCACCCCAAACCATAACTCCAACAGTGTGATGAACATGTCTTTCAACAAAAAACTGTGGATTCCTCCTTTCACCACGCCTTCTAACCCTGGCACGACCATCGTGCATGCCTAAACAAAATCGAGACTCGTCACTAAAGACAATACTGTTCCATTCCTGATCCCAGAGTGACCGTTGTCTGCACCACTCAAGGCGATTACGTCGGTGTTCTCGAGTTAAAGGGAGGACCCAGTGTGGCCGGTATGATAACAAGCCAAAACTTCTCATTCGTCGGTAAACACTTCGCATGCCAATAGGTCTTCCGTGTTCTGCAAACCATTCATTTGCAATGGACCTGGTAGTGGAGAAACGGTCCCTTAAGGCCAATAATCTTAGGCGGCGATTTTCACGGTCTGTTATTCTACGACGGCGTCCAGTGCCCCTTGCTCTTTGCGTACGGCCTTCTCGAAGCCATGCCTGACAACAGCTAACCACAGTTTCTACACTTCTTTGTACTCTAACTGCAATTGCAGGAAAAGAAGAAGTCCAGCTTCCCGAAGTCCCACTATACGGCCCCTATCAAACTCACTAAGTTGACGAAATCGTACAGGTCTCCGTACTCTAGGCATCGTAACCGATCGTAAAGAATGTCAAGAACCAAAATCCGCCAACGTTGATCCTTTACTGTGGCTGAAATATTCATTTTTAGAGCGTTAGTGAATTAAAAAAAAGCAGTATAAAAACCGGAATGTCCAACTGATAAGGCTGAAAATTTTTTCACTTGCTATTTACAGTAAGATAAATACATTCACCAACTTTTATTAAAATAAAACCATTTAAACTGGGTGTTCGGATTTATATGTCACTTAGTATAACTAACCATATCTAATAGGGCCATGCTAACAGGTCGAGTAGAGTTTGCTATTATCTCTACGCAAGATCATATTTACTGATCCCAAATTATTTTTACATAAATGCTACACAAACCATGGTCAAATTGTGTCTTATAATTCGCCAATGTTTTTCGATCATTCTCAGGTGAATAGCTTTGAAATAGGAAGAAAAAACAAAGCAAGAGGACTATATCCAACAGCTTTTTTGATGAGCCATGATTGTGTGCCTAATACAAATCATGTGGATGATGAAAATTATAAATTAACTATCACAGCATCTACAATAATACGTCCAGGTCAAGCAATAACTCTGAACTATGCCCCTACAATGCAGGTACGTATAAAAAGCAGCAGAAAAAGTGGTAAAATTAAGTTTCATGTCTATTCATAATTTGCCAATAATTTTCTGAAAGTCTCGCAAACTAATTGCAGTGGTATAGCTGTAATCACCGTTCTTGGCAGTTACGTCATCAACGCCGTATGGAATAAGTAACCGGATCAAGTCTTCGTACTCAGGGGTAGGTTGCATGTGTACGTAACTTATGAGGGAGATGGAGATATATCAAGGGACACTGGTAGTCTTACTTTGATCCGCCAAGAATGGCGACTACAACTATATCAATCTAATTCCATGATATCTATACATCGACGAAACACAAATGAATATAAAGCAACAATACATACAGGGTGGAACATCTATGTGTGGACGGAATATTACTCATAAACAATGCTTTCATGTTTTTAAAAAATTTTTAATCTGTTTTTAACTTTTTCTTGTTATATTTTATATAATTTTGACCATTGTACCATCTATCCAGCTTTCACCATGTTACTGGACGTTTCCCTCATCCTATATGTAAACAACAATTAGCAACATCCTCGCATACTACTCTCCTGAAGATGATGGCAAAGTCCATTGAAAGCTAGAGAGAATTAAAAGAGTATAAAGAGTCCTCTTTGCTTAAATTTTGTCGAAGTACCCAACAAAAGGCGGAAGCTTTAATTTTTCATCTATATATATATATATAAAAATCACAAAATAAACTAGTTGCGTTGATTGCTTATTAATTACAAATAAGCAATCAATGCAATATAAGGTGTTTTGTCTAGAAAAACCCCCCGCTTCGGCAACCCCTCAATCCGCCATTTTGAAATTTGGAGTGCTGAACTTTGTATCAAGAAAAACTTACACACCTCAGCTTTTCTCTTATTTGTTACTTTTTCGAAATTTAATTTCTGCTCATACAAGGTGGTCAAAAACGCAAATTGTAGTTTTTCTCAAAAATTTCTAATGCATCACCCTGCATATTTGTGCGAATTTGGATTCAATTTTTTATAAGCTTTTTTTTCGATACTAAACACATAAGGGTTTTTACGGCTATTTTTTCGGTTATTAGCACGTCTTTTATAGAACGGCTTAGTACCCTAAAGTATCGCATCATCCTTGGAAACAAATAAATTATTGATTAGTTACAAACTGTCAAAATTAGCTTTGTGAGCATTATAATACAAACGTGTTTGAAAATGAATTTTTCTAAAGAAGAACTGGCGAATATGGTGTTCGTTTAGGGCGAAGCCCAAAGAAATAGTTTCCTAGCATCTTGCATTTATAAGCAATGCTACTCTAATATGCGACATCCAACGCCGGAAACATTTTCCACGCTACGAGAACGTTTTGAATCAAGTGAAGCAGAACAATATAGTAAAAAATGTATAAATAATCCAAGTTCACCAATGAGGCGAATCAGTTGGAGGTTCTATTAAAGTTGCAGGAAAATCCCCATTCAAGTGCACGGCAAATTGGAGCAGAAACTGATACTGTATATGCAGAACTTCTGTCCAAAGGATTATTCACAAGCATATGTAGCCAAAGACTATGGCTGTGTATTCAACATGGTGGAGGCATTCTCGAGCAGTTTTTGTAGATTAGGTCTTGAGTAGGGACACTTGTTTGTTTATATTATTGTTAAAGTTGTTTTTCTTTATTACGCTTGAAGCTGATTTATACTATTCTGATTGTTATTAGTTTTTACATCAAATCTGTACTCTTAGTGGCAATATGGAACTAGCCCACTGTTTGTCTTTTGTTTTCATGGATAATGTGATTTTTTTCCTTAATTTTGGTGTGTTGTTCTATTAAAAGCTTAATAACTCAAAATCTAGTGATTTTATATGAATCAAACCTTATACCAAAAAAAGCTTATAAAAAATTGAATCCAAGCTTGCACAAATACAGGGTGATACATTAGAAATTTTTGAGAAAAAGTACAATTTGCGTTTTTGACCACCCTGTATGAGCAAAAACGAAAATTCGAAGAAAAAGTAACAAATAAGATAAAAGCTGAGGTGTGTAAGTTTTTCTTGATATAAAATTCAGCACTCCAAATTCCAAAATGGCGGTTTGAGGGGTTGCCGAAGTGGACGGTTTTTCTGGACAAAACACCTTACATCTCAGTAGCAAATTACCAAAACTCCTAAGTATGTTATACCAATCTTCTTCTTTTGAACTGGTTAATCCAAATATGCAATAAAATTTGTGGCATTCCATTTAAAAAATTACAACTTTGATATGTAGGTCAAAATTGGGACACCCTGTATAATTGCTAATATTTTATAAATGCGCCCTCAAATGTCATGTATAACATGCCGTGAATAGATTTTCCCAAAATGTATGTATTCCGTCCACACATGGATGGGCCACCCTGTATTTTGTCTAATCATTGAGAAACTTCTTTCTTCAAAGTACACTAAAAAGAGGACAACATATCCTCAATAACAAACTCAAACGGAGCACAAAGGAATATTATACAACAAAATATGATTGGCTCTGTAATAAAAACTTCTTTCTTCAGAGTACACTGAAAAGGCGAGAATATATCCTGAACAACAAATTCTTTGAATGCTGTTGTATTAGATGCTCTGATCCAGCTGAGCTAGGCAGCTACTTCAGTGCATTGATTTGTCCAAAATGTCAAACAGGACTCATTCTTTGTGACAAGCCGCTAAGCCTCCAGTCTTCATGGAGCTGTAATAATTTTCCAAAAAGATGTGTTGGGTATAATATGACCGCTAGGTCTATGGAACTCCTTTTGAACAGGTAAACAGGTAGTGCTTCAAAACCTTTTATTTTCTTCTTCGCAAGATTATGCTTGTATAATGCAACTTTCCAATGCTGCTTTATCTCAAAATCACTTGCTTCCCATTTTCTATTTTTTTGTAGGATTTTCCAGGAAGTCGAAAAAGTTGACTGCAACGACATCAGAGGCAAGGAAGCTTTCTTGGACAAGTTCAAAAATGTTCTACATCCATCGCATTACTTGAACTTTGGGGTCAAAGTATCACTTAGTCAACTTTATGGCAAGATTGATGGTTTTTTAATTCATGAACTGGACGACAGTGCTTTGGAGAGAAAAGTCGAGCTTTGCAAAGAAGTTCTTGAAATATTCGATGTAATTGAACCTGGGTATACCAGAATCAGAGGTAACATTATTCTTACCTATTAAATATGGTAGACTATACTAAGTGACATATAAATCCGAACACCCAGTTTAAATGGTTTTATTTTAATAAAAGTTGGTGAATGTATTTATCTTACTGTAAATAACAAGTGAAAAAATTCGGGAAGCTGGACTTTCTTTTCGGGCAATTGCAGTTACAGTGCAAAGAAGTGTAGACACTGTGGTTAGGTGTTATCAGGCATGGCTTCGAGAAGGCTGCACGCAAAGAGCAAGGGGCCCTGGACGCCGCCGTAGAACAACAGACCGTGAAGATCGCCGCCTAAGATTATTGGCCTTAAGGGACCGTTTCTCCACTACCAGGTCCATTGCAAATGAATGGTTTGCAGAACACGGAAGACCTATTGGCATGCGAAGTGTTCACCGACGAATGAGAAGTTTTGGCTTGTTTTCATACCGGCCACACTGGCTCCTCCCTTTAACTCGAGAACACCGACGTAATCGCCTTGAGTGGTGCAGACAACGGTCACTCTGGGATCAGGAATGGAACAGTATTGTCTTTAGTGACGAGTCTCGATTTGGTTTAGGCATGCACGATGGTCGTGCCAGGGTTAGAAGGCGACGTGGTGAAAGGAGGAATCCAGTTTTTTGTTGAAAGACATGTTCATCACACTGTTGGAGTTATGGTTTGGGGTGCTATAGCTTATGGTTCCAGGTCACCTTTAATCTTCATCAGAGGTAACATGAACGCGCAGCGTTATATCCACGAAGTTCTAGAACCCCATCTTTTACCCTATCTTGACACCCTGGCAGATCCAACTTTCCAACAAGATAATGCCCGACCACATGTTGCAAGAGTCACAATAGACTTCTTCCAACATAATGATGTCACATTGTTACCATGGCCACCAAGATCTCCTGACTTATCCCCAATTGAGCACGTGTGGGATATGATGGGTAGGAGATTGCTCAATTTGCAACGTCCTCCTCAGACTCTAGAAGCACTTCGAGAGGAGTTGGTGGTTGCCTGGAATGAGATACCACAGGAGGACATTGACCACCTGATCAGAAGCATGCCTAGGCGCGTTGGAGAATGCATAGCACATCAGGGTGCATCCACACATTATTAAAGGTCAAAGGGCTTTAAAGCAGTGCAATCATGTTGAAATTTTTATCATTTACTTATTATGCTTCATTAAGTACTTATACAAAATTTTATTAAAATAAAACCATTTAAACTGGGTGTTCGGATTTATATGTCACTTAGTATATTATTCTTACCTATTAAATATGGTTCAAAATATTGTAATAGTACCTGTAGATTGTATTGCTGTAACGAATGTAAATTTTTAGTTATTATTAAGCAAAGTCGAATGCGGATATGCGAATACCTGCAACCGATATTTGCGAATGCTAACGCAAATATTCAGTTTTTCTTTTCTATACACCAGATCGAAACATACTTGAATGAGAAAAGGCTGCTTTTAGTTATGAAGTTCAATATCCCTCTGTAGCTGTTCTTTCCATGGTTTTTGGCGGTTACGTCACAATACCATACGAAATAAGTGGTTTCTGGCAGGCCACAGTAAAACTACAGGAATTTATACCACACACACACATATGCAAATTAGAGATGTTAAAAATCATCGGTTATTGTTTCCTTATAACCAATCGATTTTCTGGATGATAATAATCGATTTTTAATAGTTCTATTATAAAAATTTTTGTAATCACTCTTTAAGTTGTTATTCCTTAATTTCTAATGACAAAAATCTAATTGTTTATAACATCAAGGAAAAGAGCTTATGTAAAGAATAAGGTATTAAAACATACTTTTCTAGCAAAAAAATAAACTAATATTTTATGTGTTATTCAAGTACGCCATTTATTTCCGTACCTATTATCTTTTTCTGATATTCATATTCGCATAAACATGGCGGATGAGGATTCGAATACCAAGATAGCAAATATTCGTTACACCACTAGCATATCTGTTTTTCTTATTCTGAAATCAACTTTTGAAATTCTAGGCGTGACTCAATATGAAATCCATGCCCCAATGATGATCCAGCTCACTCGGCAGCTTTCCAAAGGATTGGACATATCAAAAAGTGAGATGAAATCTAAATTAAGAGAAATAGTGAAGTATTTGAGGGAGGCCAAGCTGATTTTGGAGCAAGAACCTGTAGAGTCTCCCGAAGGGCAAATGGGCAAAGCTGCTACACAAGCGTTGTTGCAAATCAAGGATTGGGAGAAAATAGTTGGAAAATTCTAATTCGTATTTTATTTTTATTTTACTCCTGAGTATTTTTTAATATCTCAACATTCTCACAATAAAAAGCTTTATAACAACTTTCTGAATTGATATTTAAGGTTAACTATTTTTATGTATTATAATAATGGTGTAATTCTGTGATATATTAACAAAAAGCAAAATTTACAACTAGGTACACATTTTTATCTGTTGATTAGGGATGATAAACTTGCTAATGGAAAATACATGTCAATAATTTTTCGTTTTATGACTTAAACCTGAAATTTAATATTTTAATTTCGAGACCACATCAGATTTCTGGTTTTGTTTTTATCATTTTCTTTATAGTCAAATGTTAAATGGCATTTGTGGCAATAGGTAACTTCAATTTTTTTATTCTGATAAATTGTTAATGGTCATAAACTCGAATTATTTTTTAATTTCGTTTTCTTTTTAAATTAAAAATTACTGAAAACTGACGCCAAATATGCAAAAATTTACAACTATTCACCGCCACATCTGAAACAATTTTAAGTATCTACTGCTACCTAAACGATGGAAGTATTAAGCTCGCGATAATATTCGACCTCCGGTTTGCAAGTTTTCTGTTGCTTAAAGATATCTGCAACACAGAAGTCCGTGTTTTTCGTTTATGTCCGCTAAAGTGGTACCGACTCCTAATATCCAAATGTTGCTAAAATATATAAATATTTCTCATGTAGCGGTTTCAGTGACGACACCACTGCAGACCAGCTGGAGTTTGTTACGAATTGTACAGTCGGTAGTGGCCTCCATGACAATCCAGTATCGCGCCGTGCACGCAACGCCAACCATTCACAATTTATTTCGAATTATCATACATCGGACTTTTGTCATTTAATGTTCTCGTTACAATATACAACGTCAATTTCTAAATTTTTCGTCCAATACTTCCGCAGCAGTTTTGGCTTAGGAAGCAAAATATTGTTACGCGTTTTGCTACGTCCCTGAATGGAACCCCTCGTAACGGCGGTACTGTCCATATTCCCGTTCAGCCCCAACGTCCGTTAGTCCTTGCAAATAAAAAACATCCAGATTTTTATTGTTTCGCAACCCTCTGTACTTAAGCGCGAACGGTATCGCGCATACTCCCCGACACCCTATTGATTTTAGAGCGATTCAGTAGGGTGGTTCAGTCGCAGAGGGACACGCGGGGATCAAAAGCACCCTGACAACTCATGCTGAGACAGCGTCGAACCTCCGGTCTAGTCAGCTGTGATTTGGCGCGCGCCAAATGACATTTGTTCAACCGTCGGCATTTGTTATACGGTCAAGGCACACCTGATTTTATGAGAGTTTTCGTTTGAGTGATAGTTGAGTACGTAGAGGTAAGTGATGTACATTGTGTAAATGTCTAGGGCGCATGAGTGAGGTTGTGGAAAGCTAGATTTAGCGAAGGGAGGTTGAGGACGTCGCGTGTGAGTCCTGTTGGATCAATACGATTTGCGCGGTTTGTAGCGCGCAGATGTTTGGGGTTCTCCCGTTAAGCGGAATCTACACTGCGAAAAGCGAGTTGCAAAATTACGCAATCGTTAATACCTACCGTAATTGCGAACAAACAAGATCTGATAATTTAAATAACATACAACATAATAATATATTTGCTCTAATTCTTTTTGACGCACCATTCTCTTTCCAGAATTTTTTTATCAGTGAAGTCAAATGATTAAGAAGGCGATTTCTTCCTTGATTTCATAAAAATATGCTTAATGCAGAATCTAGGAGTATGCTGACAGTTATGTTTCCTGAATAATTTTGTTCAAATGTATCCGTCAGCTACAGAAACTCTTCGAATGAAATTTCAATAACCATTTGGTACAATTGCGACTCAATTTGGTCAATAACTAAAAAAAGTTTTGCTTTATGTTTTTACTCGTCCATGGCTTGTTTGAATAGACAGTATACTTGAAAAGTGCCCAATACTGCTTGAAAATGATTCTTTTTCAATACTGTGGTGCGCAAAAAGTCAACAAACCAAAGAAAATTGCTTGATAACGTATTTGATAACAAAGTCATTGTAAACGTACCCGAAGATGTAAAAGTTTAAAGCATTTACATAGGTACTTAATTATAATATGAATTCTGAACAAATTAAAAAATGGTCAGGCAATCTGTCTTATTTACGCGGTATATAAAAATCACCAAAGATCGCTGATTCCAGCTTTCAGCAACCTTTGCTAGAACAACAAAAGCATGAAGTTGAGAGGTCAAGACCTGATTTACTCATCAATATAAATAAATAAACAAATGAAGGAAAGGAGGAAAGTGTATAGAGAAACCGTCTAGTTGCCGTTTGAAGCATTAACTACTATACAGTTACAGTGTTTTTCTTGCATGTCCCTCCCATTTATTTTTTGAGCGGGTCGGCAAGGTTTGAAATTCAGGATGATGAAAATTGTAAATACTGGATACTAAATTTTAGCATAAAGGCGCCATATGGGATTTCTTATAAATAGAACTGAGGGTCATGTGATACATCATATGTTAGAGCTGCCAAAGTTGAGAGCCTTTGCAGATTATATGGTGCTTTTCAAAAAGGTACCTATAAACTAATTTTTGAAAAAAATAAGCTAGGCAGCTGACATTTGTGTTAATGAAATTGATACATTAGCGTAAAAGTGGCGGATGGGTGCCATTTTGGAACATTTTTTGTGTGATACTTTATATCTTTTAAGTATAAAATCGCTGCTACTTTTCAAAATATAACTCATCAACCAATCATCAAAATACTATACGAGTAGTATGTTATATCAATCGTCTTCTCTTTAAAAGGTCTATCAAAATATGTAATAAAATATGGAGCATTCAAAATCTGTCAAGTTGTTTTTTAAAGGGAATGTTCTAAATTTTATAGCACATGTAGATAGACTTTTTCAAAAGAAGATTGGTATATACAGGGTGTCCGCAAAATTGAGGTTTTCCTTTTCAGACATATCTACGCTTTATATAACAAAGCTAATGTGTGGCGAAACGTGAGCACACAAGTAAAAAAAAATGAATGAAAAAATACTCTCTGTTGAAATTCCAAGTACGGCTGTGTCGTAAAATCTGTATTTACATCGTAGTCGTACGTCGTATAACTGTACGCTGGCGCTGACGCTGTGGACGTGATCGAGGGATAGGACAGGACTGGCTTCGATTTGGTTCAAGGTTTGCGCAATATCTCGGTTCTGGTGAATATGCTACACGTCGTATAACATTTTTATGATTAGTTGTTGAGATATAAGCAATTCAATAAACACGAATGCTCTACTTTGACAGTATGCTAGTCCGCCATTTTGAAAGATAGTACGTTTATATAATAGAGTTATAAAGTATACATAAAGAGCTTCAAAATGAAGTCACATGACTCCAATTCTATTAAAAGTAATTTTACAAAATTGCTCGGATCCGCAATACTGAAATTTTCAAGTGTTATTTTTACGTTAAAATACAGCATTCATGCGTCAAATTCATTGTCACGAATTTCAGGTCTCTAACTCTCAAACATCAAAGTCACTTTTTGATGAAATCTAACAAACGATGAATGTTGATCTTGTTTTCATTATTCGTTGTCGAGATAGACGGAAGTCAATGTGTACAAAAACTCTAAACTTTGGCAACCCGCTAGTCCCTCATTTTTCTAAACAGTAAACATTAGCTCTAGGGCTGTCAAGGAGCTTCAAATTGATGTATCACAGAACTGTGCAAATGATCCCCCAATACGATAACGAAATTTCAAGATAGTGCCATGTCGCCATCTTGAAATTTTCAGATATCACTTTCAGGCTAAAATACACCATTCATACATCAATTTCATCATCCCAAATGTCAACTTGCTAAATGTATCCGTTCAAAGAATAAATCGGAGGGGGGAGGCTGATATTAAAGGAAAATATTGAATATGTGGTAAAATGATCAGCACTTTTGGATTTTTTTAAATGTATATGTTGTTGGTGTCAATATGGAATAGAATAACGTCTATCCGCTCAAAATACAGACACCTGGAGTTTTGTTGCTTACGAGACACGTACAGGGTTTTTTTGAAATTTCATCTACTACATATAAGAAGTAGAAAATAGCTTGTGATGTTCGAACCCAGTTTGCAAAAAAAATCCGAATTTAGTGAGAGCAAATTTGGAAGATGCCATTGCAATTTCTCAGTCAAATAATGCTTAAGCCAAAGAGTAATATTTATTTTCGAATTACTTTTGTCTGACTCCAATGTGATATTACGTTGACCACTTTACAATTTAAATAAATATGTATAATAGGGAGAATTGTTATACTTCCACCTAAACTCTGCTCTAAACAGATAAACCAATTAGAGCGAATCAGGTCTTGGTCTGATATTCAAGTTTATAGAATACATCCTGGAGGCTGCCCCAAGTGTGTGCTACTGTGACAGAACAATATTTGTATTTTGTTGCTATTTGATTCATTTAGTGGAAGCGACACTTCATTTTTAGCTCCGGCAATTCATTTTATCGGCGATTTAATCCGTTTTGTATAGGACTAAACAAAACAAAAGCTCAAAGGTTTCTCGGTTTAATGTTTCTTTGTACGGCTCTGGTCTTACATCCCCTGCTACTAAAGGGAAACTATTGTAATCGCAAAAAATTTCGAAAATGAAAACCTTTTTGGATGTTGTATGACTATCTAACACATTTTCGTGGATCTGTCTCTCGTTCACACGATCACGGTCAAAATTTTCACACAAGTTTACTATGTTAAGGACAAAATCAATCCAGTGGCTGCGGAGCTATGGGCGAAGAACGAAAAAAAAAACAAAAATAGCTCAATCTTTGTTTTTGACATTTCCGAGGCTAAAGATCAAGAAAAAAATTTGTTTGAGTTAAAATTTAGAAGTTGATGTGTAGGGGGCGGGGGAGAGTATATCTCGATTTGGCGCCAGTATATTTATACACTTCCAACTCCGGTATTTCTACGCATTCGTAGCTTTATACTTAAAACTTAGACTGAGGGTGAAATCAGCACGCGCATCTTTGGATATACTCGTATAACGCCATCGCGATCTGTGTTTCCTTGTGTCGTAGTGGGTGGTGGCTGCCATAGTGCCAAGGCTGGCGTATATGGTATGGGCAAGGGTAGTCATAGTAACGATTTATAATATATATAATTTTTTGGGATACATCATCGCAGCTAACTTTTTGCTCAGATGAGCTAACTAACGGCACACCGAACATAATCCTTTATGAACTGATGACAGCATTGCAAAAGAAGTGCTAAGTTTTTTATGGTCACCAAACATATACTAAGTGACATATAAATCCGAACACCCAGTTTAAATGGCTTTATGTTAATAAAATGTTGTATAAATACTTAATGAAGCATAATAAGTAAATGATAAAAATTTCAAAATGATTGCACTGCTTTAAAGCCCTTTGACCTTTAATAATGTGTGGATGCACCCTGATGTGCTACGCATTCTCCAACGCGCCTAGGCATGCTTCTGATCAGGTGGTCAATGTCCTCCTGCGGTATCTCATTCCAGGCAACCACCAACTCCTCTCGAAGTGCTTCTAGAGTCTGAGGAGGACGTTGCAAATTGAGCAATCTCCTACCCATCATATCCCACACGTGCTCAATTGGGGATAAGTCGGGAGATCTTGGTGGCCATGGTAACAATGTAACATCATTATGTTGAAAGAAGTCTATTGTTACTCTTGCAACATGTGGTCGGGCATTATCTTGTTGGAAAGTTGGATCTGCCAGGATGTCAAGATAGGGTAAAAGATGGGGTTCTAGAACTTCGTGGATATACCGCTGCACGTTCATGTTACCTCTGATGAAGATTAAAGGTGACCTGGAACCATAAGCTATAGCACCCCAAACCATAACTCCAACAGTGTGATGAACATGTCTTTCAACAAAAAACTGTGGATTCCTCCTTTCACCACGTCGCCTTCTAACCCTGGCACGACCATCGTGCATGCCTAAACAAAATCGAGACTCGTCACTAAAGACAATACTGTTCCATTCCTGATCCCAGAGTGACCGTTGTCTGCACCACTCAAGGCGATTACGTCGGTGTTCTCGAGTTAAAGGGAGGACCCAGTGTGGCCGGTATGAAAACAAGCCAAAACTTCTCATTCGTCGGTAAACACTTTGCATGCCAATAGGTCTTCCGTGTTCTGCAAACCATTCATTTGCAATGGACCTGGTAGTGGAGAAACGGTCCCTTAAGGCCAATAATCTTAGGCGGCGATCTTCACGGTCTGTTGTTCTACGGCGGCGTCCAGTGCCCCTTGCTCTTTGCGTACGGCCTTCTCGAAGCCATGCCTGACAAGACCTAACCACAGTGTCTACACTTCTTTGCACTCCAACTGCAATTGCCCGAAAAGAAAGTCCAGCTTCCCGATGTCCCACTATACGGTCCCTATCAAACTCACTAAGTTGACGAAATCGTACAGGTCTCGGTACTCTAGGCATCGTAACCGATCGTAAAGGATGTCAAGAACCAAAATCCGCCAACGTTGATTCTTTACTGCGGCTGAAATATTCATTTTTAGAGCGTTAGTGAATTAAAAAAAAGCAGTATAAAAACCGGAATGTCCAACTGATAAGGCTGAAAATTTTTTCACTTGTTATTTACAGTAAGATAAATACATTCACTTTTATTAAAATAAAACCATTTAAACTGGGTGTTCGGATTTATATGTCACTTAGTATACATGCTTCAATAACATCAACCTCCACCCATACACAATGCGGGTTAGCAGTTCTCTTTTGTCACATATCATGATCTGTCAGAAAAACACCTCTCATCACAAGAAGCAATATCGCTCATTTTTTGTCCTTATGTCTATCTGTCTGTGACCTGTCCACAATGAAAGGCTCGATAATCAAGATAAAATGTCGTATAAGATAAACACGTAGACAAGAGCAAAAAAAATTTAACAGAAAGACTCCGACTCTCAAGATAATACTTATTGGCCCCCCAACTTCTTTCCTTGTCGATGTTGCTGGAGCTAAATCGTTTGAAGTTAGTTTCTGCTAAGGGGGCGGCCCCCACAAAAAAGTGACTTACGATAACTATAATCCACATCCGCAACTACCGTATCCTTGATACGCTAGTGTTTCAAAATATCCAAAACAATTGAACCTATCACGTATTTACCCGCCAATAACCGTCGAACATTTCTATCAACCTCAAGCTTCAGCCATGCAAAGCTTCCCGAGAAGTGGTTCAAAGAAACGAACCTCCAACTTCCGCGAGGACGAAACCCGCCTGTTGATCGAACTGTGGGGCAGCCCCCAGGTGCAAAACAAGTTGTACCTGACGCATCGGAAAGCCCCGGTTATGCGTCTCCTCGCTGCCAACATGCAACATCGTGGGTTTTACAGGACCCCGGACGAAATCAAGACTCGGATCCGTAACCTCAAGTGTCTGTACCATAGAATCAAGAGGTCCGTACAAGCAGGAGTAGGAATAGGAACCGTCGACCCCGATTGGCCACACTACAAAGCCATGGACGAAATACTGAGTAGGAAGCATGCCTTGAGGCCGGATATCTACAAGGACAATGTGTTCGATGGTCCTAGATGTGAGGACATCAAGGTTGAGATCATGGATGATATTGAGTGCAACGAAGATTCGTTGCAAGGTGGGAGCAGTACCATGAACAATGAGTAAGTACCTATTCAAAATGTTGAACGTTACGCCTATGTGCGCTCTTTACAGTATCAGCCTTAACATCTTACGAAACAAAAATACTCAATATCGATCTAGATGTTTCATAATATCAAAGTGGACTAAAAACAAAATAAAAGTATTCCATGTTATAAAAAACATATTCAACTAAGTTTTGAGAACAAAACTCTTGACATTTAAAAAAATGTATGCTGAGAATTTTGAAAAACTAAAATGCCTGTATCCAGTATCATTGATCAAGGTTTGACTGCAACCATTTTCAAAACCTATTTATTCAAAAATATAGGTCACAGTTCTCCAAAATAAAATTTCGCCGATTCCCGAATCCATGGTAGCTCATTGAAACAAAATAAGGATTGAGTGATGTCAAACTATCTAATTCTGACTAATTTTAAAAAAGGAATTTTGGCTGGAAGAGAAAGCAAAATAATTGATTTTATAACTGCTGATTGTTAGCGTATAATAGAAAAGCATAATTTTGGAGTCCGCACAGTAAGTACAAAGTCGTTTTTCGCGGTGGATTGATTTTCTTTTCTAACAAAATTTTGTGACGTGAGTGACAGATTGATCATGAATCTCTCGTACAGTGCTAAAGAAATCGGAAGAAATAGCAATTGTAAAACCTGTAATATTTTGTGTTTTGTTCAATTGATAACGAGAAGTCTTACGTAAACGTACGAAATTTGTAACAAGCAGTATTAATAAAATATTACATGTAACATGACACACTTAGTCTGAGGTAAACTTCTGGTAATAAAATATGTATGTCAGATTTTCTAAATGCTAAAATACATTTTGCGTTTACCTACTTACAAATATTAGAAGAATACTTGCGTATTTAAAACTATGAATTGCATTTTTTGAAGCTGTGATTTTACTGTTACAAATTGCAATAAAATAACTGTGTGGTTACTGAAAATCGCATTTGCGAATACTATTGAAACGATAAGTATTTTAGACGTATTTTAAGTTTACGTAAAAAGGCACAGTACTATTTTTTGTCGGTCTCCTGTCATTTTTGCCACCTCGTAATTTGTTTATCCGCCAAAACGTAGCTAATTCGCAAGTTTTCTTTGTAAATATATTACGAACTCAAAACTATGCGCAGGCAAATAAAAAGTTCCAAGTTGCAAGTTATTACAGGATCATTGTGTAGGTATGTCTGGTATCAAAAATTCCAAGCTCTAGCACCCGGTTGTCTTGATGTCAAGTTTACTGAGAAATTAAGGGTTGTAACGCTGAAAGAAATGGAATCAAAGTAATCTGATTCATGCCTCGTTCAAATTTGCAAATAGAATGACAAATTTTTCCGTGTTGTAGGAATATACGATTTAAAACTTGTCAACCTGTCAGTGTTTATCAAATGAACGATTTCGTTTTCAGAGTTACGAAGATGAGAGTATTAAATTCTGTGTTGGAGACTTCAGAATTTCATTTCTCGGGCATGAGCAAAAAAGTGAAAATTTTCCAATGCCAGTAGTTTTTTAGAGCTCCCATAATCTTGTGATAATTTTTGAGCGTAGTTACGAGCATATTTAAAAAATTTTATTGTTTTCGGTGGCAGATCAAAATTCTCATCGCTTTAAAGTGTATCAGAAAAAATACGCGTCCAAAAATGTTTTATTCCGGTGTAGCTCATTTTTTTAATCATATCGGTAACGATATTCATACAGCAGTTATATACCAAGAATTTTCAGTTTGAACGTTCGGTGAATTTGAAAATAGACGTAAGCTGAATGCGCGCGAAGTACGTAGTGCTTGGCAGCATTATTTCCTTTTGCACTACCTTCATGTCGGTTTCGATAATTAAAACAACATATAGCCAAAATCACGAAAGATGCCTATTACATCATACCACAAATCGATGGACGTACGTCGTCGATGATAAAATCACTGCTTATTTTTATTTTCATTTTATTTCATGGTTTTGAGTGATGCCATAATAATAATTTTAGTGGGGTGTGTTTGTTTTGAAAAAACAAACAGTTAAGACAGGAACATCAAAGACCAAAGTATTTTTCGAAAACAACTTAACCTGCTTTAACATAACCTAACTATACATCTTTCAAATATGATCGATCATGCAACATGAAAACATCGTCTATCTTTGTCGGATACGTGCAAATTAGCATTGCAGTTTTTTTAGACAATAACATTCTGTTTGTCTCTGTCTAACATATCTGAAACTTCATTAAAAAAAGTCACAAATCGCTGTCGTTTGTCTTTACTAGTGACTAAAATGATGACGTAATCGTCCTCTTTTGTGATTTCGACTATACCGATTATCGAATGTGGAAAGGTAAGAGTAAGAAGGTTAGAGGTTTGGGTAGATTTGGCGTACATTCTTTTCTCTGGAAAGGATATTGAAATATAATACTGCCAACATATAGTCGAGATATCACTGATGTATCCGAGATATATAGCCGGGTCACAAATGTTTTAGATGCTCCATAATGGAGCAATATTTATGGCACAGCTGTATGTATCTCGGATACATCAACTAGATTTCGACTATATAATAATAATAATAATAATAATAATAATAATAATAATATGTCTTTATTTTTTAGATAAATTGTAACAAACAAAAAAAACTCATTTGATGAGGGAGGCGGCATTCAACATAGTTGCTCTTCCATGCAACCCCTATCTTAGCACTATTATCTGTAATATGTGGACACTTGCCTGGTCAGACTTTCGCCTCAGCAGGACTACAAAATTAAGCAAGAATGACTGACGAAATTGTACGCATCGCGGTAGTTTACATTACTTACGTTACATTTAATGGATTCCAATAATTTGGCAGCATTACTTGAAAGTAGATCGGAAATGTCAAAAAGTATAACCGGATTTAAAAGCATTATAAATATATTTAGAAAAGACACAAAGTTAAAGTTTCGGCATGGGTATCATGTAAAAAACCTATAAAACGTGAAAAAAACTTATAAGATGTCATCTTGCAAACTAGGTAGTTTTTAGGGCGCAAACAGTCATTCCACGTTTGCTCACTAGGATCGTTGTGAACGTCCATCTACAGAGGAATCACTCCACTAAACTAAACGCATTATTGGTTGCATATGTTTTGTGAGACCAAATGGTTCCTTGTCTGTAGTTTTTATCTCTAAGATTAAATTTGGTTGAACGGCAAGATCGCATCTGCATGTGTATAAAATCAGTGATAAGTATTTGCTTAGTGAGAAAATCATTATTCAATATGCTGCCAATGGGTATATCTATTGGCTGTGCCCGACGAGTTATTTTTATGTTGTGCTTTCTGAAGAGAGGTTATGTCCAAAGCTATAAATTACGAAAAACTGAGGAGAATTACGGGTAATCATCACCGCGGCCGCGTTGTGTGTAATTACTGTTAGCATGTATATGGCTTGTAATTCGACAGTGTACAGTGCATATAATTATTTATCTCTCTCATTTTTGAAATTCAGCAAATTTGTATATGTAATTTACAGAATGGATAAGAAAAAGTGGATGCGCAACTAATTTCTAGCTTTGAATCTCAATTAAGTGTATTTGAGACAATGTAATTATCATCAACACATACAACTTACAGCTTAGACCTCCAGTAATGCCATCTCAGAAGCAGATTTTACATAACGTTTAGGCAACACGTACAACTAAGTGCTAAGTTAATATCTTGTAGAAAAACCTACATAATGTCACTTTTAAAAAATCGGCATAATGTCACTTTTCAAGATACGTGATAGCCGTGCGGTTGACTCCTTCCAGTATCCATCACAGATTTTGGAGTATCTTCAATATTTTGCATTTTCCAATGTTGTGTTAGATATACAATTTTATCAAACCTTATATTAGGACTGAGCACTTAGAGAAACTAGAAAAATGAGATAAATCAAAATTACCTTATAACTGTCAACGTAAAAACCCAATGTTATGGATAAAAAGATCAGATTCTATTCAACTTAAACTGCTCTTTGCAATCTACAGAAGGGATGTATGAAAACCACACACTTGAAAAAATAGGAATTTAACGCGAAATATCAACCACTGTCAAACCGGCGGCTTAAGCCTGATCGAGTATGCACTATACTAACTACATAATTTTGGTTCAAAACCTAGTCCAAACTCGTTGATCGATCCCAATTTAAATACTCATTTTTTTCTTAGCTCCGAAGCGGATGGAGAATTCGAAGAAGAGGCTGCTCACCCGATGGCCCGGCTCACCTCCAAGCCACCCAAATCATCCCAACAACCAGCGGTCTCGAAACCAGCCACCTCGACTCAGTCAAAGTCCAAAACCATGGACAGTCTGCCCAGGATAATGCCCAAACCTGTGTCCGAGCTGCAAGCACCCAGGATCACCACCACCACTCCTGCTTCCACAAATGTCAATGCAAAAGTACAAATTCCTATTCAGGTACGTGCAAAATAGTCTTCTTGGTATTTGGTGCAAAATAAATGAATAATGTCAAAACGCGATTCTTTTTTACGTTTGCAACCCTTAAATAAATATTTTATATTTTGCCCCCGAAAAGTGTGTTTTCACTTTTGAATGAGAGATAGCACGATTTGCCTTTTAAGGTTCAAACGTATTTCGTCAAAACTGTGACGTAATCACTTATGGTCTACCATGACTCAAGTTCTGTCTTAACTATGCCCTTAGAATGAGACTACTTCCACCATGAATGTGGGGCATTCACCAGGAAATAACCTTATTCAATGACGTGAAATCTTGGGAACGTCGTAAATGCGTTCAAAGCATGTTGGCCCTTCAGCCTGAAATTCTCTGAGGGTTTGAATGAGTTCTCTTTCAATGTACGACTTTCAAATATATTCTCTCAACATATATATAAAGAAAAAGGCGATACAAAGCTGCATCATCTTTGAAAAATAGATGTACGCAATATTTTTCAGCTATGAAATAATAGAATTTTATATTGATTGAAAATGCCCTATACTATTACTACTTTTGATCGATATACACGCAGCTGCAAATATACGAGTAGCATCTCCCCATATTAGGGAAATTTGAATGAAGTGGCAACCACGCATTGCAATACACTGGTCACGTAAAATATCACACTTTAAGGACCAAGGTATGCATGCGATTTTTGTAACTCGACATAACAGTCGCGTGTTTGAAAAGCGCAAGAGTACGAGTCAATCCTCAATTTCTAGAGAATGTTGCATGACTTTTAGTCAACAGCGCTGTTAACAGATCTTCGCGCCAATTAGAAAACTAACATTGACTTTCAAAACGCCCGACAAATAGTGTGTGTAAATGAGCTCTGATAGGAACCGTTCCGAAAGTGACAAACTATTCTAGTGAAATATCCCCATCTCTATGCGGTCGGTACTATCCATTACCTGATAGGTGGCGCCACAACGGTCTACTTCTTTCTGACTTCATTTATTTCATAGACTATACGTACAACTCGCTACTTTAATCGTGCCTTAAACTAATGAGTAAGGAAAATATAAGGGCCCTGGTGATGCTTGGCTCACATGCTAACCTAAGTTAGCCCCAAATTTTTGTAGGGGTGTACAGGTCGTCCCGTGAGGGACCGCCTACTTTAGCGGACCTTCTGGTGACAGCGATCTGCCCCGTTCCATCAATCAAAAAATAATTATTTTTTCTATTGTAAATGCTATTTAAGTAATGAATTGATTGATACATTGATAGTATGATAGTATAGTTTATAATAATATTCTTACAGCTTACAGTAATTATTAATTTTAATATCTTAAATCCTAATAGTAATTACTAATTTTGATTAATGATTAATCTACATCTCGTTTCATGAATTTTCAATGTTGTTGTTATGTTGTTAGTTCTCTTGCCCATTTCATTTGCGCTTCCGCTTATGTTATAACGGTTGAACATTTTTGTCTTGTTTGTCAAATCACGCGACAATAGACAGACAGATTCTTCTTTGCAATTACATTTTGCAACAAATGGTGGTTAACTTAACGTTATGGTTCAGAGTTCAGACTATACCAAAGTGTAGGTGCTATAACTATAAACTATATCCCTTTTATATAATTAAACCGAGTTTTTTTAAAATATATGAATGAAAAAAAAAGATCTTTCATTACATGTGGTAGCATTATTCGAGTTTGAGCCCTATAGTAATGGAAACCGAACTTCCATAAAAACTGTCACGAAAAACGTCCTATAGTTCCTCCCATGCATGAATACTGTGCATTGTCTTCCAACGCTGAAAGTTCAATATGCACGCTGAGGTAAACCAAGACTCCCGGAATTTAAAAAGAAAATTCCACAATTTTGTTTCGCCGCTCTGCGATGCATAACTTCTTGTCTAATGTCGCAATCTTTTTCTTTACTAAATCATTAAATAATAAAAGACAATTTGTGAAAAACGGACGTGTTATGAATAATTTGCGCTACCCTTAAGTTGAGCTTCGGCTACACATCTCTTCTTGTTACAGGCTGGCATAAGGCCACCTAATGGTAATGGACCAACCATTCCATTCCCGTTGCTGATACTCAATGGATTACCTGGCCAGAATCAACAACACCAACAAACTCAAATGCCGAAAAAGGATGTTACTCCTAATATGCCTACAGCGGAAAGTAATCGAAACCCAGGTAATTTTTTCATTGTTTTTTATCCAATAGAAAATGTTTTATCCACCTTTATTTTTTGTCCCCGGTCATTTGGTGTTCAAATGGTGGTTGCCTGGAAAGTTTTAAAGAGTTGATATTTTTATCGATTCCGATGTGCCCTCTCGGAGTTTCTAATTTGCTTCTTCTGTATCAAAAATACGCCGCCCGCTATGTGATAAATTAAATTTTTGGACTAAAGATGCAAACAAGAAATTTGAGCATACGAAAAGTATGTCAGGTTCGCATTCCATACTGCAGAGTGTCAAGTTTTTCTAAGAAACTTTTGAGTGCTTACCCTGTACATCTCTTTGTACTAATAATGAACCATCTTATTTCAGAGTCCTCACATTTACTCCAAAGTCTCCTGAACGTACAGACAGAGCAACTTCAAATCCAAAATCAACGTCTGAAGCTCGAAAAGCAACAACTGAAACTGAACCAGCTTCTGACGACACAACTTCTCGTCTTGTTACCGACACTGAAAAACCTCATGTACAGGCTAGTCGCCAGGGAAGAGCAACATAGTGAAACTGACGAGAAGACTGGGAAGAAGCGGAAACTTGAAAAAGAAGATGAAGACGATTCTTTGGCGGACTGCAAAGTACTCAAAAATATGCTGGAAGATGGGATTAAAAAATATATGTTAGAGAGTATGGACGAGTCTGATGATGATGACGATAGCGGTATACATAAAGATGTTGATAAGTGAAGAATGTAGGATAGGTGATACTTTTTTGTACATTCCAAGTTGGACGGTTTTAGTTATCAGAATGAAAATGTGATTTACTTCAAACCATATGATACTAATTTTGAGGAACTTTAATTTTGAGATTTCATCCCGAATTTTATATTAAGTACATACTTAGGGCTAAGTTTCACGTCGTGGCTTTCGCGGTTAGCGATGAATTTCGTTTCTCTTATTAATGTACAAACAATCGCACTGAATAACGGTGTTTCTCAGATATTGGACCAAGAAGTTCCATGAAAAATGCGGTTCACCTGTTTCTAAAAAAATTATGTTCTCCCAAACGTCTTCCACGAGACCTCTTTAGTTATCGGAAAAAGCAAATCCAAGAAACTTCGTAAATTACCTTTTATCTCCTATTTTTGTGTGTCAAATTGTATCAAAAGTTAAACATTCAAAATTGCAGTTTATCTCAAAGTAGCTTATTGCGATATTGTCATTGTGATAACAAAAACGTTTGCATTGCATTTTAATACTGTTTTACTTATCCACTCATAATTGTGATGTTTGTTTATAAGGTTATTTATTTTAACTTATTTCAATAGTAGAATAGTTGTATTTATTTGTGAAAATAAATATTTTGAGGCACCAGATGTATAGAGTATTCCAAAATAAAAGTTTTTTACTTAATGTAAGAAGTTTTTTTCCTTAAAACCAATGGATTTCTCGGTAATAACAATGACTGGGCGTGATACTTTTACTTTTTGGGGACGACAAATTCGGAAACAACGCCGTTGTCCATTCAGCCTCGTCTCTAAAGACGAAATTGACTTTGTGTGAAATCTTGACTGATATGAATAACTTAGAACATATTGTATTTTGTCCAAAATCCACAAAATGTTTGGTTAACGTCACCAGCTGTCGGAAATTGGAATCATCCTCCAGAGAGCATTCTTGCCTTGCTACTATGTTCAAAAACTAACTCCCAAGAGAAAACTAGCCCCTCTCTTCTGACATCATCAATTTGTGATGAAATCTACGGCCACGTTCTGTCTGTGTACTTTATAAAAATCATGGTCAAACAGTCACGTGAAAAAAAAACTATTAAAAGTACATATATATTTAGGTAAAAAAATCGTCATTCTGAATTCCACCAAATAAAGAGATAGTCAAGGGACTGTGTTCAAATAATGAAAAACATTAAATAAAATCAGTACAGAAATATTTATTTTTTTATAAGTGTAAAAAATCAATATAATAAACAAAATATTTAGCTATATTCTTTAACAATAAGATCACCTATAAGTATTTTTTGTACATCTGTTGCACCCGCATATATCTCCGTGATTCTTGCATCTCTATAATGTCTTTCAGCTGGCATATCTGTCACGTAACTGAAAAAAAATATTGTTTGATAGTTTCAAACATTTATAAATACATTTCACTATAACACATACCCCATTCCTCCTAATATTTGAATAGCATTATGGGAAACAAAGGTGGCAGCTTCGCTAGCTGCCAATTTTGCCATGGAAGACTCCTTTGACGTCCTGCGATCTTCCTCGCAACATGCTGCAGCTCTCCAGACTAACAGCCTTGCAGCCTCCAGTCGTAGTGCCATATCGGCCAGTCTCATCTATAAGCATAAAATGCTGTAATAAAGTAGGAAAGAAAGACAATTCTGATACGAATATTGTTTTTGATCAATATATCAGACTGTTTGAGCCGCATTTACTCTACCACTCGATGTCACTGCCTGCTCAATACCCAGACGATGAGGCGTCTATACCAGGAAAAGCGCCAGCAATGCTGTTCTTGCTGTAAAAATGACCGCGAATTTTGATGCCAGGATTACCAGTGATACTTTGACTAGGTTGCCATGTTAAGGGATTTTCCCACAAATCTGGGGGATTTTTTCTTGAAGCATGTTCTGACGATATAATGTCATGGGGTCTATCACACGTTTCACTGATAGAAAGCAGACCCCCCACCAAATAACATGTTCATTGTTTGGAATTCCTACAATTCTCCAAAATGCTGGTGAAAACTCAATCTTTTGTCCAAAGATCGATCAGATTTATGGATTAAGTCAGGGCTGGCCAACATACGGCCCGCGGGTCGCATGCGGCCCGCGAACTCCTTTCTTGCGGCTCGCTTTACGGGTCATGTATACATCACATGTATAAATTTCTCTCAAATACCGAATATGCACAATTCTTACAAACTCAGTAATGTTGTATAGAAAGATTTTATAATGCGGCCCTCCAAACTGCATTTTTTTTAAGTGGCCCTTGGGCCACATTAAGTTGGACAGCCCTGGATTAAGTCATTGAAGATTGATAGAAGAATAACCAAAATATGGCAGAATTTGAGAATTGGTGGAACTAAGCATGTAGAATCACGCTCGAAAAGTCTGATTTAACTACGAAAGCTGATGAGCGGGAGATTTACAGGTTTAAGTTGTCAGTTTGAAGTTAAAATTTTTTCTAACCACAAATACTCTGCGCATGTACAATCTAGTCTTTTTCACGAGTATCCATTACAGTAGTATGACAGCTGATTATCTAGTAATATTTCAAAATTCCCCATATCCACGATGGACACCGTCAATGCCAGGTAGACAGAGCCATTTTGTTTTGATTTTTTGTACACTACATATTCATTTTCTACTTGCTAAAAGCTCTTTCAGTTAGAAAAGTTCATTTACATACAAAAAACAAAATGCTATAAACAAGTTTACTAGATTTACACACCATTCATTATTGCCAACATTGCAGACTAACACCAAAATGTCACTTGCTGAACATGGAGATCAAAAGGAATGATCAGTTTTTGTTATTCACTTACCTTAACAGCTTGTAATTGATTAATAGGCTTTCCAAACGCTTTTCTTTGTCCGGCATAGTCAACGGCAACTTCTAATGCTGCTTGAGCAATGCCTAGAGCTTGTGCCGCTATCCCCACTCTCGCCCTATCTAATTGTTCCATCGCCATTCTAAATCCACCACCAATTTCACCTAAAAAACAAAACAGTATTTTTAAAACACCAATATAAGATTTCATTATCAAACTCCCAACTTTTCTTTGAATGTAAAAATATCGTGATTCTAACTTTACCGTAAACACGAGAAATACGTAAGGAGTATGACTGATGCAAAAAACGCTAAGCTTTAGAAAACGTATCATCCTACCTAAGATGTTTTCTTTGGGAATCCTAACATCTTCTAGAATGAGATTGCACGTTGTGGAGGCCCTAATACCTAGCTTATCTTCTTTTTTACCTAATGACAGCCCTTCTGTTGGTTTTGGAATTATAAATCCTGTAATACCTATCAAATGAAGACGTTTATTATTTTATATGGAATAATACGAGTAATAACATCAGTATCTCTACCTCTATGTTTCAGACTTCTATCAACTGTGGCAAATACGACAGCGGCTTTTCCTTCTACGCCACTGGTTACCCAGGATTTTGTGCCATTTAATACCCAGTAATCGCCATCTTGTCTTGCCACGCAAGACATATTTCCTACATCACTACCAGCATCTGAAAAAAATATGTTCATCGGGAATATCATTAATGCATAAGACATCCCAGACACAGAAAAAATGTCGTCAAGTAGGTTCCCACGCAACACCGTCATCATTTCGTAAAGAGTTATGTTCACCACAGGTTAGACCATATGTTGGATAGAGGATATTTGCTATGCTTCCATTCGTTGTCTCCAGAGTCCAAGCCTAGACAATGCTGATGAGTTGCCAAAAAAGCACAAGACAGCTATATGTGGTTAGCTGTCTCTGATTGGGCGGACAAAAGCAGCATGTTTAAGTTAAACCCTCTAAGAAAAAAGTTAGTTACGGTCATGTATAACAGAGAAATTAAACAAATCAAGTCCGTCAAACGGGTCCGTACAATTAGTACAAGTATAACATCCTTTACCTGTCCTACCGGTAGTACCGTCCATCTGGCAACGTCGCGTTGCCTCTCCTTGATATCTGAAAAGATGGTGCGTCACACGTGCAGAGCGCCCAAAGAACGCCAGTCATTTTGAGCGATTTTTATTTGTTTTTTTTTTTTTCGTTTTTGACCTTTTTCTTCGCCACCACTGGATCGAGTTTTAAAAACTGCAAAGCTCTTTTGTCCTTGGCATAGTAGTAACTGTATGAAAATTTCATCAAAATCCGACCGGTACTTTCCAAGTTATAGACGGATCAAGGATTAGCGAACAGACAGACTGACCGACCACCGGAAATGAGTGTTTTTGTGATGTACATGTCATATAGTATCCAAAAAAATATAATTGCATTTTTTAGATTTTTAGCGATAACGATAATGAAAATAGGTGTGGGAAATACAGAAAAAGTACACAATCTTGCACCTTGAGCAAGATAAGAAATTTGTATATGTTCAAGCATTGATTGAAACATTCTACCTAGAGATAACAGTAGTAAAGCTCACAAATTAATTTTGAGATTTTGAATAGAGTTATAGTGTTTGATTCTGTTACTGTCTTGCAGATCATACCAGGATCTTCAATCCATGTCACTTCTAACAATTAAAAATAGATATTAGAGACACCAAAAGAAGAGTGAAGATCCTAGCGCTATCTATAAAATGGTAACAGAATGAAATACTCTAGCTTTGTTTTCCATTTCTGTAATCACAGACAGTGCTGTTTCGGGCTCGCTAGCAACTCATCAGTGCGGTATAGGTCTAGTAGCCCTGGAGGCAGATGAAAGGAAAGCAAACAATTCCTGGTATAATTCCTATATTTCCATGGAATCGAATGAAACTTCGTATTTTCCCATCTTATTGCAATTTCCATCAAACACAAATTATAAAAATATTTAATCGCACGATACTTTGTTTTATTACAAAAAACGCCGACCATTCTAGATTCTAAAAATAGATTAGTTTATCACTCGCGTGTGGTCTTTCGATGAGGAATTACCAAAACATATCAATATAGTTTTCCAATAATAATTTAAACATAATATCTCCTTTCTCTTATCGACGGGATGACTATTCTGTAAATTCATTAAACAAATACCATAAGATTAAATATCGTAAATACGATGTGAAGATTATTTTTCCAAAATACCCAACACCACTGCAATATGAGACGTCTTATCATTATGATGGTGATAAACAAGCACGTATTATGAGGTACAGATTTATGCAATGGTAATTTAACAAATATTTCTTGTAATTACTTCGTATTGCATACGTCATAAATAAGTGTTTTTGCATATGGTTATTCCATATCCACTTTACTGCAGTACCTACTATCTGTCTTTTCATGACTTTGCACATAAAGGTTAGGGTCTTGTGCCCCTACATTTTGATTGAAATTGAATTCTGAGTCCCTGAAATAATACATGTAACATCTCACATGAGAAGTTTAACATTTTTCCATCTTATTTTAATGTTCCTAAAAATCTTTAAGGAGATATTTTTATCAAATATTTGGCACAACAGTTAAGAAATTTTTGATTTCATCATATTGCTTAATATAAGAAAATAACCACAAAAACATCTGAAAATGGACTGTGTGAAACTTAAGGAGTATTAAAACTGTTATGTAAACCTTTATTTTATTGTTGAGAATTGGGCTTACATGATCCATTTAGTTTCTATCATATTGGAGACAAAGTACAAATGTTATGTGCAGAAATGGATGTTGCATGGAAGAACAATGGTGTTGAATGCCGCCTTCCTCGTCAAATGAGTTTTTTTGTTGTTCTTTTAACCCAAGAATAAAGACACATTATCATTATTAAATATTGACGAGAAGCACATACCTGGTTCACTAAGAGCAAAACATCCTAAGGTACCACTAGTAAACGGCCTCAGGAACTTCTCTTTCTGTTCAGGAGTACCACATCTATCTAACAGACCTACATATAAACAGTTATGGACGGAAACTATAGTGCCTGTACCCCCACAAGCTCTGGCTAATTCTTCTACTGCAACAGCTAGTGATAGCATATCTTGACCAGCACCACCATACTCATCTGATACTGTTATACCTAAAAGACCTAGTTCACCCATTTTCTTAATCTGGAAGGAAAAAATGGCATCAAGTAGGTTGACTCTACACTTTCCAGGCCATCAGTTTACAAAAGGGTGTATCGATGATTGAACACTGAAGAGAAGCGGGTGGGGGGGCACCTGCCCTTGTGATACTGAAGAGCAGTAGTACCAAACAATATAATTGAATTGCCTGCATATGTTTCTTTTTCCAGTAATCTTTTAGTAGGATTCTCCCCCAGTCCTCCCTGTGGATCCCTCACTGAGTCTAAGCATTGAGCCATCTGAGAACTCCCACCCTGTGGGGGAAAAGTACCTCATCCCCCTCTCATCAGGCCTGCTTAGTACCTATATTTCTTACCAATGCTTCTTAAGATATTATTATTAACTACATAGTGCACAATAACTAATGAGGCTCTAGTGGCCCTATCTTTCTGTGGACTATGACCTATGGTTGGATATCAGCATTTTATAACAAAATAAAGTAATATAACTACCCAAAAGAGTGTCATTAATTTACTTACCTGTTCAGCAGGAAACCTGTGTTCCTTATCTAATTGAGCTGCAATAGGCTTTAGCTCTGTTTCTGCAAAATCCCTGCACATTTGTTGAAGCATCAACTGCTCCTCTGAGAGTTTGTGCAAACTGAAACATCTTAGAACACAGTTTTGAACATCTGGAACTAAGAAGACACATTGCATAAGCTTACTGAATATAAACTAAAGTAGCCCTTAAATTCATGCAATCTTACAAAGTTTTTTATTTGTTTATTTTTTTTTTTTAATTTGTGGTAACAAAAACGCAGAACAACTGAAAAATCGCAATAACTATTGATTTTTAAATATATGTTTATTAGGATGAAATATGTGGTATTTTACCATGGAAGGAATACATACACTCTAGAAGGAATATGGTGAATTACCTACCACAAGGGAAATCAGAGCTACTGCTAAAATTTTTAAGTGGTGACTAGCCCTTCAAATAACTTTATTAAATATTTAATTGATAAAGAAAGCATGAAATGTGAAAGGACAATGTAAGAAAATACTAGAAAACTACATCTGCTTAAGAAGTATAGTTTTATTTTCCATACCTCTGAATAGATTTGTTGTTAACTTTCTTAAAGACATCCTTGTGAACTAGTTTAGAACACAACCTTGCAACACATTCGAAAACTAGAATTTAAATACTTTCCTATAATTATCGTTTTCTCATTATCTACATTACAGAGGAAAATATTTGTTCTTGATTACTGGTTTCGCACTGGATGACGACTGCTTATAATAATAAGGGTATATCATTCTTACGAAAGACAATCTTTATCAAGGTTGTGAAATAATAATTTATATCAAATAAAGATAAACTGTGGATAATTCTTTTTCTGCTTCTGGCTTATCAAGCCTCTTGTTTTGGTTGTTTTTGTTGATCAATTTGACATTTCTGAAATATAGGTTAAAAATTTGAAATGTTGGTCAATGGACGTCTAGGCAAGTAAAAATGCATCTTAAAGTATTGTGTGTTGCCTGCTCAGGAGACACAAATTTTGTTACATCCTTTCGCGAGCCGTCACAAGGGAGGGAGAGCGATCGATCCTTCCTATTGCTGTCAGCTTTTGAATTATTTGAGCACATGAGTCACTCAATTTGCTCAGTTTGTCGGCATCTTCTCTAATACACCACTCCATTCAAAATGTATAAACTATGCCACGAGTTAAACACATAAATTGTTTTACACTAGTCAAATAAACGGGGACTAACACTGGATTAATTCATACATCTTTAAATAACCAAGTACAGCAGAGAGATTTAAAAATAGACTATGCCGCCACCGCCTAGTCAAAATAGCAAAATTAAAGAGCCGATTTTCGTAAAGAGCGTGATACCGAAAAGCCGGTAAGCAGCTTTATTACTTTTTACCTCATGTATTTTCCTCGTGTTTAATTCGCATCTGCAGATACTAAATTCTTCATTTGCTTCAGATTGATTATTGAACCGAACCTGCACAGTCTGCATATTTTAGAGATTAAAATGTATTGTAGGTTTCATTATAACGCTAGCATTTTTTCAGACAACAATTGTTGAAATGGAACGGCTGGGGTTACACTGACTCACAATTTGTCGTAAAGGTGGACGAACACAAGAATATTCAGGTGTATTTTACCGGCAAAAGGTAAAGTAGCTAAGATATTGTATTCAATCAATTCAGAAAATCATTTATTTTTATAAGAGCTTTGAAAGTGTCTGAAGACAAATTTTCGGACGCTCAATACAACACAAATTTTTGCAATTCAGCTTTATTTATTGACTTCGTTCAAAATAATTTCCACCACATCCAATACACTTCTTCGTCCTTAAACCGGCTCTGCCAGGTTTCACCCGGCACAGTCGTCCCAATCCCTCAGAAGGTCTCCATTGCTAGAAAACCGATTTCCTTTTAGCTTCAATTTCACATGCGGAAACAATGCAAAGTCGAAGGGAGCAAGATCTAGGCTGTACGGAGGGTGCTCAATACGAGGGTGGTCCCAGAAGTACCCGACCCAACGAAGAAAACAGAAAAATTTTGTAAAAAAATGTATTTCTTTTTCAACATAATCTCCTTTGAGCTCTGTACACTTTTCCCAGCGATGTTCAATAAGTTCGATACCCTTTTCATAATAAGAACTGTCTTGCTCCTCAAAATAGCCATTAACTGCCGACATCACTTCTTCATCGTTGGAAAATCTTTGACCACTGAGCCATTGCAATAACGGATTTGTGCATTGTCTTTAGGAAACAACACTTTCTTCTTAACCAAATTCGGCCGTTTTTGCTTGATTTAATCACTCACACGTTGCAATAACCTCGCATAATACTCGCCGTTGATAGTTTTAACTTTTTCAAGATAGTCAATGAAAATTATCCCACGCGCATCCCAAATAACCGACGCCATAACCTTGCCTGCAGATGAAACAGTCTTCGCCTTCTTTGGAGCCGGTTGTCCCTTTCGAGTCCATTGTTTTGATTGTTTTTTTGTCTCGGGTGTGAAGTGATGGACCCATGTTTCATCCATGGTTATGAAACGATGCAAAAATTCTGCTTTGTTGTTGTGAAACTTCGCTAAACACTCGATTGAAACATCTTCACGACACTGTGTTTGCTCGATTGTGACCAATCGCGGGCACCCATCTTGCACACAGCTTTCTCATGTCCATGTCAGTATTAATTGCTACCAAACAAATACTAAACAACGTGGCGTCTTCAAACTTGACATATAGGCCTTATAGGTTGCATACTTTCTAATACAATGATATGTTTCAAACAACTATCGCCATCTCTAGGTCAGGCCGGGTACTTCTGGGAGCACCCTCGTAAGTTTCAGTCCAGTAGTGGTCAAATACTCGGTGCAGGCTTTGGCGCGGTGAACTGGAGCGTTGTCATGGTGGAGGTGACTTCGGCCTCAGGTTTTTCATAGACTCTATGACTTTAGGCAGGCACTGTTCCGTTTACCACTTAGCTGTGACTGTCTTTTGTGTGTCCAAAACGACGCGCTCCACAATCCCGCTCGATTTGAAAAATACAGCTAACATTTTCTTCTTAACAGATCGGGATTTTCTGTCAGCTACGGGTGTTTCCTCATCATCAAAGACCCAAACTTTCTTTTGAGACTTGGTCGGCACATCGTAGTAGTAGAGCCAGGTCTCGTCACTTGTCACGATGCTGTTCACATACCGAGATAGCACCTTAGAAAACATTTTCAGCATCTTTTGGTCTTCTGCTCTTCGGTCAGAAGTTTCCTTACGTGTAAATGGTCATGCAGAATTGAATGAATTGCTAGTGCATGAAAGTATAAGGTCTACTCTATCTGTTGATATGTCACTCTCCGGTCTTCGTCAAGCATCTTCCTCGTAGCAGTAATGTTTCCCCTGTTACTGGCGTTCGCGGCCTTCCTTCCTGTCAGCGTCCTCTAGAGTGAAATTGCCCCTTTGGACTTCTCTGAACAGACGTTCTGCTGGTGGCTACTATGCACTCATGGACATGCCTCAATGTGCAGTAACATGCAGCCTCCTGCGTCCGTTTATTAAATCATATTGCAAAATTTTTATAGTACCCTTTGTATACATATGATATGCGACTATTTAAGGGTGTGAATCTATATGAAAAATTAATGTTAGTTTTATAAACTATGGTCCAAAAATGTTTCCTAACAAAAACTCGGGGTGTTGAAGTTTTAGGAAATGAATGGAAATTAATTAGTATTTTTAGAACCGCCTCAGATATTTCACTGATATTAGTACGTAGTAAATGTTAATAAAGTTGCATATTTTTCAATTCAAGAGTAATTTTTAGCTTTAACAGTGGCGTGCGTACGGGTATTGACTTCGATATTTTTTCAGAAAAAAATGGTACGCCAATGGTTTTTTGCCAAATAAGAATTATTTTTGAATTCCCCGTTCAATTTAAAACAAATGATCTCTCTTGAATTGTTTTCCTTCGATGCGCCATTTTTTTGTAAAAAAATAAAAACCGTCGTATTGTCCGAGAAAATTAATGTAATAATTGAAGAATGCAATTTAGCAATAAATATCTAGTTGCTCTGGAATATGTCACTGGCTTTTGACATCTGACAAGCCTCTGTTATTCAAATCTGTTCGCTGTGACATCTTTTTCATTATTTAGTTAATATGGTGGATTATTCAAATGCAGAAATGGCGGAAATGCATTACGTATATGGCCTTGCCGACAGTAATAGTGATCAAGCCAGACGGATTTATCACCAGAGATATCGCGATCGTGCTTTGCCAGATAGTCGAACCTTTTCTAATATTCATCGTCGTCTTGTTGAAACTGGTTCTGTCCGAAAAGGAACATCTGAAGGTAGACCTCTAAGTATGAGAACACCTTAAATTGAGGAAGCATTGCTGCAGGAAATCGAAGAACATCCTGAAACGAGTACGAGGAAGATCGCTAGACACTTAAATATTTGAAATCAAATTGTTTGGAGAATTTTAGTGGATTCTTTGTTATATCCTTACCATATTTTAAGAGTACAGGCATTACTTCCCATTGATTTTCCAAGGCGTGTGACCTTTTGTCAGTGATATCTTCAACAAATTACACAAAATCCGCAATTTGAATCAATGATTCTGTTCACGGACGAAGCTAATTTTTCTCGAAATGCCATTCAGAATTTCCACAATATTCATATGTGGGCAGAGGAAAATCCCTATGCCGTAACCGAAACCCATTTCCAACACCAATTTTCGGTTAACGTATGGGCAGGAATTATTGGCAACCACTTTATTGGCCCATTCTTCTTGCCGGGACGACTTGACGGACAGACTTACCTCAATTTTCTTCAACAACAGTTGCCTTTGCTGCTTGATGATGTTCCGTTAGTAATAAGAAACAATATGTGGTACATGCATGATGGTGTATAAGCGCATTCCAGTGTAGCCGTTCGTAATTATTTACAAACTGTTTATCCAAATCGTTGGATCGGCCAACCCCAAGAATGGACACCAAGGTCACCAGACCTCAATAGTTTAGATTTCTTTCTGTGGGACTATCTTAAGACACTAGTGTACACAAGTCCCATTAATACTGTAGAGGAATTAATAGAAAGAATAGTTGCAGCTTGTGATAGAATAAAAAACACTCCAGGGATATTTCAACGAGTGCGCAATTCCATGAGAAGGAGGGCGGAACCAAGCATACTAAGTGAAGGGGGCCATTTTCAACAATTTTTGTAATCATTTCGTTGGTTTTAATGTTATGTTTATGTTGACAGTTGTTGTTGTTCATTATCCCTAATGAGTTTAATTTTTCCAATTAAATTAATAATAATTTTGCAAGTTAGACAATTTTTTACTCAAAAATGGCGCATCGAAGGAAAACAATTGAAGAGAGATCATTTGTTTTAAATTAAACGGAGAATTCAAAAATAACTTTTATTTGGCAAAAAACCATTGGCGTACCATTTTTTTCTTAAAAAATATCGAAGTCAATACCCGTACGCACGCCACTGTTAAAGCTAAAATTTATTTTTGCATTGAAAAATATGCAACTTCATTCACTTTCACTACGTACTAAATATCAGTGAAATATCTGAAGCGGTTCTGAAAATATTAATTAATTTCCATTTTTTTCCTAAAACTTCAACACCCGAGTTTTTGTTAGGAAACATTTTTGGACCATAGTTTATAAAGCAAACTAACATTAATTTCTCATGTAGATTCACACCCGTAAATATTCGCATATCATTAAGTAACACCCTGTATAGCCGTCAAAAAACATTAAAGGTTCCTGAATCACTATTTAAGTATGGAAGTGGGACAATCTCATCAAAAAACTGGCATCAAATTAATGATTTACGCACCACAATTTAGGGGTTTACTCGAGAATGCAGATATGATATTGGAAATCTTCAATAGTGCCTCTACAGGTATACCTTTAAAGATTCTCGAAACAAAATTTTCATTTTCGTCGCCAACTGTTATTAGCGACGGAAACCCGATACAATGAATTTCGAATTTGGGAATCAGAAATGCTAAAAAGTGTCACAAAGTCCAGTTCGGAGCAGAAAAATGAGACTCCTGGAGAAATCTCAGTTAAAGCCTGACTTCATATTCGTGATTCACGTACCAAATTTACGCAAGAAGCAGCAGGTTCGCAGAATTTTGGAAAATCTGTATGTGTGGTTTAATAAATGTGAATGTCCATTCTGTCAGCATCTCGTCTGAACCACAACACGGATAGACGTACACTCACTAATTGAAATCCGATGAAGGTTATAGGCATCGGTTTATTTGCGAAAATATACAGGGTTTTCAAAAAGTATGGTGATCTTGAACCTGACCTTGACCTTCAAGGTCATTTGAAGGTAAATAAAGTTTTTTTTGTACGAAACCCCTACACCGGAAATGTAAACAGCGGGAAATTTTACCTTAAAGTATGTATGACCTTGAGCATGATCTACATGGGTATTTGAGAGTGTCCACAGAATACACAAAGAATAAACTATCTCGAAAAATACGTTTCTTAAAGAAAAATGTATAATAGAGTTGTAAGGTTCAGATAGATTCATCTAATGATGTCCTTGAACGTGACCTTGACTATGATTTTCAAGCTCATTTAAAGGTGAAGACAGTTTTTTAGATGGTAACTATTATTTTTGTCAGCGGAGATGAAACGAGAAAGAAAGTTCATATTCAAGTATGTCCAAATGCATTTTTATCGAGTTTTTAATCCTTGAAATGCAATTGCGAGGATTTCAAGTTCAAGTATATCCTTGCAATAAATCTGAACATGACCTTCAAGGTGATTTCAAGATCAGGTGAATTTTCAAGTAAACTCCTTACCGGCATCCCAACGCTTCCGCAGCCGCCCTACAGCCCAGATGTGGCCCCTCCGGACTTTTTTTGTTTCCTCGCCTGAAAAGACCGATGAAAGGCAAGCATTTTGAGACGACAGAGGGGATCCAAGCAGCATGCACCGCGGCTCTCAAGGCTATTCCGGAGAATGCCTTCCGTGACGCCTTCAATGCTTGGAAATCGCGCTGGCAGCGCTGCATCGACGCAGAAGGAGCCTATTTTGAAAGTTTTTAAAGAATTGTAACGATTGGCTCAATAAATTTTTTTAAATCGACTCAGTCCTATTACTTTCCGGACAAACCCTGTACTCATCAGAATAAGCTAAGGTGTCGCGAAGGCCTATTTAGAGTAGGAAAATGTAACTTTTGGGGCCTCTGCCAATGTTAACGAACAACTGACATCAGGTTCACGATATTGCAGATGAGCAAAAATTTTTCATTTGGTCAAGATCTGCATATGTCATATGATCGTTTTGAAATTCTTGAATAGTAACTTCAATGTTCTCAATACAAATAATCGATAATTTTTCAGATACCCGATTGGAGAAGTTACCTTACCTCACTTGGCGCAGTGGGCTATAGACAAATTAGACTTAGACCTCACGCAACCTCCCAAACGATCGCAACCGCCGCCAACAGAATCTCAGTATCCAGAATCAAAAATTCCCGAGTCAATTTTACTAAAACTAAAAAACTTCAGCATTTCTTACTCGATAGACATTGTAGATAGAGTGGTCAGAGCTCATGGCCAGACATTACATGACATTTATACTTTAAGAAACTCAGTGTTCGAGAGGATTCCAGATGTGGTGGTATGGCCCACAGGTCACGACGAAGTAGTAAAACTAGTAACTCTCTGCAATGATAATAACATTGTGTTAATTCCTTATGGGGGAGGTACAGCAGTTTCTGGGGCTGTAGAATGTCCTACAAGTGAACAAAGACCTATAATTTCGTTGGACACATCACAAATGAACAAGATTCTATGGTTGGATAGGGATAACTTGGTGGCTTGTTGTGAGAGTGGGATAGTGGGACAAGATTTGGAGAGGGAGCTTGGACGGATGGGTTTTACGACCGGACATGAGCCTGACAGCTATGAGTTTTCTAGTTTGGGAGGGTGGGTTGCTACTAGGGCTTCTGGTAAGTTTAACAACAGGCATATGTATCAATGTAACATTTAAAACTTGTCGGGTGGTTTTTAACATATGTGTAGGTATAAAGTTAAACAATTGTTTTTCCAGTTCCTCTATGCATTCTGACTCAATTTGGTTGAGTATCCTTGAAGGAAAGATTTATATTCTCAAACCAACCAGTAGAAAGTACTGATAAAAAAAACGCCGAGACACGTAAAAAGATTTGTCAATGGAGACAACCTTTTAACCAAAAACTACTTCACCCCTTTTCACCTTCTGCCCCAGGGTCATCCCCTTAAAAATTTTAAATGACAAGGGGTATCGATTAATAGCTTGTTTGAAAGGTCCTTCGAAGTCCTTTATTTTGAGGTTTGATTTTTTAAAATCTGTCTGTGGTGGGAAGTTTTCAAATGATACACCCTGTATATATTCGATTACAAAAGCGCAGATGTTTTGCTTCACCCTCCAATTCCTAATTGTTGTATCATATTATTTTCTCACAAGACAAACAGCATGATGACATTGAGGCTTTGAAGTACTATTTCTTGCATTTCGGATCCAGGAACAATGCAGATGCAGCATTAGTAGTCGAAGATTACATAGCACTCACCAAGTGTGTTGCGACACAAGTTTTGTTTGGATTTAAGAGGCTCGTGAAAATATGAAAGAATGTTCGAATAACGCCACTGGTTTTTGCAAAATATTATAGTTTTCTCAAAGCCTTATTGCTTCTGCTTCGAAAATGCCTCTTTGCAGCGTTTCGTTGTTTGTTAAAAATCGACTCGATTACTATACTATAGCGATAAACAGAGTGATGTACTAGTTAATAAAATAATCGCATAAACAATTTTGAACGAAGAGGCAGTTTTTAATTGAGGTCAAGCTAGGTACAAGGTAATGATACAAGTTTTTGCAAAACAATTCTGTACATGTTAATGAGACCTTGAATAATGCATATCCGCGTATCAAAACTCATCTCAGTATCTCAGTTTTATAAAAATGTAATGTGAACACGGAAAAGTTTAAAGTATTATACGAGAGAAACTACGCATTTCCGGATCCTTGCATACAAAATGAGCAGTTAATTAAAGAGGTCAAGTATTTAGTATAGATTTTTCTTATATTTTCCTGATAACTATTATGGCTATCCCCGTTTCCAGCTTGACGTCGAATTTGGGACACCCTGTATTTATTCCATCATTATAGGTATGAAAAAGAATACATATGGCAATATAGAAGATCTTGTGGTGCATGTAAAAATGGTGACAGCTAATGGGGTCTTAGAGAAAGGTTGCCAAGTGCCTAGACTAAGTTGTGGACCAGATTTCAACCATGTAATCTTAGGCTCTGAAGGATCACTTGGTGTTGTCACTGAAGTTGTGATAAAAATTAGGCCGCTACCTCAATGCAGGTATTTATAATTATCCGCACTAAAAATACTGAAAGACTGCGAGTCAAACTTCGGTCATGTTTTAAACTTTTTCAACCATCTCAATAATTCACAACGTATTGGTGTCGATGTTTCGAATTTTTCAGCCATCCGTAAATGAAATATTGTATTGTTTCAGGAAATATGGATCAGTGGTTTTTCCAAATTTTGAAACGGGAGTGAAATATATGAGAGAAGTAGCCAAAAGGAGACTACAACCAGCTTCTATAAGATTGATGGACAATGATCAGGTAACAAAACTAATTATTATGTGGTACAGAATATCATCCGAAAAATTTTATTTCAAATTCATCACGCAAAAACATATGTAATACGTTCATATAAAATTGGGAAATAGTTAATGTAAATGCATCAAAAATGTTTAAATTAACATACAGGGTGAGTTTTTAGTGTAAGCTCAGTCGATAATTCCATGAATGCGCATGATATCTAAAAATGTTAATAACAAAAATTGTAGCCAAGGCTCCTTGCTTGGAATATATTATTTCTACAAGGTAATACATAACTACGTGGTAACCGAAACATACATTTGTCAAACGGAAAGACCTACTTTTCATTGTAGATTCGGTGAGGCTCCTTCAAACGAAGCAATTTGATATAACATACTATAGGGTTTTATTTCTAAATTGTTGATATATTGTACTATCTATCGAAAAAAAACACACAACTCTGACAATTCGCGCCTCTATTTTCATTTGGACAACCTGAATATATTGTAAGTTTTAACGTGATTTTTCGTAACATAGTGCAGGCAGGCTTACTCACATGGGGCACCAAACTTTATCACCCTGTATCTCCAACAGAAAGCATTTCTAAGCTTTGCGTCTATTGAAGCATTTAACCAGCACAACATGAACTATTTGGTTTAAGATTTATTTAGCATGATTGCTACAATTACATTCTTCTAAAAAACTAAACAATTACATAACATACAGAAAAAAAATTGCATTTCTAAGAATTTCCACTGTCCATGAAATATTCCTTTAATTTTCTTTCGAACATCTTTAAATTACAAGTAGACTTTATATCATTATTTAGTTAATTAAATTCAAGTAATCCTTTCTGAAATATTGATTTGCTAGTTATATTGCAATTTTGTAAATGAAAATCTATATTTCCTCTCGTATAATAATTGTGGTAATGATTATTCAATTCTATGTAGTGTTCTAAATGTTGTGGCCAAAGATGATTTTTTATTTTAAATATAAAAATAAGAAGCAAATATACCACTAACATTCTTGTAACATAGATTTTATTTTGGTGTACTTATTTTTATTCAAAATTATTCCCATAGTTTTATTTTACAGAACTTGTAATTTGTAGAATACAGCTTCATTATTGACAGTGAACATGATAGTTGAACAATATAGTAAATGCAGTAGAATAATTGTATTATAAAGGATTTTCTTGGAATATCTACCAAGACTATGAGAAGCCCTATAAAAGTTATTTGTTTTTTTTGCAATTTTCGAAATAATGTATTTTTAGTAATCCTCAAACTTTAGTTTACTATCAATATATATACCTAAATATTTAATTGATTCAACATTTTCAATTATTTCACCATTTATCCTAACTGTGATAGTATTTTCATTTATGCAGTTCCCTATTAGCATACGTTTTGTTTTAGAGGTATTCAATTTTAGTTTATTTACAGTTATCCAATTTATGATTTTTGCCAAGACAGAATCTGGCATTTTTAAAGCAGTGTCTATATTTTCATCTGATATGTATATCAATGTATCATCTGCCAATATCTGAATTTTACAATAATCTAAAATATTAAAAATGTCATTAATGTATAAAATAAAAACTATTATGATATGAATTTTCATTAAAATCGACCGGTAGTCAAATTCCATATGTTTTGTGTCTGGTACTTTTCTGTCACATCCTGTATAACACGCTCTTATCCAATTTAAGGTAATTTGCAACAATTATGTTAAACAGATCCACTTTTTTCCAGTTCAAATTCGGCATGATCCTGAAACCGGAAGAAAGCTATTTCGGCATCATTCTAGACGGTATCAAGAAATTCTACATAACAAAAATAAAGGGATTCGACGTGGATCAAATGTGCGTGATGACTTTGCTGTTCGAGGGTGATGAAACTGACGTCAAACTGAGCGAGAAGAAGCTGTACGAGCTTGCTAAACAGTTTGGGGCTATCCCTGCTGGGGAGACTAACGGAGAAAGGGGATATATGTTGACTTTCGTCATCGCGTATATAAGAGTGAGTGAATTCACGTCAATTTATGGATTGTTCTTGACTTTGCATAAATGATACATTGAAAAAGTGATTCTGAAGAAAGTACATGAAGGAATACGAAAAGTTTCTATAAAATAAGTCCTAACGGCCAAAATATTCAGCCTGTCATATACTGTATTTCAGTATACAAAAGTATATACGAGTATAAATAATTCAGGAGCCATCTATGAGAGAGTTGCAAAAAACCAAATTTGCTAATGTAACATCAGAAACCTATGCAAACCACATTTCTTGAAAACATATTTTTTATTGTAAACGTTTGACAACAAAAAAGGACGTCCAGCCCTGCAAATAGACAAGCGAGCACTAGACTATCTGTCCTTTTTTCAAATGTACCAGAGATGTCACCCTCGTCCATCGTCCCGAAGTCGCCAAAAGCCCTCAAAAAAACAAAAAATACGCGAAAGCCCACCTAGAGCTGTTGTCGTAACACACCGGTTAATTTTTATGCAATATTCGATTAAAATGTTGCAAATGTATTATTTTTTATGGATCTGAAACTCGAGAAATAGAACTTCGACATTTAAGGGGAACTATTTTGTGTTATATCATTTTCTCACAGGACAAATAAAATTAAAAAGGCATCTAAAAGGAATTTACAATGCCTAGCACCATCTATGGATCAGTAGCGGAATCAAAGTATAATTCTACATTTGTATCTTTAAGATCTATCTTTGGGCGCCGAAATACAGTATATAGTTAGCTTCGGCTAGAATACGTTAAGCACGGCGTTCAATCCAGACTATAAATTACAGCAGTGCAAAAAATACCAATGCGTTCACACAAATTATTCCCATTAAAATGCAAAAACTTACTTTTGAAAAAAGATATAAAATAGTATTTTTTATAAATAAATGGTATTTAATTTGCTTACATGATCATTAACTCTAACTAGCTTATGTAAAAAGAGTTTGTTTTCTAAGATGCTATCCTATAGCGCACAGTCATTCAATCATTTTTTTTTTCAGTTTGATACAAAGTTCAATCATTGCCCAAGTATATACGGTGTCCCATTTTAATCTCGCCACAAACATTTTGAAAAGTGCACATTCTAGAAAAAAGTTTTAAACGAAAGTTGTAGAGTTGTGAGGGGGCAAAATGATGGTGACCTTGACAATGACCTTCAACGTAATGTCCGAGGTCAAGCGCCCAAAGATCTTAGCAAATGGCAAATTTTGAAACCATTCATTGAACATAGAAAATTACATTTCAAGGTTTAGAATAAATTAACACAACATATAGACGACGTTATGGTTACGAGTTGACTATTTTTTATTTTTAGCAAAGGTTCAAGATAACGTGTCTTGGAAATTTAATTGTTAGCGATTCAATTACAATCCTAAATTTATTTATACAATGTCAATAAAAAAATCATAATAGAACAATTCGTTCAATTCAGTAAATCGTGATTTAGTATGATAATTTTATGAAGCAGCAGAGAAGTGCGAAAAGTAGTATATGAAAGTTTAGCAGGTTTTGCAATAATTTATGTATGTTCAATGAGCGTGGTTTGAAGGGCTCATTCTCTGAATAATCATGTGCTGATTCTGGCAATATTGTTGCAATCTCTTATCAAATCCCTAAAAAAAACAGTCAAAAGTTTGAATTATTTTTTAGGATCTAGGACTGCAATACGATGTGGTAGCAGAATCCTTTGAGACATCAGTTCCTTGGGACCGAGCTGTAACATTAGTCAAAAACGTTAAACAGGTATGTGAACTATTACGTCAGATGCTATGAACTATGAAAGCAATTCCTATGTTCCCGAGAACCGTGACTGGTATAGGGGGCGAGCGATCTTTCATTTCTGATACTACTATGTAGTTGACTTGTCTGGTGTTTCTGATCAGGATATCACTTTTACTAAATTAATTTGCCACCTCTTTCAATTGCCCAATTATTACAGAATATGCAGGGTGTTCCTTAAAGACATGCTAATACTTGAGGTAATTGTTGGACCCATTTTAAGAAAAAATGTATATGAACGTTTGTTCTAAATGTGGGATACGGCTATGATGCGGTGACTGCTGTGCGGAAATATGTCACCGCCTTGATTTTTCACTCCTCTATATTTTCAATTACCACTTGCGACGCCTACTGGCGAGGGGTGAAAAATTTGGTAATCAGGGGAAAGTATATCTCAATTTTTTGACAGTGGAATACTAATACGCCTGCAGCCGTGGTAAGACATATTTCACTCATCATAGATTTATCTTTAAAACTTGGAATGGTGGATAAATATTTCCGGCCCTCGCTTGTCGTTAATCCTGTCGACGCATGTATGTGCAGTCGGCCTTCGCTGCTCGACTGGATGTGAACCGACCGCCATACACGCCTGATGTACATGTAGTTTCGATCATATGTACTCGCAGGAACTTTTCTCCGGGTAGGGGAAGGCCCCTTCATTGACAAGAGATAACTTTTTGTGAAAGCGTAACTGCCTCTAAAACTTTTCGAAGAGCAAAGGAGAACATATTTTCTCAGGGAGCCAAATCCCAGCCCCAAAATTGTACAAAAAAAAACATGTTAAATATGCAAATTTTAATTGTATGAGTCTGTTCGACTAACTTGACCCGTTTGTTATTCATGTTTGTAGCTAACTTTTTTTCTCAGAGGGTCCAAATTGTGCAGAACATAATCCGTTTGTGAACTGAGACAGCTTTGCATACGAAATGCAGAGTCAACGTACTTGACGCTATTTTTTTAAATTCTTAGAGTGTGAACTCGTTGATAGTTGAGTAGAGTGGCCCGCGGCTGGAAGTCGCCATCCGCCTACGTGATTGCCTTGATACCATACTTTTGGGGTAGTGTATACTTCAGCATTTTCCATAGTCACATTGAATATTATGGCACAATGCTCTGGAGAAACTGGGTAGCTTTTAACAAAATTTTCATTTTACAAATACGGCTGTGAGAATAATTAGAAACTCCAGTTATGGATCAATTTGCAGAAAACACTTCAAAAATTTACAAATATTACCACTTCCATCAACTTATATTTTTGGTGTTGGTATTATTTTTTAGGTCGTAGCACAGGAATGTCAGCGTCTCGGTATCACACACTACATTATAAATTCAAGAGTCACACAGACCTATGATGCTGGATGCGTCATCTATTTTTATTTAGGGTTTAACCACCGAGATCTTGGAGATCCAGTTGATCTTCACAATAGGTAAGCCTCCATTACTATAAAATGTTTCCTCCAAATTTGGATTGCTCAATATATTGCGTGACAAAAGTTGTTGCAATCGATATTATAATTTTGGAGTAAGGCAGTATTTTTATTTTTTCTATTCAAATAAATTTTAACTGCTGCATTATTACCAAATTTTGAATTATTTCTCTAACTTGTAGATTAGAAACAAAAGCGAGGGACGAAATTTTAGCGAGTGGAGGAAGTATTTCACATCACCATGGTGTCGGCAAATTAAGAAGAAAATGGTATCCCAAAACGGTGTCAAATGTTGGATTGAGCCTATATTTATCTATCAAAAGAGAGCTGGATCCCAAGAATATCTTTGCCACAAATAACTTAGTTCAGTCAAAGTTGTAACTCACATGTAGGTGGAAAGCTTATACCAAAGATTGTGTATCGGAATCACAGATGTCAATAACAGTTCAACAAATCAGGTTTCATTATGAAATGTTAATTAAATAATTGTGTAAAATAAATGGCAGATATTTATAAAAAAAAGTGGGAGCCAGCTTGCATTGTCAGCATACATGAATTCATGAATTTCACTCGGATTTTCCATTTACACAGTGCAGCAATGCATGGTTGCCACCTCATCTGGTTTAACCTAGCCTAGTTGCCGTTCAAGAATTCTAATGTATTTATTGTTTTTGCGTGGTCTTGCCATTGTTCTGTGATTTCCAAAATGTCAAAAGTGTCAAATGTGTGACGCATCTGTGTTCATTTTTTTTTACATTAGGTGATTTTGGTTACCTGGTAATCTGTATTTGTTTTGTTAGTTTTTAATAAAAAAACAGAAAGGTGTTTTCGCTTTTTATTTCCAAATTCTTAAAACAAAAACAAGATGTCCATCATTAAAGTAATATCAATGTGATAACATAACTAAACATATATTCTCAGAATATAAAAAAAAATATTCAACTGCTCTGCATATGAAAAAGATATACCTTTAAGATTACTAACAGATATTTATGTAACATATATCACATGAGATATAGTAGTCAGTTCAGAGAGAAGTTTCCCTTCTTTAAATCGATGTAAAATGGAAACATAAATTCATTAGATAGAGGCACTCAAGTGTAAGTTAAGCATAACCCACTGGAAATAGTTGTAAAACTGCTCGCCCACTGAGATGAAGAGACGTGAGCTTGCACATTTATGAAAAGGCAAGTGAAGAGAAAAGATTTGAAACTGTTCCTTGACATATAATCAACCGAGAGCTTGCACACTGAAGCGAACCGATGCGGCGTATCGCCTTTGACATGTGAAAATGACGTCGCTGCAGTTTTCTTAGTGGCGCTTCTCAATGGGCGCCCAGCTTAAAGGCACATGAGAATAGCACCAGGAGCGCTATCAGTAAAAAAATTACCCTCTCTCTCTCTTGTATATACCCTGAAAATTCCCACAGACAATTTCAATTTTAGTTTCTTTATAATGCAATTGAACAATGATAAGCAATGATGGCAACGTTGCCCATAACCGGTCAAGTTGTGCAAATATTTTGCAAAATTAGTGTTAAATAGTAACATTTAAATACTGTGCTATCGATGAATCCGAGCATTACGGTACATAGAACATTTAACGCCAATTGAACTTTGACCCGTGCGCTTCTAGACGTTGATACCAGGCACTGGGAGACCTGCTATTGCTGTGAACCTCGAGCGGAGTTGCCGTAACTTATGGATTATCTTATCAGCATTAAAATGCCAAAAACCAAGACTGAAAATTGCGACATGTCTTAAGGAGGTTCTTGATCATCATCAAGCATTACTATGCGATAAGTGCAACATGTGGAAACATAAAGAATGCTTATCAATGTCAAATAAAACATATGTTAAATTAAGTAAATCCAATGATGACTGGATTTGTGGCAAATGTAAGACCACAGGCGAAGAGGGATTACACTCTGGCCGATGTCATGGCAAAATTAGAGGAGATGGATAATAAATATAAGGCATTATTTACTAAATATAACGAGCAATTAAAAATAAACGAACAATTACAGGATGAACTCGGTCAATTTAAGCAACAGTTAAACAAAAATGAACAAAAGGAACTTGAAAACAACTTGTTGGTGCAGGGAATTCCATACAAAGAAAACGAGAACTTACCTGACATTATAAATAAAATTGGTAATTACCTTGACGTCCCGAATGTAAACAAGTTTACGACTTTTCGATTGGGCAGGGATAAGAATAAAAATTACCCTGTTAAAGTCATCTTTGAAGATGTCACACCAGGCACTGGGAGACTGGCTATTGCTGTGAACCTCGAGCGGAGTTGCCGTAACTTACGGATTATCTTATCAGCATGAAAATGCCAAAAGCCAAGACCGAAAATTGCGACATATGTCTTAACGAGGTTCTTGATGATCATCAAGCATTACTATGTGATAAGTGCAACATGTGGAAACATAAAGAATGCCAAATAAAACATATGTTAAATTAAGTAAATCCAATGATGATTGGATTTGTGGCAAATGTAAGACCAAAGATAGTCCTGGTTTTGTTTCACAGGCGACGAGGGATTACACTCTGGCCGATGTCATGGCAAAATTAGATGAGATGGATAATAAATATAAGGCATTATTTACTAAATATAACGAGCAATTAAAAATAAACGAACAATTACAGGATGAGCTCGGCCAAATTAAGCAACAATTAAACAAAAATGAACAAAAGGAACTTGAAAACAACTTGTTGGTGCAGGGAATTCCATACAAAGAAAACGAGAACGTACCTCACATTATAAATAAAATTGGTAATTACCTTGACGTCCCGAATGTAAACAAGTTTACGACTTTTCGATTGGGAGGGATAAGAATAAAAACAACCCTGTTAAAGTCATATTTGAAGATGAATCAACCAAAATAAAAATTTTAAAATCAAGAAAGAAGTTTGGCCTTAAAAGTTCCGATTTGGGATATACGACAGATAATAAAATATTTCTCAACCATGAACTCACAAAAGAAAATCTAGATTTATACATGGCAGCCAAAGCTTTTAAGAAAGACCGAAATTTTAAGTTCCTTTGGATTGGAGATGGTAATATCCTTTTAAGGAAAGATGGAAACTCAAAAGTTCTTCGTATTAGTAATAAAAGTCAGTTGAAAAACTAGTAAGGCCTCGTAAACAACTAAAAATTGCTTACATGAACTTGCAAAACATTAGAAATAAACTGGATCTGGTGCAGTGTTTGGTTGTGAGTGAAGATTGGGATATACTGTTGGCGGCTGAAAAATGGTTGGAAGAAAGTGAAACATTCTTGTTTGAGCTGGATGGCTATACTGCTGTTCATTCCTGCAGGGCTGGTAGAGGAGGTGGTGTGTCTATCCATGTGAGAAAATCTTTTAAATTTCGTGAAATTGAGAAGTCAAACAGATGTGAGTTAATAAACTGGATATATATTAGCTTAGGGGAACAAAACTTAAAAATTAGTGTTATATATAAACCACCATATGTTAATAGTATTAATTTTTTTCATTGTTTGTGATCTATTATGCGTACTCATCCTAAAAATCATTTAATTGTAGGGGATATGAATATTAATTTGCTAGAAGTCTCACAAGTAGCCAAGGAGTACAAAGATTTAATAGCATTAAACAATTTTCAAATTAATAATATGATAAATGAGGAGTGTGCTACTAGAGCTAGCAGTTCGCCAAAATCTGTTATATACCATGTTTTTAGAGATTATAGTGGTAATGTAAGTTGCAGAGAAGAAAATGCAATTTCGGATCACAAACTTATATTGCTTGATATTAAAACTTCTGTGCAATTTCATAAACCAAAAGTTGATTATGAGGTAAAATCTGTAGATTATAAAAAATGTGTAAACAAATTTAGACAAAAAATTTCAAGCATAAATGTAACAACTTTTCAAGTTTACCTCATTGTATAAAAGATTCAAATAACTATAGAAGTTTTGTTAGAGAATTGAAAGATTTTAAAAATGTTAATGAATTTATTTGTTGAAATTATGAGCAACATTGCAGTGTAGGTACCTATAGTTCATAGATATTGATTATTGTTTTGTTATTCTCGGGGCCAGTGTTTGCAAGCACTGATTGGGGAATTATTGTTAAAACTGGTTATATATTTTGTATTATTGTGTTTAAATAAATTATTTTAAAAAAAAAAGAAACAATGATAAGAAGATTTCACCTAAAGTATTTGTTAGATAGAGGCACTCAAGTGTAAGTTAGACATAACATACTGAAAAAAAATTGTAAAACTGCTCGCTCACGTCCCCTCAGTGGGCGTGCAGTTTTATGGTTTAAAGAAAGGCAAGTGAAGAGAAAGGAATCGAAACTCTTCCTTGATATACGATTATATTATTATCAACTGAGAGCTTGCACACTGAAGCAAAATGATGAGGCGTATCGCCTTTGACATGTGAAAGTGACGTCGCCGCGGTTCTCTTCGCGTCGCTTCTCAGTGGGTGCATACCTTAAAGGCTCATGAGAATAATACCAGGAACATTATCAGTAAAAAAAATGACTCTTGTCTATAGCCTGCAAATTCATACTTTCAGTAACTCGTTTTTATAGCAGAATTTAACAATGATAACACAGTTTTTCTTCTGTAATACAAAACTAAAATGTTGATCCAAAGTACCACAGAACAAAATTGTATGTAAAATGTAATTATAATCCTGACTCCAATATTCAGAACAATGAGGAAATTCTTAGTTCTTACCTATATTTAAAAGCAAATCTATTTTTAATCAAAGAAAAAAATGTATCAATCATAATGATATTATCACGTCACTTAGGTAATATAACCCGCAAATACTCAACTCTACTAGAAAAAACCTCATAGCAACAAATCATTAATAAGGTCCTCTGGAAGGGCCAGGTCCAAAAGGTCCAGGTCCACCAGGTCTGGGCCCATAGCTTCTTGGTCCATAACCTATTGGTGGATGATGAGGTCCTCCCATCATAGGAGGTCCAAACTGAGGACTACCCATTGGTGGTGGTGGTGGAGGAAGAGGCGGCATCCAAGCACCTTGAGAATGATGCATTGGTGGGGGAAACATTGGCGGAGGTTGACTTGGATCAAAGGGAGCTGGTGAACTAAAATATAAAAATGTTTCCTGCTATTTTTTTGTCTTCACTTTCACATCTTTGTGGCTAACTGTAATATATGTTGTTCCAAAAAAATGAGTAGAAAGCTCAACATGCTTTAATATAAATCACTGATTTGATCTATTCAAATCAATATTGAAAAAATATATCAGGTAATTTGATCTCAATATTTATGCAAACTGACAGCAAAATTGCAAAACACTGGTTGTTGCTTATATGATTATATACCTACCTCTTCAAAGTTATGAATATACTTACATGCAATTTGGCATAGGTACATATTCATGGAAACCAGGAGGATACATATTCTGACGTGGATGGAATTGTCCTTGAAAATGACCTGGACCTCTATGAAATCCTCTTCTAGGATGGCCACGAGACCTGGCATTGAAATCATTTGCATTCATCCTATAATAGAAAAAGCAGATAGCTACTATAGAGTACAAATATTTCTTGTTAATTCTTACTTTATAGGTGCTGGTAAAGATCCAGACTTCCTCTTAGGGGCCTTCCTAGATTCATCCATATCACATTCAATTTCATCATCTGATTCTTCAGCCAATTCTGGGGGTAGTTCCTTATCTCCAATCCAGGAAGCATCTGATCCTTTTATTCTGCATTTCAAAGTATATTTCTAATTCGTGCAGAGGAAAGACATATAGCTATGACAAATTCTCATAGATGACACCCAGAAGTCTCATTTCATCTCAGATAATTTTTGGACTACCAAATAAACTACATGATAGGCAGTCTTCAAGTAGAATGCATAGATACAACCTTGATTGTTTCTTATATTTTGAAAATACGACTCTAGATGTCAAAACATCTACAGTCACATACAATCCATAGAGCTTCCAATCATACTTACTTCATTAACTCTTTGATAAATACGTATTTAGTGCAATCATTCTTTGGAGCCACATAAACTTCCTGTCTAACTGTAACACCTCTTTCTGCCAATTCTTCAGCAGTCTGGAATCTCAGACAATACAATGGTGCCTCTACTTGTCCAATCACATCATCTACAACTCCCAAAGGCTGGTGTTGACCAGTGGAGTCTTTCACAAAGAGAATGGTATCCAAATTATAAGCTGGGACACCAGGTAGAGCCTCAACTGTGACTAAAAAAAGTTATATCATTTAGAATTTGAAACAAAATTGTCACTGTAACCATATCAGAGCAAATGAAAACTATAACTTGAGAACTGATAACACTACTTTATTATGGTATGGTAGAGGCAATATGGACTCCCAATATGTTATAATCATACTCTTCAAAATATTCTAATAGATTAAACTATCTCTTTCATTGAAATCTTCATTTGAAAATCGGGAGAAACTACCTACCTACAGTATCTAGGATAACTGCTCTTACATGGCCCATAAGCAAAAATTCCTCATCTACATAGTTAATATTTAGTTTTTTCAAATCTGGCAATAAAGAGAAATCTACAGGATCTAAGATATCTGTGGTTGTGAGTCCCTTTGTGACGGTGTTATTTTTTCTATTGAGTGCTGCAACCTCTTCAGCATCACTATAAATGAAATATGAAGGTTGGTCTCATGCTCTGCCACTGACCCCTTTACAGATACTTACTTAATGAATTTTGCTGACAGTAAAACAAGTGATCTTAATAGGCAATAAAAGACAGACAACACATAAATTATAAGTGACTTCATTGCAAATGAGTCAGAGGGAGTCATAGTTTTGAGACCAATGAGATTATGTGAATCAGAGATATCTTACCTATGGCTTGCATCACTAACTTCTCCAGTTATATTTGAACTACTCTCACTACTATCTGTTGAAGATGAAGTATCATCTTCTGAGTCTTCACTACTGCTATCAGAACTTTCATATTTCATCAGATTTTTTAAAGAATGTGACTCTTTATTTATGATAACTTGGGTCTCAGGTTTGTTATCAGTATATAACTTTTCCATATCTTTAATATTTTTCTGTTCAGTTACAGTGTTAGCTGCATTTGCGTCATCTTTATTTGAACATTCATCCTGCTGGTGATAATTCTCAATTAGGTGTTGAGGCATTTTTTCTGTGAGTTTAGGGTCAGTAGTTTGATCTATGGTTCTATTCTCTACCTTATTACTGCTTCCATGCATTTTATGGTCAGTAGATTCTTGATTACACTCAATAGAAACCATTGTCTTTACAGGTGGTTTTTCAGGTTCAACGTTTTCTGCAGACGCTTGCATTTCGGCTTTTTGTTCTACAGCAATAACTACTGATTGGGCTTTACTGTCCACTGATGCATCAATTGTATCACTCATGTTTAATCACTCCACAATCTTTTTAATATTAGTTTGGTGTCATTGGAATATTAACTATTTTTTACGATACACCCTCTAACAATTTCGGCATGTTCAAAACACTGACCAACACACAACCTATTAAATACTAATAAAAACATGTGACTCCAGGCCCTGTCCGTTCTCACAAAACACAAACTAAGGAAAGATTATCTACTTTGGCGTAAGCCGAGTCACGAAGTATATAGAACTGGATTGTGCGTTGCCGTGCCTTCAAATTCGTCTGTTAGGCAATTTTTTATTACTTAAAAGATTTGTGCTCTTTTAATGAAAGTAAATAAATTGATTGGTCCGAGTAAAGATAACATGGCCACGCAAGACAACTATTGAAATCTATTCTACTAGACTCTATCCGTAGCGAAATTTTTGCTGAAATCGTTGCACAACACTTATTAATAGGAGAAGTACGATTTTCATTTTACTCTACTATTTATTAGTATCCGTCTTATACGCAGAGATATTAGGCATTCATTTTGAGGAAGCTAAAAATGGACAGCTTGATAACTTGAATCCAACTTATAACTCGTCGATCATGTGAAATTACAGGCAGACGCATTTTGGGCGCATCACATCTCTACTCTTGTTGGGCATTTGATGCCCACGTATCCTCCTACAACCATTGTATATAGATATTGTAGTTTCCTAAACACGGGGCTGAGATTCCAGGTTTGGAAACGCCAGATTTTTTGCACCATATTTAGTAAACATAGTGCAAAGAGTTTAGTGTCAAAGTACGATACTGTCAACTATAGACTATCGCCAATTCCTTGGACTGAAAATAGTATTTTGTTCGAGGCTATGCTAATAGTTTTGAGATGTTTCAGAAATGAATGTAAGTACATAAGAATACTTACAAGAACGTTAGATTAGTGCACGTTGCTGTGAATTTATGAATATATTACAGCCTGGCCAACATAAGGATCAGACTTGGTTAAATTCAGTAATCACACAATCTTACATCAAGCATTTGTTTGCAACGCCTACTTAAATAAAATAAAAAAATAGAAAAAAACACGTTTGTTTATAACTTAAAAAAACAAATGTAACGTGATACAACGTTGAAGTTGTAGAAAAAGGTGCTCTTAGATACAGGTACTGTCATACAATTTTTAATAAGTTTCAGATGCAGATGTTTGAATGTTTATGGTAATTTTGTTGAAAAATGAAAAAAGGTTCAGTTTTTAGTTTGTGATAAAATTTACATTCATAAATAAAATTTCTCTGACTGGATTACAAAACGGTTCTTACTTAAAAAATGACTCTCGTATAAACCGTTACTTCAATGCTACTTCTTTTTAGGTTAATAACTGTGGCATGCTGGCGATTTTCGATTTTACAAATGAAACCAGAATTGTGGAACGACTTAATTTTTCTTCACCTGATACTGATACAGTTAATCTTAGCAATGATGGTTGAGGTTTTCTAGGGGTTTTCCTTGCCCAAGTGCGAATGCAGTCACTAAAAAACCATATTCCTCTAATAAAGAGTAGAGAAAATGAAAATCGTACTTCTATTAATGAATTTTGGATCAAATAGTTTTTATATAATAAAACATTGTTTTTTCCAATTTTTGGAAGAAGCAAGTACAAAATATTTATAATGGCAATCATCACTCCAAGAAAGACAGTAAAATTTATCGGAGGTATACGTTAGCGAAAGCGCCATCTATTACCAGAATCGACGACTGCATGAGTGTATAGCAGCTATTTGTTGGAACAACCGCCGATAAAAATCGTATTGTTCATAAAGACGAAAATGGCGAAGTCGAATTTACAATCCCTAACATTTATTTCTGCTTTTTTCATTCGTCCTTCTTCTTTGCTGTTTTGTGATTTGTCAGCTGGTTGGTGATGGCGGCCACGTCACGCATGACAGCCACGTTAAGTGGCAAAAATAGACGTCAAGTGACCAATGTATACAATCGGATTGCGCTATTTTGTAAATAAAAGATTAGTTTACAGCAAGTGCATCAATACATTTGAATAGATCGCATGAAGAATAATGAATTTAAGATATTTTTATATTTTCTTGATATGTTATGCATCTAATATCCTCGTAAAAGCCGAGGAAGTCGGCAAGAAAGAGGTAATTCTAATAGACCTGGAATCATGTTGCGCTTTGGATAATATGATACCAATTCATTATTTATAGGCTCCTGAAAACTCCAGCTTAGATTTAGTACAAGATAAAGATGAAAGACTGCTATTATTTTCCACTTTAGATGGCTCACTTATAGCTGTCAATCAAGACGGTGGAAAAATACTATGGAAAATAAAAGAAAGTAAGGCATGCATTGGAATGCACTTTGATATTGTTATGATTTGCTAAAATTTCAGAACCAATTGTCCAAGTGCCTGTAGACACTTCAAATGCAATAGTACCAATTTTCTTGCCAGACCCAAAAGACGGTTCACTGTATTTGATTGGAAATGTTAAGGAACCATTAAAAAAGTTACCTTTTACAATACCACAATTGGTGTCATCATCACCATGTAGGAGTTCTGATGGAATCCTTTACACAGGTAGAATGAGTTTATTTGTTTAGATGTCATACAATGTTTTAATGTATGTTTCTATGGAGAAAAATTTCTAGACTGCTAACTGTGTTTTCTAGCAACTTTTTTTCAATATACCTTACAAACAGTGGACATCAATATCTTAAAAAGATTTAACATTGGTGGCTCAAGATATTCCATATTTGAATGATGAGGTGGAATTTCTATCACTGAAGCTACATCTACATTTTTTTTGCAGAAGGAAATTCACCAATTTCATATAATTTAGTAATGAATACTTTTGGTTGGTACTCGCCACCCTTTGTATTTTTTATATAGAACTGTAGTAAGTTGCTTATTGCTAATTTCCAAAATTCAATAGGAAATTCAAGTTTAATACTATAAAGTACATTTTAGGAAAGAAAACAGATACTTGGTTCAAACTAGATCCACAAACAGGAAAAAAGCAGCAAATTTTAGGATGGGATGATCATAGTTCTACTTGTCCAGTTGATATGGAAAAATCCATCTATATAGGCAGATCACAGTATAATCTGAGAATGGTTGATGGCAAAAAGCCTGGCAATAAATGGAATGTAACATTTTTTGACTATACTGCTGCTCCTATGAGTAAAGAAGACCTCAGTGATTATGGTAATTTCAAAAACATACTGTCATTTATTTCCAACAAGGAATTTGGGGCTGTCAGATACAGTCACCCATATCCAATTAATGACACAATGTCAAACATTATTGAAAAAAATTATAGTAAATCTATCAGTTCAGAAATATCAGGTTATATTTATATATCATTAAAAGAAAATATAGCTCATTATAATGACCAAGGCTGACCTAAGAAGTATTGGAGTGTATTAATATGATTCTTCTAAAGGCCTACCTAGTCCTCATCCTAGATTTTAAGATTAAATAATAGACCTTTTTAAACCAGTGTTATTTTTTTAAGTTCATTTGTATGTAGTGTCCCCTTAAATCTATGTCTATAGTAAGTTAGGAACTCTTATCATCTAAAATAAAAATGTACTTCTAGTTGTAACATATCAAAAATGTATTTGCCAATGTGCATAACTCAACTTTATTTTAGATTATGTGCATTTTACCAGTACTTCATCAGGTAAAATCATTACTCTGGACCGAAGAAGAGGAAATTTTCTATGGGAAGCAAATCTTGATAGCCCTATCATAAGCATCTATTTACTAGATAAAGAAGGCTTGATTTCAATACCTTTTACAAGCTTAGCAAATCATACCATTACCTATTTGATAGAGCAGTTGCAAACTAATGATGGATTCTTGCAGAGCTCCAGTCATATGAAACTATAGTAAGTATATATCTCCTTGTAATAACCCTCAATTTAAATTTTATTCTAATAATCAAAATTTCTGTGCAAAAATGTATTTTGATGTTTTTTCTATATGGCAAGTATATTCATCTAAATTATTTTTTCTGTTTAACATAAAAGGTAGAATAGAGAAAAATATTAAAAGCTATTGTTTGTAATTCTAAAAACCCTGCATGATTATTTCCAGTCCAACATTATATATAGGGGAGCACAACCATGGACTATATGCTTTACCATCGCTAGTTGACCAAAATGTGGTAACTATAACTGCATCTGATTCAGGACCTTTACTTTTGGGAGATCCCTATGCTCCTGGATATCCAAAAGAACATTCTGACTATCCATTACCAGGCCATAACTACCACCTACCAAAAGGTATTCAGTAACTTTACTTGTAATTTTAGGTTTTTAGATGTTCAACTGAATTTGATTCTTGATTATATAATGGCTTACTAGACATCATAATTATTCTATTTAAGGTTCAATATGAAGTTTCTTAAGCAACTTCAAGAGATTTGTAATTAACAGGTAGTTGAGAAATTTGCTGTGAGATCTTAAGTGGTGTCTAAAACTTTGTTGCCCGAAAATATTATCATTAAAATATTTATTTCAAACCCAGTAATTAATGTAATTTCTGCAATTTATGCTGTGGTTTCCATGCTGATGATTCTCCATGTCTTATGGCTGTTAACTGAAGTCATGTATGTAGGCTTGTATTATCTATCTGTCTTCCAGGTGGCAGTCTATTTGTTTTTATTTATAGTGTGTTACAACAAAAATCTGAATGCTCTTGTACCACACTGAGATAGCCATCACTACCAGTAATGGCTACCCCAGGTGGTATTGGACTTTGTTGTGGTTGATCCACAAATGAATTGTTACAAAGACAGATATGAAATATATTGTTACTGTCACTTTTTTCATCTGTAAGTTGAAGAAGGCCACCAAGGTCACAGAAAGATTAGTAAAAACTCAAGTCACAGGCAAAATCATGGAGAATTTTGCTTACTAGAATTATTATATTTTTAGAATATTACAATGGAGATTCAAACAACTTTCAAAGTGTTCCATCACTGGGCAACCACATCATAGTCTACAAAGGCCACTACAATATACCGTCATTTGATGACCAGAAGCTCTTGGCTGGCTCAAAAGAAGCGAGATCTGCAGCTAGTGTTTGCACTGACGGGTGCAATATGATTCCTCTGGGCATTAGCGACGAAAAAGCTGAGATTGCCAAAAAAGAGGAGAATGCAAAGAAAACATGGAGTGGATGGTTGAAGAGAAAGTATGAAGCTGTCAAGAATTTCATTAATCAACAAGAAAACAAAGGGTTAAAGTTGTCTTTGATTGTTATGACTGGATGTGTTATAGCCATGTTTTGGTATTTGCAAATACAGGTAAAACTTGCATAATTACTCATTTGGTTTACACTGAATTTAATATTTCAGCTACTTAAAAACACATAAATATTCACAAAAAATGACAGTTTCAAAAGCAAATCGCTTAATTCCTTGTGTTCTTTATGACTTGAATCACCTTCATCATTTCTTCACAAAGAACATTGCCTAGCTGAAATCTACCCATTCAGTAAAGTGTAACATTTTCATGTTATTAATTGTTTTCTATCCAACTATAATAGGTTAGAGAGGTGCAGAATATGTCTCAAAATGGCTCAAGAACCAGCCAACATAGTTCCTACGGTCAGAATAATAATGTAACAGCTTTATCTGAAGAGCTCCCTAATGGTCTGGTAAAAGTTGGAAAAATCACTTTTCATCCCGAACAGTTGCTTGGCAAGGGGTGTGAGGGGACCTTTGTTTACAGGTGATACATTAGAATATACGTTAATTACTTTCATGAAAAATAATTTTTTTGCGTGACATTGCAAAAATTGATTTTCATGAGCTATATACAGCCAACAAAATTAAATAGATTAGACGCCAAGCCGATATGTTTGCTTTGTTTGTTGCCAAAATTGTTTTTTGTGCATTTTTTTGGCTAATTTGACTACCAAAGTGACGAGCTAATACATCGTCATTATTTTAACTCAAAATGATATTCAAGTAGCTATTCGTACTGGGTGTACTCATGCATAGCAAGGCAGAAATACTATCTATGTTGCGTTGTGAATCGCTCAGTTTTAGTTGATAAACAGCTGTAAATAAGGCAAATAATCGAAAGTGAATATTTATCAACGGTACAGCATATGAACAATACTGCTTAATTCGTGATTTTGGAAGGTAAACAATACCAAACATTCTCTCCATCAAACAGTAACAATGGCGGAAATTTTAATATTGGAAATAGTGGGACACCTTGCCTGATTTCTACTCGGTTTTTCTAAATAGTTGCTGTGATCAAAGCAGATTCTTGGCTAAAAGCAAATACCTATTTGAGCATAATATGGAAACTCCTGCTATTATATCATCAGTAAAATGAGATCGTAAAATGTCTACTAATGTCTACTAAAATGTCCACCATTTTCGGCACTAGTCTGGAACACTAGAACTGTATGGAACCCAAGAACTTATATGTTTTCGCAAAAAAGTACGAATTTAATGTAAAAAGTCAACAACTGTCAAACTGGCGGCTTAAACCCGAACGACTTCTAGTATGAACTTGCAACCTGACAACTAACAACATAGTTTTGGCGACAAACAAATCTTAATTTTTTGTGCTTTGGAGAGCTTTTGAGCGAACTGTTGTTTTAGGGGCGAATTTGATAGCAGACGCGTTGCGGTAAAACGTTTGCTACCAGAATGTTTTACATTTGCCGATAGAGAAGTTGCTCTTTTAAGAGAAAGTGACGCGCATCCACATGTAATACGTTACTACTGCACAGAACAAGACCGAATGTTCAGGTGAGAACACTGACGTTTCTTTAACAATTTTTTCAGAAATATATACAAAGAGTTTTACCACTGACCAAACTTATATAACTTTACGGCTGACACGTATTTTGGCGTCAGAATCTTTGGGCGAAAATTAAAACGTAATTTTTAAAAAGCTGCCAGCCTATTGTCTGTTTTTTATAGGTATATCGCGTTAGAACTTTGTCAGGCTACTTTAACAGATTATGTGCAAGGAAACTGTGATATAATCAATATTACTCCACTGGATATACTTAAGCAGGCAACTTTAGGTTTATGCCACCTTCATTCACTAGATATAGGTGAGTAACAATTCTTTGATCGTATATTTTGAAAAAAGCAGCCTTAAAATGAGACCTCCAACTTTCACAATGAATAGTACTTTACGGTCCTGCTGTCAAAAAACGTTGAGTGACATAATCATGGATCATTTTAGCACCTCTATGATCAAACATTTTTTTTGTTCAGTTCACAGAGATATAAAGCCTCACAATGTCTTGATATCAGTTCCGAACAGTAAGGGAGAAGTTCGAGTCATGATCTCAGACTTTGGGTTATGCAAAAAGCTGCAAGTCGGTAAGATGTCTTTTTCTCGAAGGTCTGGAATCACTGGAACTGACGGGTGGATCGCACCAGAAATGCTCAATGGAAATGAGAGAACAGTAAGTCAATTTCAGACACAAATTTACTACGATTTACGATTTTTAAACTTCTGTTGGCAAAACTAATTAGGATATTTTAACCATTTCTTATTTTCCAGACGTATGCCGTGGATATGTTTTCCTTGGGTTGTCTCTATTACTATGTACTGTCAAATGGTTCACATCCGTTTGGGGACAGTTTGAGACGGCAGGCAAACATTCTCATGGGGAAATATGACCTGCCTGAGATAAAAGGTCCAGACTGGGTAGTGAATATTCAAAAAACGTTGGTGTCTGCACTGATATCACCAGCTCCAGAAGTTAGGCCTTCATGTAAAGCTACTTTGGAGCACCCTATGTTCTGGGATTATAGCATGATTTTGGCATTCTTTCAGGTGAGCTTGGCATATATATATATATATATATATATATATATATATATATATACGAGCCCCTTCTCACTTCAGTTGGCCCACTTCCAGATTGGTACCAAAATATGCCCTTTATAAACTAAACATGACGAAACTATTTACTTCTAAAACAATTTATTTTCTCAAAAACATTTTAGATACACTCTAGTCGTAAAAATACATATTTGAAATCACTTAGACCTATAACTAATAGAACATCTGAACAAATAAACAATGTGCGAATAAATGCGCGAAGTTAACATAGCAACAATTGAAAGATTACCATTGGCTAACATCACATTTATTTTTTATTACGGCTGAAATTCTTTGGGGCATAGTGTTAACCTATTTTTGGCAAAAATTTGGTGTAAAACAACCCCATATTTCTTGAAGCTTTTGTCTCAGTTCGGTGATTGTACGAGCAGGATGTTGTCGTAGAAGCGAATAACTCTACTGTGACTGTCACCAACACAAACTTCGAATCGGGCCTCATCACTCCATTGTATTGCACACCATTGTTGAGGTGTCCATTGTCCATGTTCTTTAGCCCATCTAAGCCGATTTTTCTTTTGCAGTGGAGTTGATAGTGGCTTTTATTTGGCCTATCAACAAGTTGTGCAACTTTAGGATTTTTCCTTCACTTTTTTTATAAGAAAACTTACCTTGCAAGTGCTAAATCCCAGTTTGTGGGCCTCTCTATGAGTTGTGGACCTCGAAATTCTCCTTCCAACAGCGTCACTCCACAGAGCACTTAATTGTAAATAATTGGCACGCCTCTTTTTCACGATTATTCTTCTTAATGCTCTTCGGTCGGCATTCGTGATATTACTTTTTTTGCACATATCGTGGGTTAATATTAACTGAGCCAGTTATATTATATCTTCTAACAATATTTCTCACACTGTACCGCGATAAGTCTAACAAAGTTGCAATTTCTGAGTTTGATTTCCCAGAATTAAAAAATTTAATTACCAGTAACCGAATTTTCTCACTAATAACCTTTTCTCTACCCACTTTGAAAACCTTAACTACCCAAAACTATTTTAAACGTATTCTGACAGCTGTGATTAATAAAAACAATTGTCATGGCTTTTATTTTTCACCGTCAACCTATGCGTTTTATAGACTTATTTTGCATTGAAATGAAAATACGTTGATATGCTGTAATTGCAACATGTTATTTTTATGCTGCAAATTTGATTAGGAAGTGATAAAGTTGGTGTTTTCTACTATATATTATCAAAATATTCATTGTTAATACATATTTTAAACCTATAACACCCTGCTACATTTTTATTTTTGTGTTTGATAAGAAAAAAACTAAGATTTCAATAGGTGGGCCAACTGAAGTGGGAAGGGGCTCGTATATACATCAACATTTAACAAAATTTTCATTTTACCCAATGTTTTTTTGTAAGAAATTTGATATACTGACACCGATCTGAAGCTATTTATATGCGTTTTCCAAATATCTAACCTTACCAATTTATTATAGGAAGTTAGTGATAGAGTGGAAAAGGCAGAACCCGATAACTATGTGTTGAGACAACTGGAAGATAATGGTGAACAGATTGTGAAATTAGATTGGAGGATACATATTCATGAAGAAGTATCGTCAGACTTGAAAAAGTATAGGAGCTATCAAGGACATTCTGTCAGAGATCTCCTAAGAGCTCTTAGAAATAAGGTAATTAGCGATTAAGAAATTTTATGATTCTTACTGTCATCTATTACCAGGGTCTTATATTAGGTATTTTTCCATTTAATTTCTTATTTTACAAATGTGATGCCAGAAAGTTTTGGTAGTACTGCCACATGCTAATTATTTTCGTTTAGACAAACCATTATGTTTGACACATGAAAGGTGATTTTTCGCTTGAGTTAATTATTAGCAAACTGATTATAAGTGCAACAAACTTTGCAATTTAGGTACGCTTATGCACGGTATACTTTTATTTTGTTTTTGAACTATATTAAAGTCGAGTAACATATTCCTGCATAATGCGATTCTATACGACAAATATTAGTGCTAAACATCAGTTGTTGCAGCACTAATTATCTATTTCAATTAATTTTTACTGAAAGCATTTGGATAACACTAATAATAGAATCGTTTTCCTTTTTTGCGCAATTAATTCCTAGCTTTGAAAGGACCCCCTTTTGAAATGACCATTGAATGTGATCTGAAATAACGATTACATTTGTGTGCAAATGTGTTTTTGTATGTTGTAGTCTAACGCGTGGTTAATCATCGATTAACCTTCAGAAACGACGCTATCTAGGCCCTTCTAATAAAGGGTGTCTCAACAAGAGCGCTGGATTTGAATTAGCCGCTATTTTTTGTACAAATGGTTATAGTGTTTACTTGATGACAGCTGTCATGTCCAGACCATGCGATTCATGGAGCAGTATTCAAACGAGCTACGTTCAATTATTGTGAAAACTCACTACAAAAATGGAGAAACTTACGTACAATTTTCGGTCGCAATAATGCGATAAATGAGTCGACATTTCGCAGTTTGATTACAAAATTTGAGACAAAATTCACGTTGCTGAATGTAAAGACCACTGTTCGTCGCCGTCCTGGTCGGTTCTTCAAGTCGCAGTGCGGAAAAGTGTGGCCGAGAATCCAGGCACTTCCATTCGGCACCGTGACCAAGAATCGAACCTTACCAGACCCACTCTGCGGATTTTGACAAAATATCCGTGCTTGCATGCGTACAAGGTTCAACTGATGTAAGAACTCAAGGCAACGGCCCATGCGCAGCGCCGTGAATTCGTTGATTGGGCGCGCTGGAGCACCACTAAATTGATGCGGATTTCTTGAAGAAAATCATTTTCTCTGATGAGCACATCTTCAACTGAACGGGTACGTCAATAGGCAGAACTGCCGTATTTGGGGTTCTGAAAAAACCCTCGTGTAATAATAGAACAACCAATGCATCCGCCGCGAGTTACCGTTTGGTGCGCTTTGTGGAGTGGCAGAGTGATTGGACCGTATTTCTTAGAAAATGCTGCTGGAACTACAGTAACTGTTAATGGTGTGCGGCATCGCGAAATTTTAACCGAGTTTTTGTGGCCCCAGTTGGATCGAATTGATGTGGAGGATATGTTCTCCCAACAAGACGGTGCGACCTGCCACACAGCACGCGAAACAATCGTGTTGCTCCGGTCCAAGTTTCCAGTGTCACCGTGTCATCTCTCGGTTTGGCGATCAAAATTGGCCACCAAGGTCGTGCGATCTAACGGCAATGGAATTCTTGCTCTGGGGCTATGTGAAGGAAAATGTGTATGCGAACAAGCCCCAAACAGTGGATCGCCTTGAAGGAGAGATACGGCGCGTTATCGACGAAATAGAGCCACAGTTGTGCGAAAATGTTATTCAGAATTTTAAGCAAAGACTGACCCTATGCCAGAGGTTTCGTGGTGACCATTTACCGGATGTCCTATTTCATGTTTAATCGCTACTATTCCTCTTCATGTTGAAATATAAATATTCGTTTAATTGGAAAAGAAATTGTTTTTCATGAAAATCAAATCCGGCGCTCTTATTGATACACCATTTATACGTAGTCGTGCCATAAGTTCTGTCCCATGATAATCTCATGATAAAAATGAAACAAGATAAGATATATTTATATGAAAGATATTATTTATTCGACAACATTTTTAGAATTCATAATCAAACAGTTTTATTCAAAATGTCCCCCCTTGGCCTTCACACACTGCTTCAATCTCGCGGGCCACTCATCTATCACTGCACGCACAGCTTCCAAAGGAATAGCTGCCGCTGATCGGATCAAATCCGCTTTCAGGGACTCGATATTACGGTGGGCTTTGGAGCAGGCCAACTGCTCTAGCAGGTCCCACAACTTGTAGTCTAAAGGATTGAGGTCCGGACTCCCTGAGGGCCAATCTTCCGCAGCAATGAACTCTGGCACATTGCTTTCCAGCCAGCGCTGCGTACTCTTAGCCTTGTGAGCGGGGGCGGAATCCTGCTGGTAGACCCAGTGTTGGTTGGCAAACAATGTACCACTTAAAGGCTTGACGATAGGATCCAGTATGTCGCTCTGATAGTTTGCCGCTTTTGTTTTCACGCCCTGTTTACAGAAATGGAGCTGAGTGACCCCTTCGTAGGACACCCCCCACCAAACCATGACTGACGCAGGGTGGTGGCCTCTCTCAACTCTCGGAATGATCTCCGAAGCTTCCTGTGAACTCCTTGCATACACTTTGTCATTTTGTCGGTTGAATTTTTCTTCTATGGTGAAGATTTTCTCATCCGTGAACAAAATCTTTCGGAATCCCCCAGCTGCGTACCTCTCCAAGAGCTTCTTGGATCTTGTCGCCCTGATGTGTCGCAAGGTGGCCGTAAGTCGCTGGCCCGTACGTCTCCGGTAAGCCCCTAGCCCTAGGTCTTGTTTAATGATGCGCGACATCGTCCGGACAGGAATCTTCATTTCCCTGGATAGGATCTTCTGCTTCCGGAGTGGATTCCTTTGAATCCTGGCTTTTACGGCTTTGATGGCTGCTGGAGTCCTTACTTGACGGGGTCTTCCGCTTCTTGGCCTGTCATCAACAGAGGACGTCTCATTGTACCGCTGAATGGTCCTAGACACAAATTTACGCGATATTTGAAGGCCGCGTAAGAGTTCAAAAATCTGACTAGCACTGTGATTACATTTATGTAAAGCTATCACTGCAATACGGTTCTCTGCCTTGCCCCACTCCATCGTTATGCTTCGAGAGATCAATACAAACTGAGGTATATGTAATTACCCGAAAAGCGCTTAATCAACTGACACCACAATGTAAACAATCGGACAAGTATTAACAGGTCTACACTTGTTTGAAAACGAGGGACAGAACTTATGGCATGACTATGTATTGTAAAGAGTCACTGATGGTTTTGTATTCTGCACATATTCGTTCGAAATTTGAATATGCATCGTTAATTTGTAACCCAATTTACAACTGCTACATTTTATCTTTCAAGGTTTAAGGCACCCGTATATGTAATGTGTGAAATTTTCAATTTCGCACCTAGTTATTGTAATATACATGCTGATAGTTTGAACATAATTCTGGGAGTAGCTAGGAATTACTTAAACAATTCATGATATGTTTGCCACTTGAGTAAAATATGTTTTTTTTCTATTTCGTTTTTTTCCTTTAGACAGAATCACCTGCTTTTTGTATGTTTTCAATTTGGTGGTTTGATTTATCTTTTCTTAGGTTTATCTTTATTTGCAGAAACATCACTTCAGGGAGTTAAGCACCGAAGCGCAAAAACTCCTCGGAGACGACGTGGCGTCCTTCACAACGTACTGGACAGAAAGATTCCCACTGCTATTGGTACACACCTGGATCACGATGCAATGTGTGGCAGACGAAGAGAACTTCAAAAAGTTCTACCACATGACGCACCGATATTCCGTGAAGCACTGTAGAGAGCATATGGCTGCATACATGGCGCAGAATCCGTTGAATGTTACAGTGATCAATAATGAGGAGAGAGATCAGAAGAAATACCTACCAGTTAGGGTAAAGGGAGAGTATCAGAAAGTCGAAAGGAAGAATTACGAGTTGGTAAAATCGGGAGGACTCTATAGAAATCACGATTCACCTGAGAAGATTCCGAATAATCAAAATAAGCAGCACCAGTTTGTCAAAGGGGGTCTTGGGAAGAAAAGGAAGAATAAGAAAATCGATGAGCCGTTAGTGTGGGCTATCAATCAGTAGATTAAAATTTCTAAATTTGGAAACTTAACCGTCATATCTAAGGAGTGACAGCACTGTGTGTGTAATGACAGTGCACATTTGATCAAAAAAGTCGCTGGTATAAAGGTCTACCGCACTGTCTCCTCCTGAATGCGGTCAGTGATAATATTGATTAACGTATTTTATCCACAGATGACAAACCATATTCTGGCGTTCAGAAAAGGATCTGAATGAAACCAGCGCCATTTATGAGACAGTAGCAGAACATAAAATTGAATCCTGAAATCCACTTGAAAAGATTTATAGTATTTGGATCTACTACTGTCTGATAGGTGGCGATAGAATCTTCAATCCCTTTTTTGTCTCTTTAATGCCTATTTTAATTCAGTATGTTCAGACATTGATTAAAGTACTCCTCATGAAGATATCCAATTGAAGTGGACATTAGAGAGGCCAAAACGAGATAGAAGATCCTAGCGCCATTTATATGACGGTAGCAGGACCAAACACTCTTTTTAAAAAGATTACAAATTTATTTTTGTATTATGCTATTGTTTCACAGATGGTGCTAGTATCTTTCATATCCCTTTTTGGACGCCGGAGGCCGGTATATGGTTGATTATCTTTAGGCAGAATATATTAATCAATGGAAATAGCAAAATCGAAATATTTTCGATAAGTTCTTGTTTTTAACTGTTTTTGATTATTGGGCAGTCAATGGCTATGGGCAGTTTCGATGTCATGTATGATTGTTTTCCGTTTCCTATATAATAGAGAATGTTGCACAACTTGATATACCAAATACGGCTTTTTAGCTTATCATCTACACGTGGTTATTTATTGGATATAGCTGTTCAATAGGGAAATATTTCTGACATTTCCTCATTGACGTTTGGAAAATGCATTTTTGCTTTTTTTCTGCTGTCACAGCCTCAGATACAGAACCTAAATACCAATATCCACGACTGCTGTAAAAAAGTTATGTGTCATCTTATTGATGCCTGTTCTGCTAGACTGATACACATTCTCGATAACTAAGGTACAAAAAACTACACAGTTCTCGATGTGTTTCACGGATGTTTTCAAAAATATTTTTTTATTAATAGCTGTAATACCACTTAAATGAAATTTAGTATAAATGTACTATGTATCAAGAGGCATTTTTGATATACATTTTTTTTCGATATATGGTTTTACCTAAAAAAATTTTAAGAGAAATTATGTGGTACCATCAATGTCTGCCAAAATAGGCAGGTGAAATTCTGTAAGAATGCGACTGGTCGAAATAAATCAGTAGTACATTAAAAAAATGCCTCTTGATACATAATACGTGTATACGGAATTTCATTGGAATATCTAGTGCTATTACAGATGTTAATAAAAGAATGATCTATTATTAAAAACTTTACAAACCGAATTCTCAAAAGTTAAGGCGTTTTAGAACATACGTTCATATGGAGTTTTCTTCTTAAATTGGAACAAAAATCGCCACCTAAAATATTGATATTTCATAAGGAAACACCCTCTATAAAAAGATATGCAAAAAATTAAATTTCTCGGCAAAAATGTCCATTCCGTTCCGTATTTTAAGCATGTAAATAGAATTCGTGTTTTATCATATCACATTAAGAAAGATAATTTCATCACATCAACAATAGGATTAAGCTTTTTATTCAGTGTGTATGTGCTTTTATTCGGATTTTTATTATATATTTTCTCACTGTGATATGTGCTGTGCACAATAGTTTTTAATGTTGATGTCTTTGCAATTTTATGTTGTTACAAAAGAGTACAAGGCATTTCAAAGATTTAGGACTGTACAAAGTGGTAATTGGTAAGCTTTAAGATTTTTTCGATTTTTAGTGATGAGAGTTTCAACAAATATCATTCAAAAATTAATAAACATTACATGTAGTTCAAGCATTTTTTTAGAAATCATATAAAATTTAAGAATTGAGATAGAATCACTTATTGGTCGAGTATATTTGTTGAAAATCAATTATAAAGTATGATGTTACCAGTAGAAAATGTAGAAATGAGCTGCTATTTTTTACCAAGATTTTCTTTGATACCCAAAACTATATTTTGTAAATAAACGTACATTCATTTTAAATGCTTTTTCTTTCATACCTTACCATAAAGTCAATCGTGAGAGACTTGGATTTTTGAAGCAAGTGTTCAAAGTATAAATTTTTCAATCTTATGGGTAACCAGAGTATCAGTTCCTTTGCATGCTAGTGATGGTAAGTATTGAAAACCCCATATACTGACTTGGAATTTAATATTTCTTTAATTGATCAATTAGGTATAACGCCATGAATGAGATTAACAACTAAAATCTACATGATAAGTTACTCCCACCGACTACGCTTTTTTCGTTCTTTCCCGGATCCTGGAGGTTTTGGCGGTACTATCTGGGACTGCGCTGGTGGTGGGATCTCAGTACTTGCTGTAAACTGTAATAAAAAAACGTATAACCATCCAAGTCAGCAGTTTAAACAACCAAAAAGTTACTTTGACAGTCTTATCAGGAAGCCAAAATAAAGTCGAGAAAATCCTCGTTTGCATTTCTCAATTTTTCATATCTACTTCATCGTTAGGTAACACTGCACGAAATTAAACTGCTTGCTCTGCCATTGGACTATGTGCAATTCAGTACAAATATTATAGAGCTCTGATGTCTATCATTGCAGATCTAAAAATGTCGCAAAAGCGCGTTATATCTATGTTGTTCCGATCTAAATATGGACGTCAACTTCTTTATCATGAGTTGTTGTCTCCTATTTTTCAAAATAATAAAAAGACAAATTATTCTGTATGAGAGGTTATAGTTTCGTACCTGATTCTGGTATTGGGCTCTGAAAGCTTCTTTCATAGCTGAAAGTCTGTCTGTGGCTGGACCCCTTGGAGCCGATACCGTTTGTGGCGGTAACGTAGAGCCTGGGGCAGAGGAAGATGAGTATCCTGCTACTGGGGACTTGTCTTTGAAACCCAGTCCTACACCACCAACATTTGGATTCTGGTCTTTCTTCTTGAACCTACAAATAGCTGACTTTCATACCTCAATTACAGATTGGTAAATCTTCATTCCAGCGACCTCAGTTCATCCTCATTCACGACGCTCTCAAATTTTATAAGTGTACCTACTAAATGAACAAGCAAGTGAAGTGAAGTTTGAAAATAATCCTCAAGCCCAAATCTGAAGTCACCATCGGAATCTTAGGGAAACATATGACAACTTTAGAATTTGACACATGCTCACGTTTTTCGGCTTGTTCAAGATTCGCGAGATCATACACAATCGTTTCTATCCTGGGTCTTGAAGGCACATCATCCAATGAGGTCAAGTGACAGACAATAAGCTAGCATGTATTTATCTTTGTGGCATCTTAAGTTATCTACTTTTAGCATCTCGTCGGGGGAGGAGCTTGAGCTGAATCTCAAGGAGGTCTCGACAAATATCACGTAGTTTCCCCGCAAAAAAAATAGTGTAAAATTGAAAGGAAACTGAATCAAATTGTGGCACCTGAGGACGTCCACGTAAAAGAAAAGCAGTATAAATTGACGAAAGCAATATGTGATTTAGCTAGTCTTCACGAGTCTTGGATATAAATAATTATGCAAAATCAAAATTATAATATCGCGCGTATAGGTTTTTGACACCCGTTGGCTTCGTCCTGTTAGGTCAAGTCAATAAATCGCGGCTTTAACCACTTTTTGTTACGCGGTATTGACGATATTATAATCTAAATTCCAATACTCACCTTTGTTTCTTGAACCAGCTACTCTGCATAGCTAGATCCAACACCTCCTCTGGCACTTTCTGATGTGCCTTTTCCAGATTCCTGACGATGTGGCCTGCGAACTCCTTGTCCTTGGGCGTGAGCAGCGAATAGGCGGTGCCCTTCATGCCTGCACGTCCTGTCCTACCTATACGATGCGTGTGAGTGTCGATGTCACGCGCCGTGTCGTAGTTAACTACGGTTCGCACGTGCGGGATGTCCAGACCGCGAGCCGCCACGTCTGTCGCTATCTTTAATCCAACAAAATCAGAAATATTAATAATTAGCATTATTAACCACAAGCTTTTTGCCGGGACGTGTAGGCCGCGCCACAATTATTTTTTCAACTCAGACAGGCAGAAGCCTAAATGACAGGGCACCGCGGCTGCTAAGTGGATCCCCAAGCCTACTCTTCCACAATCTCGACACCAGCAGTTAATTCTAGACATTTGGTCAAAACTAGTTTCAACCGTGCAAAACGCGTTATATACAGTAATGGACAAAAGCATATAGTCAAATATAAAGATTTACCTAAGTACCTTTAGAAAACGAATTCATACTTCATTGCTCCATAAACAAATACATTATTAGTAGAAAAACTAAATTCCCTGTTTTTACATTATCTGCAATGAACACAATACAAGTCTGAATATAAACACTTTTTTATGAGGGACAAATGTATGTAGACAAATTCTTTTCAACATTAGTTTAGTACAGTTTCGTGTCAGAAGAGGATTAGTTTGAGTTCATCAAGAATTGTGGAATAAGTTGAGAGTGATTTTAAGACCAGGTCCCGTGGTCCAGAAATGTATTTCGATGTGAAAACTAAGATTATTGAGTTATACAAAGATGGTCAACGTCAAGTCGGCATTGCTAAAAATTTGAAGCTGAAGCGTAAAGCAGTTTGGGCAATATTGAATAAATATAAACAAAAAGGTATCTTGGAAGCCTCTAAGAGAAGGGGTCGGCCTAGAAAACTAAATGCTGGATCAGTTAGATTAATAAAAGTAATTTTGTCCAAAGATCAGTTTAAAACCCCAAGACAAATAAAAGCCGAAATCGAGACAAAAGGAATTGTCAGTATTTCTACGAAAACTATAAGTAGAAGATTAAATGATTTGAAGTTATTTGCACGTCGCCCGAGTAAGAAGCCGCTAATCTCGAGGAAAGGACCCTAAGGACCGATTACAATTTGCACGGTTGCATCTTGATTGGAGCATCTGTGACTGGAAGAGGGTATGTTTCAGTGACGAATCCAAGTTTAATATGTTTGGATCAGATGGTGTTCATTACGTTAGACATCCTAGTGGATAAAGATTGAACCCCTAGTACACTTTGCCCACTGTCAGACATGGAGGCGGGCTTGTTATGGTTTGGGGGTGCTTTTCAGGGTTTGGGATGTGACCTTTACATAGAATAGATGGCATTATGGATAAGTTTGTATACACAGACATACTAAAGCATGTCATGGTTCCCTATATGGAAGACAATATGCCCTTAAGATCAATCTTCCAGCAACATAATGACCCGAAGCACACTTCAAATCTCGCAAAGAAATTCTTTCTGGATGAAAACATACCAGTTCTCAAATGGCCTTCACAGTCTCCCGATATAAACCCCATTGAAAATAATATATGGGAATACTTAGATAAGCAAATACGAGATAAAAATTATGCAAACAAGGATGAACTTTTTGCTGCTTTAGAGCAAAAGTGGAGACAGATTGATGAATCTTATATCAAGAAACTTCTACAATCTATGCCGAGACGATGCCAGGTGGTGATTGATAATAATGGTTATGCTACAAAATATTAACACTAACATGGTTGGTTCTCTATAATTCAATGAAATTTGCTTCTTTTTTCTATAATTTTTTTGCTTTGTCTATATATAGTTTTGTCCTTCATAGTTTTTCAATTTATTTTTCATTGAAAGGAGTCTAATGAATTTATTTATGTATAAGTGTGTATAAGTATTATGCTATACAGGTTGGTGTATTAATAAAACAAGTTAAAAAAGAAATACAGTAAAATATTAATTTGTCTATATAATGTATATTCCATTACTGTACATACAAGGTATTGTATAATTCTGAATGGACTAAGAATTGAATCTAGGCTCCATAATAACTTCTATTTAGCGAAAAAGAGCTACCCAATAACACATTACACATAACTATTGGAGATGGGTACCAGATTCTACACAATCTCTGGCATCATCATATCCCAAGCATTCAAGTTGGTTGTCAATTTACCAATAGCCAGCCAGAATTTTTGTTAATGACAATTTGTGAGATAGGAGCCCTGATTGTAACTATAAAATCCAAGTTTAGATTTTTTATACAGCGTATTTAAAATGCAGAATTCTTGTAAATTTTATATTTACAGATTCGTCAACTGACATGTCTGGATGGTAATGAGAAAATAAATAAATAATACCCAGTAACTATTACAAGTCTTTCAAATAAAAACGGTTCATGTTGTGAAATAATCACTGACTGTAACTTACAAAACTATTTATGAGAAACAAATAACAGTACGATAAGACACCAATTTCTGTACTTACCAATAGAGAACACACATTCTTCTTAAATGCTACAATTACTTTGTTACGTTCGGCTTGTTCCATATCACCATGTAGCAACAAACATTCAAATTCTCGTAATTTCACGTCCCTTGCAACCTAAAAATTATTAACAGTTTTATGATGATTAAAAAAAATAGTTCCTGGGACTGAATTCCGGGCAATTTCCAGCTCATATTTTGATAATATGTACGTTTTAGGGTGTAAAACTCACCAATTCGGCATCCACTTTTTTCGTTACAAAAACTAAAACTGAACCAGCAGATAACAGCTCAACCAACATTGTAAATAACCACTCTCGTTTTGCTTCTTGTTTTGGTAAAATTAAAACATGTTGAGTTACATCTTCATTGGCCTGTCCCATTGTACCTACCATAAATAACGAAACGATGAACTTTAAACAAATTATTGTATTATCAGTTCATTTCAGAAGAAATCATTCAAAGCAAACAAAGTTGCAGTTACTGAAATTATCAACAATCATCTGTCTGTAACTGTGACACCACATCTAATAATTTAATTTAATAATTATGTAAAACCGGCATGTTTTCTTATGTTTTAGATTAAATCAATGATATCTTTCAAAATTATTTTCAGGACTAAAGTAATAATTTATAACGATAAATACTTATACAATTATTACATTAAAAAAACTAAATAAGTAAACATGTAAAGGGTAAAACGGAAGTACTTTTATCATACAGAGATTAAAAACAGTACAGTTTGGAAACTACTGCTTTTTTAATTTAATGAGAGTAATGTATTAGTCAAAATTAAAAAAAAGACAGTCAATAAATACCGCAGTATTATTGTGGTGCATTTTCATGTGTCATTTTTTAAACTAAATACTGGTCAGTGGTATGGCTAGTAAAACAAACTTTTTACATTGACCCATACAACACGCCAACATGTTTGGCGGATCTCTTTTTAAAATAAAAAAGATCCACAAATCTCACTATTTCAGCAAATATGCATAGCACTTTACCCTGGGATATTCTGATGGGGCTTTTCAACGCATCCTTGGCTAGTCTCTCGATCTTCTTCTTGAAGGTAGCAGAGAATAGCAACGTTTGCCTGTCCGGTCGTACGTGGTTGCATACTGATCGCACTTGGGGTTCGAAACCCAACTCGAACATTCTGTCAGCTTCGTCGAGCACCAAAAAGGTGACCCGGCTCAAATCTGTGGCGCCACCTTTGATATGATCGATTATACGACCAGGCGTTGCTACTACGATGTCTGCTCCTTCTTTTAAAGCCTGCGGGAGAAACGACGGTTTATTGGCCAAATAACAAATAAAATAAGCGGCTACTTTAGTTCCACTTCTACTATTATTTTTCTAACTGAAGAGAACACATTATTTAACGGACAAAATATCAATAAGAGCCTGAAATACATCCATTTCCAAGTTTGTGGCTTATATCCTGGAAGAGGCTTCCCACACAATACGCTACGTCAAGTCATGAAGTTGGATTTATTGGTTCACCGTCGTCAATTAAATGACATAACAGTGCTTCATAGTCTGGTTAATAATAAACTTGATTGCCGGGAATTATCATCTGAATCAATTTTGCAGTGCCAAAGGGATTAACTCACTCTAAGGCAACTTTTTACAGTGCTAAGGGTAGAACCAACCAAATGAAGCCGTAATTTTTAGATATACAGTAGCGGACAAAAGTTTTAAACAAATATTAAAATTATTATGAAATATTTCATATACCTAAATAAAAATTGTGAAGGAACAGATAATATATACTAAGTGACATATAAATCCGAACACCCAGTTTAAATGGTTTTATTTTGATAAAAGTTGGTGAATGTATTTATCTTACTGTAAATAACAAGTGAAAAAATTTTCGGCCTTATCAGTTGGACATTCCGGTTTTTATACTGCTTTTTTTTAATTCACTAACGCTCTGAAAATGAATATTCCAGGCGCAATAAAGAATCAACGTTGGCGGATTTTGGTTGTTGACATCCTTTACGATCGGTTACGATGCCTAGAGTACGGAGACCTGTACGATTTCGTCAACTTAATGAGTTTGATAGGGACCGTATAGTGGGACTTCGGGAAGCTGGACTTTCTTTTCGGGCAATTGCAGTTAGAGTGCAAAGAAGTGTAGACACTGTGGTTAGGTGTTGTCAGGCATGGCTTCGAGAAGCCCGTACGCAAAGAGCAAGGGGCACTGGACACCGCCGTAGAACAACAGACCGTGAAGATTGCCGCCTAAGATTATTGGCCTTAAGGGACTGTTTCTCCACTACCAGGTCCATTGCAAATGAATGGTTTGCAGAACACGGAAGACCTATTGGCATGCGAAGTATTTACCCACGAATGAGAAGTTTTGGCTTGTTTTCATACCGGCCACACTGGGTCCTCCCTTTAACTCGAGAACACCGACGTAATCGCCTTGAGTGGTGCAGACAACGGTCACTCTGGGATCAGGAATGGAACAGTATTGTCTTTAGTGACGAGTCTCAATTTTGTTTAGGCATGCACGATGGTCGTGCCAGGGTTAGAAGGCGACGTGGTGAAAGGTGGAATCCACAGTTTTTTGTTGAAAGACATGTTCATCACACTGTTGGAGTAATGGTTTGGGGTGCTATAGCTTATGGCTCCAGGTCACCTTTAATCTTCATCAGAGGTAACATGAACGCGCAGCGTTATATCCACGAAGTTCTAGAACCCCATCTTTTACCCTATCTTGACACCCTGGCAGATCCAACTTTCCAACAAGATAATGCCCGACCACATGTTGCAAGAGTCACAATAGACTTCTTTCAACATAATGATGTCACATTGTTACCATGGCCACCAAGATCTCCCGACTTATCCCCAATTGAGCTCGTGTGGGATATGATAGGTAAGCACTTCGAGAGGAGTTGGTGGTTGCCTGGAATGAGATACCACAGGAGGACATTGACCACCTGACCAGAAGCATGCCTAGGCGCGTTGGAGAATGCGTAGCACATCAGGGTGCATCCACACATTTATTAAAGGTCAAAGGGCTTTAAAGCAGTGCAATCATTTTGAAATTTTTATCATTTACTTATTATGCTTCATTAAGTACTTATACAAAATTTTATTAAAATAAAACCATTTAAACTGGGTTTCGGATTTATATGTCACTTAGTATAAATATTAAAGTCTACCTTCGGCTCCCGTACAAGGTTAATCTTATCAACATTCAAATTCTCTGAAAATACAAACACGCGTTTTTTTAAATGCCGCAGTTTTTGTAACGACAAAAGTATGTTTTTCTACTTCTGGAACGGGTCCAATTGTTAAAATTGTTGCGAAATTGGATCAAAAACTTTACAAAGATATTCTTAGTAACACATGCTCCCTTTTGCTGAAGAAGAAATGCCTTTACGATGGACATTCCAGAAAGATACTGACCCCAAGCAGACCTCAAAATTCGCAAAGGCCTGGTTAAGACTAAAAAATGTTAATGTTCTTACATAGCCTTCGCAATCCCCGGACCTAAACCCTATAGAACATCTCTAGAAGCATGTTAAAAGAAAGGCAAGGAAAACTTTTAGAAATAGGAACGATTTATTTGATTATGTGAAAAGTATTTGGCAAAATATGCCAACAGAAGTCTCTAAAAAATTGGTGTCTTCTATGAGCAGCAGATGTCAGGCAGTGTTGAATGCTAAAGGCTATGCTACCAAATAATAGCTAAATAGTATTTTCTAAATCTTTTTGTATTTAATTTTGTAATAAAAAATGTTTCCATACTTTTGTCGTCTCATTTTTGGTCATAAAATAATATGAAAGTATTTTAATGCTAGTCTGTAGTACCACAAATTGTCATTTGTATCCTCAAGACTGTAAGCAAACTGTATGAGACAAAAAATAGTTCTTAATAATAAAGAATAAAAAATTAGCGCACTTTTCAAAAATTACTAAGAATGTTTCCAAACTTTTGTCCGCTACTGTATATTTTGCTGTATCTATTTTACTGTCATCCATGTTCATGTTTATGTTTTTATTTCCGGTAATAAGGTTTTTCATTCATGTTTTAAATGCATTTTGTTAAATGAACAAGAGCATAGAACATGTTCCTGTGAATGGATGAAAACCTGTTGGAATAAGGATTATTATTATTAGTATTTTCTCTCTAAAAAGTAGATTCTATTGAACAATAAGACCTCCTACCATTGAGGGCACAATTTCATCAAAGTGTTATTCTCTGATGTTGACAGTTGTACGGTCACGTTCAATCTGCATCCCAAATAAAAATTAAATTCTATTTGATGATTCCTTCAAAGAGAATATTGAATATTTAAATAAGTTCACTTTCAAAATACGAATTTCAAATAGGTTTCTAACATATTATGAGTGAAAAAATGGATGTATTCCCTCTAACTCAGCTATTAAAATACAATTCTGTCTAGTAAGCTATAATCAATTTTCTCACCAGGCTCTGCTCCCATTTAGACCCTCCACCATATGCACAGATTACTTTCAGATCATAGATTTTAGCAAACTTCTTAGTCTCTGTATAAATCTGGAGAGCTAATTCTCTTGTAGGTGCTAAAATCAGGCCAACAGGTCCTTCACCTTCACCTGCTGGCTTCTGAGCAGAAACATGCTTCAGGAGGGGCCACAGAAAAGCTGCTGTTTTACCACTACCTAAAAAAAAGTATAAGTTTTACAGTGCGGCTCGACAACAGAATTTATAAGGGTACATTTCAAAAAGCAACCCCTGTATTTAGTTAGACTCACTAGCTGAAATTTGGGTCAAGTGATGACCCATTTTTAAGATTATAGGAAAACTAATTTGGAAGCATTTTAGGTTCCCAAGTTTGAAATGTACCAAACCAAATGTCAAAAACACTCCTTTGAAAATATTGCCAAATATGGTCTTTTTTCTACCATCACTTCAGGTCATTTCAGCTATCTTTTGAAAGCACACTACAATTTAACCGAGAAAGGACAGCAAATAAGAGCCCGCAATGCACTTATGAGCATATGGGCCGACTATAAGTTGATGATCTGTCTCGCGTCAAACACTAATTACAGAAACGAATTTTTTTCCGACAGATAAGCCAACTGCATATTTTTTTCTATGTCGTCCAGGAGATTTTCTTACTATAAGCCTAGACACCAAATAATTTTGAGTGAATAGAGAAAATAATGAAAATAAGTTGTTTTAAAGTTTATTATTGCCATTTTTAAGAAAAAAAAATCAGTACAAATTATTATAAATAAAAATCACGATTTTTTGGTTTTCTCAAAAAATCTTGAATTGCAACACTGGTTACCTGTGTGAGCAATACCAAGTACATCTCTCCCACTAAGAGCACAAGGCACAGCTTGAGCTTGAATTGGCGTTGGTGTGGAATATTCGGCCTTGATAATTGATTTGAGTAGTTTATCATCAAAACCAAAGTGTCCAAAAGAGACCACTGGTTTTGGTGGATCATGGCCTGTCACTGTCAAGTCAAGGGTTTTGCGAAGGTCTGTTACCTCTTCATCTCCAAGGGCTGCAATATCTGGGTGTTCCTTGTAGAAGACCTTGTATGCAAATAATCAAGATGTAAGACATTATTAGCTACACAGCCACAAAGCATCAAGTCAGAATCAAATGACAATTTTGCTGCGCCACAAGAAACTTGGCTGCTCGATTTCTCAATGTCTGTGCTTCTACAGGGTGCGTCATCTATTACTTTTTTTCTATTTGAAAAATCAACACGCTTTTTACGAGGTGAAATCGCATTTTTTTATTGATAAATGAAGGTTGGTTTATGCCATTTATGTATGAAAAATAACATCAGTCATGTGACCACCGCAGCTTCGTTTACAGGCCAATATCCGAATATCAAAATTTTCAATGACTTTTCCCAGAATAATGTCTATGGCCGCAATTTCAGTCCGAATATTGCGCTTTAGGTCCTGAATTGCCCGGGGACCATACGCATACACTTTTCCTTTCAAAAATCCCCAAAGAAAATAGTCAACGGCCTTTTCTTCGGCATCTTCAAAGAAGAATGGTCCAACGATACTACCAGAACATAATCCGCTCCAAACATTCACTTTTTCAGGATGGAGAGGTTGTTCATGATATTGGTGTGGATTTTCAGCCCCTCAGAATCTGCAATTTTGCTTATTTGCGTACCCATTGAGGTGAAAATGAGCCTCATCAGAAAAGAGCACTTTGACCGAAAATTCGTCTTCTCTTTCCAGCATCCAATTAACAAAAACACGCGACTTCAATTCTTGTGTTAGTTGGATTTTGTATGGATGAAGGTGTAAATCAATGTGTAAAATCTGACGTAACGTGGACTCACTAATTCCCAATTGTTGCGAACGGTTTCACTCGCTGCGGCTATGTTTTCACGAGTACGAGCTGGACGAGCATGTCGGTATGGTCTACGACCTTCAGCTGAACCAGTTTCCTCAAAACGATTGACAATCCAACAAATTCCAGGCTCTGTAGGGCGTCCATGTCGGCCAAAACTAGTGCGAAGTTTGCGAAAAGTAATTTTATATTTCGACCATTTTCGTAATAAGTTTGGATAACCAAAATACGTTGTTGTGTTGTAAACGACTCCATGACTATAAATGGCATACCTTTGACAGTTCATTTATACATAGCACATGACTTTTGACTTACATGGTAACCCATAAACTTATAGGTAAAAAAAAGTAATAGATGTCGCACCCAGTATTGGCTTATTGTAGCGCGAGAATTTTGCGATCGAGAACCTGTGTAAAGTAGCATAAATATGATAATTTTGTTTGATTGAAATTTGTGTTATCTACCCACGTGCTTTGTCATTATTGCTCACCTTTTCAAAAGGTTTGTAATCAATTTCTGAATGATCAATAGGCGGTAAAGGATCTATGAATTTCTTTTTTTCAGGCGGGATTGGGTTACCATCTGAATCATACTCAATATCTGGGTAATCACTGTCTGTAGGTTGCAATCCTGCATTTGGATTTTCTTCCATATACCTGAAAAAAGTAGTTATAGGAGGGTTAGTTCCTAGATAATTAATAGATATAATAAGATACACATGACTAAACCTAGGTTCATTAGATGGGTAGATAAATATGCAAAACTAACTTAAACTATTATGAAGCAAGGTATCAGAATCTAGATAAATTTGACTACCAACTGAGCTGTTAGTAGTTACATTGTTTGCGAAACTTTAACCAGTAGGGAATGGCAAATAGTTTTATAGTTCCAAACAATTATTAGACTCAGATGATAATATCAGGTGCTGTCACCTTTGGTATAACAAGTTTCATATGTAGAATATATTAATTAGGTCCTAGAAAGTTAATTCCTTAATATGAAGTTGATATGAACATAAAATTACCTGTAATATGATTCCTCATTATCTTCTTCTTCCAAATCATTTCTTACTCCTGTTTGCTGAGAAGTACTGGCACTTTGGCTATCTCTTTGCATCTGGAACATAATGTATTTAGTTAACAGGACTACAATATTTAAAACAAATTTAGTGTTTATTTCCAAATCACTGAGACTCCAAGTTCTGATTTGATGCCCAAAAATATTTTACCTGCCAAAGAACAAATAAGATGTGTACCAGGACAATATGGATACAACCATAGGGTAAGCTTCAGAGGCTACATTACTTTTTTATCTATTATAGTATAGCATGTTTTCTATGAAATAAAGAAATAACACACCTGTTGTTCAATACCTGCCATATAGGCATCCAATGGATCATCCTCATCTTCCTCTTGAACTGCCTCTTTCTTTTTGTCCATTTCTAGTCTTGTTGGACTATTTGGTGCTGGGATGTAAGCTAGTTCAGGTACAGTCTCTTCCTCATCATCTTCAAAGTACCTACAGTAAGTATTTTGTCACATAATCTGTATTTACTGATCATACTGTCAGTGTCAGTGGATTTCTGCATAACTTTATATATCAATAAGTACTGATGTCCTGGTCAATAGATATATTCATTCTACGATAAATACTGATTGTGTGACATTTGTCATAATCCCCATGAGGCCCCCATTTCTCATATACCAAAAGTTATCTTAAAAAATAACTGAGCTACTATGGAACTATAAGAATACATAAGGGTACTGTAAAGCAGTGTTTCACTCTTTGTGGTCCAAGGGTACAATGTAAGGAGTTGCACAGTCTCATATGTGAACCATTTAAGAATAAATAATAAATTCCCCCCATTCTTCAATTTTTGATTGGTAGCACTTCAAGCAACCTCCATTTCAGTCTCCCCGAAGAAGGTTGAAAAATATTTCTGTACAGCAATGCTTTCCTTAAAAACAGTACTTTCTAAATAATTAATGTACTAATAGTGCACATAATTTCTAAAGTAAATGTAAAACATTTTCATTGTTACAGATCCATTTGTACTTAAAAACTGATAACCATATACAGTTTTGTCATAATGAAGGTTTTACTGACTATAGATATATTAAGGCTTCACCAGTATCAGGATAATATGAAATGAGACATTGTATCATCATCTGTGAAAATTTGTCATAGATATTTCTGTTTCTTCTATAACATGCTTTGAAAAGGTTAGTGGCTCAAAGATGGGGCTATGTTTTCAAAGTAGATTTCTAATTAGTGCAGAGGACATACGCAGTTGTGTGACAAATTCTCATAGATGACACTATGGTATCTCATTTTATCTGATAATTTTTTAAGTTGGCTTTCTTCACATACAATACTTTAATTAATGGTATTATGAAGCTTTGGTTGTTTTTCAAAAAGGGCCCCAGTCTGGGGGAACTACTGATGCCTGATAAATCATTTAATGGTACATCTTGATGTATGTGGCCCAAAGCTATTTTTACTGATAAATGATACTTACTCATCTTCAGTAGCTGCTCTTTTCCTTCCACACCCTCCCCAAGCAGCTGAGAGAGCATTCTGACTGATGGCATTCATTGTTGAGTAGCCCTGCTTGCTGACACCAACCGTGGGTGGTGGAACAGCATTATGCCGTTTTGTGTTTTGGTGAATGTCCGCATAGTTGAAAGCACCCCCGTACTTGTAGTTGCTCATTGCTGGGTGGATTTTATTTGTGAAATATGGGTGATCAAAGTAAAATTGAAAACACTCACTGATGCTTCCCGTATCCGAAACGCTACATTCACGTATAACAAATGCTCTCCACTACTTTATAATTTTAATAAAGGGTCTAGTGATTATTTAAATATTCACCTGATCATGATAATACCAATAATACATAGTGAAATTAGTTTAATTCTTATAATCAGTTAAATTGTTAAATACGTCAAAACATGTACACACTCTTATGACTTATGACATTGACAAATGGCAAGTTTTTGGGTAAGATGTGTGCCAGTGGTGCCGCCATCTCTAGTTGACATTAGTAAGCACGTATTCTTTTTTCGATCCGGAACAGGTCCAATAGTCCAGTCAAAGCGGTGCAATCGATCATTATACATTATGTTATGTGGAATTCTCAGGTGTAACATATCTGAGAAAGAAAATTGAATTTCGGACTGCCAATGCTCTTTTGATACCCAATTTCGTCAAATATTATTTTCCGCTCCTTGTGCATCGAGATCAAATTCGATCAAAATTTTGTATTGTAGAGAAGTGCGGTTCATATTTTTTCCTCAAAAATGAAGTAAAACATGGAGAGGTACTAACTAACAAAAAGTTGCATTTTTTTCTGATTAATTCTGAATTTTTTTTCCCTGAGACGCCACTGGAATTCATATTTATCTTATAGTTAGCGCCCCTACCTTAACGCCTTCTTGTAATGAGTAACACTGCCAAATTTCAACAAAATCGGCACGAGATTCTTTGAGATACTATAAAAACCAATTTTTTTCTTAAACTTTGATACCCTGTATCTTGAGAACTAGACTTTCAAGGCGACATGTTTATATAAACTTTTCTACATAACTTGGTTCGGGCCCTTTTGTAATTACGGCCTATAATTAACTAACACCCTACCCTGTATAGCTTACGTACCTTTTGCTTATGATAATTATTCCTATACACAATTTCATGTCATAAGGGGAATAAAGGATTTGAATTTGAGTCTGGGACGTTGATTTCGAATATTAGCCATCAAATAATGTTTAAGAGCTGAAATCTGACAGTAAGCTCGTGATCGACCTACCAGATTTTCCCAGGAAATGGTTTATGCTTTTAAACGTTAATGTTTTTTATGCCAAGAATTCTATTTTCTTCACCCTTTGTAACAAGCGAACAGAACTGAGTACGGTGTTACAATGGAAACTCATCCTGTGTTTCTCATACTACTAAATTTCCATGTTTTGCTGGTCGTAAAATAAAGCCACAGATCTTGCATTTATTATTTATCAATGTTCCAGTCACCTCAATGACCTTTTTCAAAATATAAATGAAAAAATCTATTTTTCTTTCCTTCCTCAATAGCATAATTATTTTACTCTGTAGAAAAGTTCAGATTTCATACACAGGATGACATCGACGTGGAAGGAAAACACAGTCCTTGTCAATAAAATTTATTTTAATTCATAAACTATATATAAATACATACATGCAAATGAGTGAAAACGGATGAACAAAAATTTCGTGTTATAATAAATACCATTTCGTTATGTTATTCTTATTAAAAATTACGTAACACAGCACTAGCCTTTCGTTAACTTTTTTCAAGAAATAACAACGTAATTATATCATTTTTTCAACTATCTTATTTCACTTTGAATTTAGTTTGAAACTAAATATATAACAATACATCAATATTTTACATTTTCTCTTAGCATTTAACAGAACCTATACATATCTAGTTTTAGTTATACAAATTTGTATGTAGGATATGAATCTAATTTGTACTATATCATTAAATTAGTAATTCCGTAAAAGGAAGAAATTAATAAATAATTATGATAGTATTTCAAGGACGTAATATACATGAGATGTATGTAATGTTCGTCTAGAATATTGTTGTAGATGATATTACGGTCTACTGGTTAATTTGAGCTTGACGTGTAACACATTTCTATCAAGCACATTTTGAATAACACTTGTCAGATGTGCATGAAAAATTAGTCGATCTTCAAGTCTTACTAATTGTTAAACAGTCCAAAACAATGTACTTCAGGTATAGTGTATAGTTTATTGAAGTTAGGGAGTTTTATAGTAGGTCAGTGTGTCAGAGCAAAGACAGAGAGAGAGAGAATGTATTATAGTGTAGCCAAAGCTCTACAGAAGTTTTATATATGAAGTGAAGAACAGTCAATAGATCGAAAAAGCCGACAATAGGTTAGTTATCCACTGTCAAGGTAGTCAGCCATTCTTATAGTAATGTGTATCTGGTTTTGTTTCGTTGTCAGGTTCACGTATATGTCAATTGTGTCTATAACAGTCAGTAATTTGCGGCCCAATGTACAGCTTGTATTCATATTCATAGTTGTGTCAAGTAAAAAGCTCAGTTATTCAGAAATGTTTCGTATCGATTACGACTGTATCAAGTGAAAACAGTCATTGTTGAAGTCAACTTTATTGTCAAGTTATATGTCAAAGATAAATGTTTAAGTATACGTAAATACTTAATGTAATAACAGTTTACTCAGGCAGTCAATTGTAATAGTTCGTCAATTATGGTTCAATCCAATTTCTGTAAATATGAAACGGTTATAGCCAGTCCATTTCCCAAAGCTGGGGCCAGTTTGTCTCATTGTTAGTATAAATTAACACAGCCCTATAATAGTCATCTAGGTATCTTTGTATCAATTTTTTCGTCATCAGATATGTGTAAACGTCAAGTAAAATAGCACATTTATCTAGTCAGTCATTCAAAATAGCTAGATGTAGTTCGTACCAACTTGCGCAATACTTAGCTTCAGAATAGTGTCATGGAACTTTGGCTAAAAGAAAACGCTCGCTGATGAATACAGGTATAGTCATTCATTTGTAGTTTGTCACATCGTTAGTTTCTATACAGTGAAAAAAACTCTCTGTTTCGTTCATGTCAACTGTGTTGCACTGAAAAAGTCTGTCATAGTCAATTATCCTCGTATTCATATACTTACATCATTATCAACAGTTTCTAAACTATGATTGTCACAGTCGTAATAGTGTATGTCTCATTAGTAGCATGTTGTATTCCTGTTTGCCTCTGTCAGTCGTATGTAAGTAAAAGTAAAAAAGTATCATAGCCTATCTTTCCCAGCATTTTATACTCAATTCATTGCCAGCTGTATATAAATCCGACTTGGAAAAGCTCTGTGATTGTCAGTTATTCGTCGTAATTATGTTTTTATTAATTTCGCAACTACCAGTAATAAGTATCTAAATGTAATGTCGTAATATGTCAATTGAATGTAAATGTAGAAACCCAGTCACTGTCAGTTGTTCATCTCAACGCTACATTCGATGGTCAGTTATTTGCATTTGTTTGTCTCATGTCAGTTGGGTGTAAAAATAAAGTGTCAGTAATTTATTACTCGTCATTCGTGTGTCTTTATCAACTGTTTGTATATCATATCGTCAGTTGTTCGTAACGTTTTTTTAATTAGTTTACCGACTGTGTTAAATGTATAGGTATAAACGTAACGCAAAATGCTTTGGCAGTCAGTTGTCGCAGTATTTCGTATCAATTTATCTAGTGTCAACTGTGAAATTCTGTAATAGTCAATCATATTCCAGTACCTTGTCTAAAGTCACTAATAACATTGTTGTCAATTGTATCTTATGATAGTTGTCAGTTTTCCCGCAGTTTTTGATACTGCCAGAAAGTACTGATATTCCTCATTGTCAACTGTATGTAAATGTTAAGTCGGTAACATTTGTAATAGTCAGTTGTTCTAGTTCTTCGTCTCAGTTTGTCATGTAAACTATAATTAACTGCAAAGAGTGCAAAGCATAGAAAAATGTTTTTCAGTCAGCAGTTTTTTAGTATGTGGTGTATCAGTATTCCTCATTGTCATCCGTATGTGAATATGTATTAAAAGCAAAGAGGTTCTGTGATAGTCAGTCATACCCAGTATTTCGGTTAAGTATGTCATGCAAATCGGAGTATTCAAATGTAAAGTAATAAAATTTGTAACAGTCACCAGTCTTTGCAGTACTCGAGTCATTATGGTTCATTGTCGACTGATATATGTTAATGCGAAGCGAACAAGTTATGTGTTAGTCAATCGTGACAGTTTTGCGTGAAAATTGTGATGGTTATCTATTCTTTGCAATTCGTGGTGTTAGTATTTCTCTTTGTCAAATGTATGTGATGTGAATGTCACTCCTTCGTTTCTTGTTTGTCTTGTCTTCGTCTATAGCCGTACTTGAATATAAAGCAGATAACTTTCATATAGTCATCAATTCTTACAGTGTACCATAAGACCATAAGAGTATTCTTTATTGTCTTTGAATGTACTTGCCAAGTGAAGAAGTTATCTAACAGTCAATCGTGCTCAGTATTTCGAAATAATTGCGTATTATTATCAAAAATATGTAATGTCAGGGTAAAACGTACGTGTATCTGTCATTACCAACACCGTCATGTCAAGAATGTCACGTGTCTGTCATAGAAGCTAATCGGATATTTACGGTATATTGTCTTTATATCAGTACGTATACGTAGTACGTATAATAGCAATTTCAAGTTGTATGTAAACAGTCATATTCTTACCATAATTTATATCGACTGCTGTATCGTCAACGGTATCTAGTCAACAAAAAAAATCTGTGATAGTCAGTCAGTCAGTCAACCATCTAATGTGACTCGTATATCAGCAGATCCAATTGCTTGTGCGTATGTAAATGTTTAAGAAAAACAGGACGATAGTTATCAGTCATTTGACAGTCAATCGTGATGAGTATTTTGTTATGATTTCGCGTTATTATCAAAACTCTGTAATGTGACGTTAAAACGTACGTGTGTCAGTGACTTACAACTTTGTAATAAATATGATGTCAATATTGTCAAGTGAAGAAAACCCATTATACTGTCATAGAAGATAAAGTATAGTTACGGCGTATTGTCATAATATTAGTGTAACACCGGTTTCATGTCAAGTTGCTTGTAAACAGTCATATATAATTTGTATCGGTTGCCGTATTGTCAACGCTACCCAGTCCAGAGAAACAATTTTGTCATGGTCAGTCAAACACTCAATCAATTAATTGTACGTATGTAAATGTTTAAGAAAAATAAGATGATAGTTATCGGTTGCTTGACTCTCAATCGTGATCAGTATATCGTTATCAGTACGCGTTATTATCAAAACAATGTAATGTTACGTTAAAACGTACACGTAAGTCAGTTATAAATAAGTTGTGAATATTGTCAAGTGAAGAAAGCCTGTTATACTGGCTGTCATAGAAGCTAAACGTAAAGTTAAAGCGTATTGTCATTATGTTACTGTAACACCGGTTTCATATGAAGTTGCATGTAAACAGTCATATCTAATTGGTATCGGTTGCCGTATTGTCAACGGTACCCAGTCCAGAGAAACAATTTTGTCATGGTCAGTCAAACACTCAATCAATTAATTGTACGTATGTAAATGTTTAAGAAAAATAAGATGATAGTTATCGGTTGCTTGACTCTCAATCGTGATCAGTATATCGTTATCAGTACGCGTTATTATCAAAACAATGTAATGTTACGTTAAAACGTACACGTAAGTCAGTTATAAATAAGTTGTGAATATTGTCAAGTGAAGAAAGCCTGTTATACTGGCTGTCATAGAAGCTAAACGTAAAGTTAAAGCGTATTGTCATTATGTTACTGTAACACCGGTTTCATATGAAGTTGCATGTAAACAGTCATATCTAATTGGTATCGGTTGCCGTATTGTCAACGGTACCCAGTCAAGAGTAACAATTGTGTGATGGTCAGTCAAGCGGTCAATCAATTCATTGTACGTATGTAAATGTTTAAGAAAAATATGATGATAGTCATCAGTTATTTGACTGTCAGTCGTGATAAGTCTATATGTAGTTATAATTATGTGTTATTATCAAATCAATGTAATGTTACGTTTAAACGTACATGCACGTCAGTTATAAATAAGATGTGAACGAAAGCCTGTTATACTGTCTGTCATAAAAGCTAAACGTAAACTTATAACGTATTTCCATAATGTTACTGTAAAAGCGGTTTCATGTCAAATTGCATGTAAACAGTCGTATCTAATTTGTATCGGTTGCCGTATTGTCCACAATACCCAGTCAAGAGTAACAATTTTGTGATGGTCAGTCAAGCAGTCAATCAATTCATCGTACGTATGTAAATGCTTAAGAAAAAAAAATAAAATAGTCATCAGTTATTTGACTGTCAATCGTGATCAGTATATCGTTATCATTACTCGTTATTATTAAAACAATGTAATGTTACGTTAAAACGTACATGTACGTCAGCTATAAATAAGATGTGAATATTGCCAAGCAAAGAAAGTATGTTATACTGTCTGTCATAAAAGCTAAACGTGAAGTTAAAGCGTATTGTCATAATGTTACTGTAACACAGTTTTATGTCAAGTTGCAAGTAAACAGTCATATTCTCACAATAATTTGTGTCAGCTACTGTATTGTCAACAGTATCTAATCAAGAGAAAAAATTCTGTGAGGGTCAGCCAACCAGTCTACCATCTGACGTGTCTCGTATCAATTAATAATAATTGCCTGTACGTATGTAAATGTCTAAGAAAATGAGAATTATAGTTATCAGTCGTTTGAGAGTCAATCGTGACCAGTATTTACGCGTTACTATCAAAACAATGTCACGTTACGTTAAAACGTACGTGTATCAGTCATTACCAATTCTGTCATAAATAAGATGTCAAGATTGTCATGTGTAGAAAGTCGGTCAGTCAGTTAATCAAATAGCCTGTACGTATGTAAATGTTTAAGAAAAACTTGTTGATAGTAATATATCGTTTGACAGTCAATCGTGAGAATACTGATTCTGTTATAATTTCGCGTTATCAAAACTATGTAATGTCACGTTAAAACGTACATGTGTCAGTCAGTACCAACTCTGTAATAAACAAGATGTCCATATTGCCAAGTGAAAAAAGCCTCTCATAATGTCTGTCAAAGAAGCTAATCGTATAGTTACGGCGTATAATCGGAATATTAGTGTATCACCAATTTCATGACAAGTTGCATGTAAACAGTCATTTTTTTAGAGTAATTTGTTTCGATTGCTGTATTGTCAACAGTATCCAATCAAGAGAAACAATTTTGTAATGGTCAGTCATCCAGTCAACCATATGATGTGTCTCATATCAGCTGATCCAATCACCTGTACGAACGTCAATGTTTAAGAAAACAGCATGATAGTTACCAGTCAGTATCAAAAATATGTAATATTACGTTCAAACGTACATGTTAATGTCAAGTAAAAAGTTGTCAGTGTTTCCAGTGACTTGTAAACATTTGCTTCATAGCCAACTATATCTATTGTAAATGCCAAACATAAAAATGCGTTCTATCTCCGATAGAAACGTGTCGTCACCAGTAAGCGAAACTTAGTAACAGTAAAGTTCATTCATAGTGTCAGTAAAGGTACATAATATGCAGTTAGTTTTGATTTTAAGTAATATTCAAACGTATGCTTTTTATTGCATCTCATGTGTAATTTTGTATGTTACTTGTAGTAATGTCATTTCTGTATCCACAATCACTTCCGCTGCAAAATAAATACACTCGTGAGGGTCGAGGAATCGTGATGTGTCATGTGCGTCATGTGTTTGTACAGATGTTATCATCTAGATATTTCTAGGACACTGTCTAGGTATAAAGTACTCCGTCAAAGTTCAAGTAAGAGAGGTCATAGGTCAAGTCAAAGATAATGTCTGTCTGTCTTATTGTTTATTCAGCTTATGCACAACGTCAGTCTTTTCGTACTAGTCATCACTTCAGTCATGTCATGACGTACCTAAAAAATCATCGTCATATGATAATATAAATAGTTTTACATAAAAGATGCTTATCTATACATCCGAACACAACATATTTTCTTATCATCGATGAAATAAGATAGCCTAAACGCAATATCGACTAGTTCAATAATATTTACAACAAAAACAAGAACCTAGGTATGTTAGACGTTTAACCGGCTCTACGCCATTTTTAAAACGGCTAGTCGGTTAAGCGACCTTGAGAACAAGCCTAGTATTACCAGTGGCCCCAAAATCAGCCATAATCATTCAAAGGATGAGTTTGTGAGGACCTTGGACTCCTAGATGTTACCCTAAACTCCACCGGCATATCGTAGCACTTGCACACGCAGCAAGAAGGAAATCGGAACCTGTAACAGAAGAATTTATTATAAGATTCCAAATATGTAAGAGTGAATATATGGTATTTGGGATTTCATTTATTTATTTGAAGCATAAGATGTAATTAAGATTTAGGCACAATATGCTATTATCGAGATGGCGTGCTACATTCTCGACTTTCAACAAATCCCTGTATATCTAACTGGTATAACGATATACGGATCTTTGTATTGCTGGATACACAGTATAACATATTTTCATGAAAACATTTGTATAAACACATTAAAAAGCACGTTAGTGGTTCCTCAAAATTGTGCCACCTTCATTTGACGCAATTCAAATTGCATATTTTCGTGCGTGTGTCAATTTCGTGCTTTGACCCTTTTCAATGCGTAGCAAATCAAGAAGTAATAGTTTGAAACTAGCGTGATTTGGCCTACTGAAACCAGGAACGCGTCAGTAGATTACGTAGTGTAATACGTGTCTTGAAAAGTGACATTAGGTCGTTTCTTCCCAAGTTTTTTGTGACATTATGTAAGTTTTCCTTTAAGATGCCAACTTGAAACTGGCTGTTGTTCACTTTAATGTGTACTCGTAGCAGAACGCGATGCCTAAACATCATGACGGTTGAGCTATCATGGTTTGATAATTCCCTTGGTTTCTTATCTCAAATACACTTACTTGAGATATAGGTATACAAAGCTAGAAATTAGTTGCGCATCCACTTTTTCTTATTCATCCTGGAAAGTATGCACATACTAAAATTTGCTGAATTTCAAAATTACGAGAGATAAAAAAAAGAAAATAACTGGTTGGTGAAGTATATTATAACTAACAGGTGAGAAAATAGGATACAGACAGGAATATTTATGAAACGTGAAGAGGTTATTACATTTTCCCTTATTTTTAATTTCCAGTCATTTAAATTTTATAGAAATTTAATTTGCTATGCGATGTAGAAAATACCAATCAGTGCCTAAATGTGAAGCACTGCGAAAATGTTGTGTGAGTGATAGGTCATTCCTAATTTTTCTGTGATGTGGCTTTGAAGGTAAGTATATATAAAAATTATTTTTTCAAAATAAATCCTTAGATATAACTTTCAGCATATAACCTCTCTTCAGAAAGGGCAACACTTGAATAACCCGCCTGGCACAGCTAATAGATATTCTTTATGGGCAGCATATTTAGTAATAATTTTCTCACACAGCAAATATCACTGATTTTATACACAAGCAGACCAATACACACAATCATCCAGATCTTGCTACTCAACCAATTTTCTGTCTTTCACATATTCTCACATACTCTACAATCTCAACATTCTGCAACCCACAAAGCCTGCTTGCTGCGTGGTCGTTGAATCATTCCTCCATAGGTGGCGCTATAGGTGACGCTCACAGCGAACATTAGCGGAATGAACTATTAGTACACTAGCAGCTATTTAGCCAGCAAGTTGACGTTTTGTCATTTTCTTATAAGTTTTTATTTTGATTGCAATTCAAAATTTTAATGCTGTCACTTACCAGTCTGAGAAAATGCCTCTGCATTCGTTGTTAGGATCATACGCTAGCAACCTGTGTAACCTGTACTGTTGTTCACAACGACATCCATCTTTGCAATACATCTGACGATGCTCGAAAGCACATTTCTCCCAGTGTACGTACTGTTCGAAGGGGTACATGTTCAGTAGGGCCAGTACTTCGCCACGAGTGTTGTTCGCCCAGAAGGGGGCTACCACTTCTTCCTTTACCGGACATGCGTTGCTAGAGAAATGAAATATTGTTGTTTAATGAGAAAAAAGGAAAATTGCAGTTTATATTTTGTACATTACAGATCGGTTAAAGAGAGGTCAATGGGAGCAAGGTTGGGCATTTATTCGAGGTGGGATTTCAAAATAAAGTGTACATTAGCGATATTACTTTTTATCCACTATGTATAACGTGGCAGATTTAGAATTTCAATGTATTTATTTAGTGCAAGATGTATGCATCGGTTTGGATATGGCGGATATAAAATATAAATACAGTATTACTATTTTTAATTCCACCATATAAATACGAAAAAGTTTAACATTAGGATGTTCTTTATTCGATTAGTTATGACTAACTATGGGAATATTACTTTTTGGACATTTGAAGTTTGGATCGGTAATAGGGACTGCTTATAAAGACTGAAAGAATGATTGACTGATTATAACAAACAAATGACCATTTGATAATTTCAAGGAATTCTAATTATGCTATCTTGTAGAGGAGAAAAAGTTGCAACGTTAATCTACTTTTTATTTTGAAGTACCGTCGTCAGGAATTTATGTAAACTCTTATTTCAATGTTACTACATTCTCCAATCTGAACTTATATCACTTATCTGGCATCATATTCATGATTAACGCACCGGATTCGCCAAGGTATGGATTTGAGTCGTGACTGCAAATGCTCAAGAATTTTGGAAAACGTTCATCAACTTGAAACCTTAAAAATGAAACTTTTGTGGCCCTATGTCTCATCCAGCGAAGAACTGACATCTGATCGCGATCTATGCACCCAATTCACCCTGAGCAACGGGTTTTAGCCTGGATTGCAGATGTGAAAGAATTTTTGAAAATTCGCAGCCTTTAAGCATTCTCGAGAAAAAAATTCCTTTTCCATCATTCTTTGTTACAAGTGAACGAGATTCCGTACGCTAGGGTGATTTGGGACGCTGATTTCAAATATGACGATAAAAAAATGCAAATCCTTTTTTAGATTAGGGAAACTTTTGGCCTTCCAACAATTTCAGCGGAAAACTAGCATCAGACTCGCAATATACGCTTTACCAAGTAACTGATTTTGAGCTATATCGCTAAGGTACTTACTATCCCTTGATGTTGTAATCAACTTGAACCTTCTTCTTCAACCCTTCCTGCTCAACATCCTGGAATAACATCGTCTCCACTTTATCACCAGTCTTCTCATCATCTACCCTGTCAACGTTCATGTCACTCCCAGGAGCAGTTGTAGTGACGCCTTCAGTAACCATCACTGTCTCAGCAGTCGAACCCGCTGTGCTAGTGTACTGCTCGGTAGTGGAGTCAGTGGTAGTGCCTGTAACACGTTTGCATACAAATGTTGAGTACAGGTTGTCGCACGGAATATTTGGAATTTTCAACTTAATTTAAAAAATACTGCGCTACTAATATAGAAGGGTGTCTTAAAAGTTTCAGGACTCGTAAAAAATGATATATCAAAAATCACCTAGCATAATAAGAGAGTTAGTTTACATTACTAAAAATTCTTACAAAACTGTTCAAAATTGTACCAATTTATTCGATTAACGAAAGATGAAATCCTGATATCGACGAATTAATTCACAAGCATTTTCAGTGCGCTGTTGAAGTTCTTTTATAGCATTTACTTCTCTATCATGATACACCAACTCTTTCAAATAGCCCTTCCCCACAGAAAAAATCGCAAGGCGTTAAATCCGGCGAGCGAGCAGGCCAAGAAATGGGTCCATGGTGCCCTATCCATTCGGAAACTCATTATTTAGATGTTCATGAACTTCTCGTCTAAAATGTGGTGGATCCCCATCATGTAGGAACCACATATTCTGTCTCACATTTAGAGGAGTATCTTTTAATAATTGTGGCAGATTGTGCCGAAGAAAATCTAAATAAATTTCACCGGTCAGTCGAGTTGGAAAAAAGTAGGGCCCAATAAGGATGCCATTTTCCACGCCAGTCCAAACATTTAATGAAAATATATGTTGAAAATGACTTCTTTTTACAGTATGCGGATTTTCTACTGCCCAAACATGATTGTTGTGGAAATTGTGTAGTCCATTTCGTGTAAATGTGGCCTCGTCTGTACACAAAATCAATTTAGTAAAATCTTCATTTCTACCGAACTGCTCCAAGAACCACTGGATGGAACGCTTGTAACCCTTGATAATAATGAGGATAATACTGATCTTGTCGTATTCTGCACTACAAACAAAAACCCCCGTATCTCTAAAAAATTCAAAAATGGTTTATGCTACACATTTACATAGAGAAAGCCCCATACATTTGTAAATGTTTTATAAAGGAAAATAGTTTTCCCGTAAACGCCAAAAATTGCATTTACACTTAGTATAAACCCCACATATTACATTTTTTTGACCATAGTATGTAATCAGTGGATACGAGCTTTTAACTAAGGGAAGTCGATATGCGAGGTATTTTTTAAAGAAATGACAGTTGCTGATTTTTGTAAGTGGAAAGACTTTCCTTCTCAAGCAAAATTGATTAAAATATTAAGCCACGTGTACCTGTCGCAAGTAGTGGGGAATTGTCGAGAAAGGAAGCCATATTTTAAAAGTTGAGACTGATGAAACAGAGGAGTTTAAGGAAATTGATTTTTTGCAAGCAAAGGTGTTAAAATGTGGAATAAATGACCCTATTGCAATGCAAAGCCTTCTGGGATTCCCAGTAGTCGTAGGAAACAGCAAATTTCAAAGAACTTAGGAGAAATAATACAAGCTAATCGTCATCACTTTTGGCAAGAATTACCTACTTCTGGCGAGCAGTAGCAGCCGTATTTTTTCTTTCAAAGTTGCCTTTACGAACCATCATTTTCGTTTTTTTCTAAACTTACTTTTTAAGTTACAGTTATTTTTGTATAAATAATTACATGTGTTTTTTTGAATTAGTTATATTCGTAATAATAAATACTACGATATTAAAATATATAAAATGATTGTCTCTTGGTGCAGATATAAATTTTTATCATAATTATATAGCTAAAACCAAACATAAGCCGAATTTGAATTATACGTGGTTTTAACTAATTATTCTTAACATAATGCGTTGCTTTCTTAGCCCGTATATCTTATAACTAATAGCTTTGGCCTAGTTTTGCATATTTTTTTATCTTAAAAATAACTATGATATTATAAATTATATGATGAATGATCTTATTTTATGTGCCAAGTAAAAGTACAACATAAACAGCAAACATCTTTAACCGCGGTTTTCTCAAAACCTGATCATGAGGAGATACGGGGGTCTTTCTTAATCACTCTACTGCGGGCAGACATCTAATCGGAAATATTTTGCAAAACTTGCATGAGACGTCAAATTAGGAGTCGGAATCCACGGACCTTCTTTCCACGGAAAAATTGAGAAATTTGGACCACGGATTCAGATTCAAAGCAACAAAAGCCTCCGGGAAGATATACTTTAATGTCTGGGCAAAAAACCAATCGGTCTATCTTTTATTTTATTCTCCAGCTTAGACAACATTCTGATTTATTATATTGAAAGCTAGCAGGGCCTTGAAATATTCAAGGCGTTCTTTAACCATACCTTCTTCTTCGGTGGAGGTGCTTTCAGTTGCTGTGGTGGTTTCAACAGTACTATCTTCCGGCTTCTTTGTGGTGGTTGTGGTTTGAGATGCAGTTTTTTGAGTGGTTGGTCTGAAGTGAGGAGCGGTTTTCAAACCTGCTAACTTGATGGATATGATCGGTTCTTCGGAGTAGACGAACTTCGTGTTGAGGACATCATCGTTGGCAATGTCATCTTTCAGGAACCTGCAATTGAAAAAACAACTATTGTAAATGAGAGATAGATGGGAGTTTATTGGTGCTAGTACCAAAAGGCTTACACAGGATGATCTCAAGAAAAAGAAGCAACGGAGTCAAGTAGGTTGACTCAGAACTGTCTCCGCAGTCATGCCGGCCTGTTTTCAAATCTTTCATATACATACATTGACAATCAACCATACACAAAATCTCTTTGATTATCATTGTTATACAGGGTGTCCCAGAAGTCGACGTCAAGCCGGAAACGGGGTTAGGCTAAGTCATAATAGTTATCCGTAAACATTGAAATTCGTAGTAATGAATAAGATCATCACAGGATTTTCCTGATTTTTTAAAGCCTCTAATTTGGATACTACACGACTTTTTTATATTTGTCTGATAACTATTATGACTCGACCTATCCCCCGTTTCCAGCTTGACCTTCTTTGACACCCTGTATATAATACATAAAATGAGTTTTGGAGTCGCCAAAAAATGTGAGGCTCTGCCAAGCTGACAACCCTGAAAAAGTCATAAAAATTAACGTATGAAATATTACCTTGCCTCGCTGACGTAATAGTCATCTCTAGGGAAAACGTCGTTTTCTTCAGCGTCTCTATGACGAAATCTGGAGTTTCGCAGAGATTCTGCCAGAGGGTCCCAAAGGTCTTCTTCCAGTTCTGATTTTAGTACAGTTGCGTGTCTTTGATCTCCATACATTCTGCAAGAAAATATATAACTATTAGCACTTACTGGAATTATCATGTAACCCCTTAAAACGTAATATAAAAGTTTAGCACTGAATCCGTGAGCTATAAAAGCGAAAATATTCCAATGAATCATAGAAAATTAAGCTCCGTCCATAAACTACCCCAATTATAGTTGATTTAATACTGAGTAGATGGTCAAATAAAGCTTTCAAATAATAGATTCTGAAAAATAGATACGGAATACCCACATATGCATATACTAAACAAATGGTCGGCAAAGATTAAATGATACATTCTAAGCATTACGTAATCCGATATAAGAAATGAAGTCAGGAAATAGTGTAGCTGCTTTTTGAAAATTTATAGCTTTCTAAAAATGTGGGTTGATCATCTGTTTGCAGCACAACAGCATTCGTAGAAGTTAAAGATATGAGACAACAATAATGGGTTAAATGAAAATAATAATAATGCAATACACGTATTTCAATTTGGAATTAATTCGATACTTTCTTCTTTTAATGATAGGATTTATAAGTTCTTCATTGTATTTCAGAAACATATCATTATAAGGAAATCATCCGTCAACCATAATTTCTAATAACACTTCGAGGTATATGTGAACATTTTTAATTGTTTTCATATACAGATTTTCACCAGTACAATAGATTCTAAATTACCTAAATTACGCAATGTGTGAACTTTCTTCTTCTGACCTTTTTTGTTATTTGTGAAGAGCGCCTGACCATCAGATAGTTGAGTGCCTTGATGCACATGTAATGATTTTATTCCTTAATACAGATCCACATCTTGTATATATACTAAGTGACATATAAATCCGAACACCTAGTTTAAATGGTTTTATTTTAATAAAATTTTGTATAAGTACTTAATGAAGCACAATAAGTAAATGATAAAAATTTCAAAATGATTGCACTGCTTTAAAGCCCTTTGACCTTTAATAATGTGTGGATGCACCCTGATGTGCTACGCATTCTCCAACGCGCCTAGGCATGCTTCTGATCAGGTGGTCAATGTCCTCCTGTGGTATCTCATTCCAGGCAACCACCAACTCCTCTCGAAGTGCTTCTAGAGTCTGAGGAGGACGTTGTAAATTGAGCAATCTCCTACCCATCATATGCCACACGTGCTCAATTGGGGATAAGTCGGGAGATCTTGGTGGCCATGGTAACAATGTGACATCATTATGTTGAAAGAAGTCTATTGTGACTCTTGCAACATGTGGTCGGGCATTATCTTGTTGGAAAGTTGGATGTGCCAGGGTATCAAGATAGGGTAAAAGATGGGGTTCTAGAACTTCGTGGATATAACCTGCGCGTTCATGTTACCTCTGATGAAGATTAAAGGTGACCAACAGTGTGATGAACATGTCTTTCAACAAAAAACTGTGGATTCCTCCTTTCACCACGTCGCCTTCTAACCCTGGCACGACCATCGTGCATGCCTAAACAAAACCGAGACTCGTCACTAAAGACAATACTGTTCCATTCCTGATCCCAGAGTGACCGTTGTCTGCACCACTCAAGGCGATTACGTCGGTGTTCTCGAGTTAAAGGGAGGACCCAGTGTGGCCGGTATGAAAACAAGCCAAAACTTCTCATTCGTCGGTAAACACTTCGCATGCCAATAGGTCTTCCGTGTTCTGCAAACCATTCATTTGCAATGGACCTGGTAGTGGAGAAACGGTCCCTTAAGGCCAATAATCTTAGGCGGCGATCTTGACGGTCTGTTGTTCTACGGCGGCGTCCAGTGCCCCTTGCTCTTTGCGTACGGCCTTCTCGAAGCTATGCCTGACAACACCTAACCACAGTGTCTACACTTCTTTGCACTCTAAGTGCAATTGCCCGAAAAGAAAGTCCAGCTTCTCGAAGTCCCACTATACGGCCCCTATCAAACTCACTAAGTTGACGAAATCGTACAGGTCTCCGTACTCTAGGCATCGTAACCGATCGTAAAGGATGTCAGGAACCAAAATCCGCCAACGTTGATTCTTTACTGCGGCTCAAATATTCATTTTTAGAGCGTTAGTGAATTAAAAAACAGCAGTATAAAAACCGGAATGTCCAACTGATAAGGCTGAAAATTTTTTCACTTGTTATTTACAGTAAGATAAATACATTCACCAACTTTTATTAAAGTAAAACCATTTAAACTGGGTGTTCGGATTTATATGTCACTTAGTACATGTATATTATATTGATTTTTCCGTACATATTTCAGTTATTAAAGGTTTTTTCGAAAAAATTCTTATTTTAAAGGCTGAGCTTACTAGATAGACCTTGTAAACGAGAAGTACATAATAGAGCTACATATTTAGATATTTTTTGAATTTTCAAACACCACTTAAAAATTCAGCATAGCATGCTGTACATACAGTACAACCAAGGCCCAATCTTCCAAATAAATTTGTATCAAAATCTAAAATCGGAAAATGTGAAATTCACTATCTGTGGTTTCGCTTTATTTGCCAGATTATCGGTGATTACTTTCAATTCCGTTATTGTAGTTTTACGGCGGCTTTCTTTAAGCATTTTTAGTTATATCTAGTTCGAGTATTGTTTTATAAAATTAGAATACATTAGGGTTTGCATTTGTGAAAATTTGAAAGTGGTAGTAATGACAGATGATAAAATTCTAGAAACAAGTGATAAAACTTAAAAGAAATGCACTGCAAATAATGTGATCCTTAATTCCATTCATTCATATATTATATATACAAAGCGAAATCCTGTGTCCTACTTTGCTGCAACCGTGAAGTTTCGACAGAGAAATATTAAATATATTGGTCATTGCCAATTTTGATTTGTACTGTGAAAAGGCTACTGTTGTGGCCAAAACGTCTGTAAATGGTGCTTTCTATATACAGTGCTTTTCAGAGAATCGCTCATTATTTATATTTTAAACGTGTTAAGCTTACAAGGTCACATTTGGTAAGATGAAAATAATGCATGGATATTATATTTTAACGTAAAAATAACAGTTGACAATTTCAAGATGGCAGCTGGGAGTCACGCTGTAACATTTTTTAAATGGAATGAAGGGTCGTATGATAGCTCATTTTTTAAAAGATCTTTATGAATACCTCATAACCCTAGAATATAAAATCACTATCTGTCAAAATAGCGAACTGAGAAGTTGTTAAAGTTGGGTGCTTTTGGATATGGAATCTCTGAAGGCTAAACAACTAATCATCAGGACGTTATAGTTTGTTGTTTCAATCCTCTTTTTTGGAAGGGTCTGTTTGAAATCAAATATCAGTTTTAACAAAATAGACAAATTTTTACATTCTTCTGGATGGAATGTTTCATATTTTATAACAAATCCGGATAGACCCTTCTAAGAGAAGAATATTGCTCTAAAATAGTAATTCATTTTGATGATTGGTTGTTGCGACTCAATGTACAAAAACGCTCAACTTTGAAGATCTCCCAGTTTGCTATTTTAACGATGGTGATTTCATATTTTAGGCATATAAAGAAGCTTCAAAATAAGACATTACACGACACTCTTTTCATTAAACAAATATTCTACTTTTACCCTGGAATTTAGTATTCGTACATCAATTTTTTTACCCCGAATTTCAGCTTGCTAACAGACTCACTCAAAAAATAAATAGGGCGAGTGTATTTTTGATAAGCGCTGTACTGTTGACAGCCAGGAAAACGAGAAAAATTACCAGTTATTTTGAAGAATTCAAGTTTTTTTTAATAATGCTTTTACAATATTATACTGTTTCTGGAATCGCAATAAAAAGGTGTATTCACATATGATATGTAAAAAACAAAGTTTATACCTGATGACAAGGAACTAGACTCCAGATTGCAATTCCAATTACTTCATAGAGGAGAAAGAGTGGTTTTACTAATGCATTTGAAAATTAAGTCAAATAAAGTCAGGGAAAGATTAAAACGATTTTGCAGAAATCCGGTTTATTCCGGAAATACTATGAGCTGCTAAACCTTCGAAGTGCCACTTTCTTAGTTACTTAAACGCCCCATTTTAATAGATCTCGTATCGTTTACTGTTTCTGAGACTTCAAAAAATGAATTGAAAAAAATTCCGAAGGCAAAAAATTATCATACAAATTTTTTCATGTAGAGATTCAAGCATATAAGAGTAGTAAATTTGATTTAGCCTAACTTTTATATCTGTGCTAAAGAACAACAAAGAAGTTGAACAAAAATAATAAGTATGTATTTCAACCCACCATAATTCTTGTACAAAAACAAAATTTTGAAATGTGCTCTGATAGCACACTAGGCAATTATCACACTGTATAAATTTCATTCAAAATTATTAACAAATGGGGCGTCAGCTGAGAAGCAACTCAACCCTTGTTAATGGCTTGGAACTCACCACGTTGTAGCCGCCTTACGTAAAAATTGCAATAAAAGAAGTTTAACGTGGGACTTGAGAGGATAACATTTTTCGCAAATTGTCTAGCACAAAATACCTACTCACAGTAGGGCTGCCGTCAATGAAATCGAATAGAGTGTTTCTACAAATTATGCGATAACATTGCCCTTCAAGTTGTATAGTATTAGTTTTATAAACGTTTCTACGAATATTTTTTATTATGAATATTGAAATAATACAATAACATTCAAAGTTTCTCGTATAGATAAATCTATATGTTTTAATGCCTGAAGAATACAGTCATTCCTAACAAATCTAACTTAAAACGGAACTATATCAAGATTTATATATTGATGTGGATTTTATATATATACGGGTATAATATGGTTCACACATTAGAAAGTTTTTAAGTTCACGGCGGAATATCTTTAAATTGTTAATGCCTTTGATAGCATCAGGCAGACACATGTAAATTTTCAGACCATGATAAATAATTGAGTCATTCACAAATGTTGATTTAGGTACTACTAATTTAGGAACTTGTTTTCGTCTGTATAATATTGTAACTTATATTAGTGTTTCAAATTTAGATTTATTCAAAAAATAAGAATTTATGTTTCTGAAATGAACAATGATACGAC